ACCGCCTTTCACGCAACGGCACCGACCTTAGTTGTTATACCCGGTGGAATGACGTCAATGTTGCAGCCTCTAGATGTGTCGCTTAAGGGGGGACGCGGCCTTTGAAAACCGAAAAATCGCGCAAAGTCGATTTTGGCAAACCACATATTCGGGGAGTATGTGTCATAAACTACCTTTTCTGTAAATATGAACGTCTAATTCGTCGCGAAACCATTTGAAATAAAGTTTAGAACATGCCGCGGCGGCCCTCGAGCGGCGCGCGAGCGCTCAAAATACCCCAACTTGGCGTGATCGCAGTTTCTCGACCGCTCGACGGAGCGCCGCCATTTTGGTGTTGTTTTGTTTGTGAATTCTTGCTCTTTCCCCGCCACCTGCGTCGCCGGCGGCAGCGCAGGAGAGGAGCAAGCCGCTCATGATTGGAGGGCTCGCGAGAGCTTTCAAGTTTCCCGCGGCTGAGGCGCGCAGCTGGGATTGGGCGAAGCGCGCGCTCCCCAAGGACGCAGGGGAGCCCGCGACTGCCATTGGCTGCTGCGCGCGATGACATAGCGCTCTTGCGCATAATGCGGCCGATGCGGCCGCTCGTCTGCTGCTCCTCCGTCCGGCGTCTTTGTGTTCCGCTCGCTTCCGTGTATCGTTGCAGCCGTTCGCATACTCTCCACGTTTCAACTGTCTTCGAAACGATTTTCAACCGTCTTTACGAGACGATTTTCAACCGTCTATACGAGACCGTTGTTGTGTTCGCTCACGATGCACCCAACGAAAAAGAAGACGCTACAATCGTTCGGTGCAAGGAGCGAGCTATGAAGCTTGTCCGCGCGGCGAGGCTCTCCGCTCGCACGTGCGCCGACGGTGATCGCGCCAACGGTACCTGTGGGGCAGCTTCTGCTTCATCTACGCAAAGAGAGTGGTCGCATCGACGCGCCTAGCAACGAGACTCCTGCTCCGCCGGTGCAAGAATTTGTCGTTACAAGTGCGCCTGGTGTCTCGTGCTCATCGACAGTGGCTTCCGCATCTTCTCTTTCATCGGCCTCGAGTGCGATCGCGTCGTCAACTGTACATTTGCGAACAAGTTTCCTGACGTGCGAGGAGAAAGAGGCGGCGGATCAACAACGCGCTGCTGTGCCAAGAGAACTTGGCGCTATGCCAGCGACGGAGTGGAAATTTCAGGCAATGGAGCGCGATCATGAAGCTGCCACCGCTACAAGTGAAGGCGAAAAATTTTTCCTTGTGCAAATGGATGCCCTAGACAACCTGCTATCTCGGACCCCGTGCCACCGGTGCACCGCGATTGGGATGAAGGTACGAGGAGGCACCCAACTTGGACTTGCTGCAAAGCTTGAGCTAGTATGCTTGCATTGTGGAGTAGTTTCAAGCTCATGGAGTTCATCTCGTCAGGATGACACAAAGGCCTTTGATGTGAATGTAAGAGCCATTATGGCAACAAAACAAATAGGCAAGGGACAAACAGCTCTCAACGACTTTTGGGCAGCGATGAACGTGTCCCATCGTGACCTCCATCACAAGACCTTTCAGAAGCACCTGAAGAAATTCAGGGAACCGCAGACACAATGCATAGAAAATTTCTATGCAGAATCTGCTTCTGCTGTAAAAGCCACTTACAAAGAAATGGATCAATATTTCACCAGGGATATAACAGTTTGTTATGATAGAACATGGCACAAGCGTGGGCACACATCCCATATTGGAGTCGGGGCAATTATCGAATACCATACGGGCCTTATCTTGGACGCCGTTGTTCTGTCTAATCAGTGCCTTGGTTGCCAAGTAGGGCCAAAGCCTGGAGACGCAGACTATGCATGCTGGCTGGAGAATCATGTGTGCCAGAAAAACACCGACTCTAAATCAGGGAGAATGGAGGTTGAGGCAGCTATCATCCTCTTTCACGCTCACTGTCGAAGCACAACCTCCGTTACACAACGCTCGTGTCTGATGGAGATAGTGCCACCTTCTCTGCCCTTGTACAAGAAAATGTTTATGGACTGGTCCCCATTTCAAAAGAGGAATGCCTGAACCACGTTCAGAAGAGGATGGGGACTGCACTTCGCAGCCTTGTGCAGAAAAGTGACAAGGCTTTGGGAGGGAAGGGCAGGCTGACAAAGGCCCTCATCGACAAGTTGACAGATTATTATGGCTGGGCCCTACAGAACAATTCCGATGATGTGGCTGCAATGCGGTGGGCAGTGATGGCATCGTACCACCATGTGACGTCGACGGATGAGGAGCCGCACCACGACTTGTGCCCAGAGGGTGCAGACTCCTGGTGTCGTCACAATGCCAGCAAGATTACCGGTGTTCCACCTCCGAAGCATTCGTACAAGCTGCCACGCTATGTTGCAGATGCACTTCTACCCATTTATGAGAGGCTCTCACAGGCTTCTCTTCTGCAACGCTGCCTGGGAGCAAAGACGCAGAATGCATCCGAGTCCTTTCACTCTGTGCTGTGGTCCCTCATGCCCAAAGAGCAGCATGCGTCACTGATTGCTGTGGAGACAGCACTGCATGATGCAGTGCTAAGATACAATGCTGGCTGCTACAGGGCCACCCAAGAGCTAGCTTCATCAATGGGGCTAACACCTGGCCACCTGGCCATTCAACGAGCAGCCGAGAAAGATTCTCTGCGCTTGAAAAAGGCTAAGAAGCAATCCCTAGAGGAGATGGAAAGGCGGCAAGGAAAGAGAGTGCCAAAGGACACCTCCAGTTACGCTGCAGGTTCATTTTAGAACTGCCTATGTGCTCAAAACTTTCAAACGTCGTTTTCTCAAAATAACTTTTTTGGCTAGTGAGGCTGCTTATTCCAGCCATATCTCTGGAACCACTCATTGGATTTCCATAAGTCTTTTTTTATTATGTACATGAATAAATTTCTGAGGGGGTGACAAGCTCATTTTTTCAATATATTGTCTGTGTTATTTATTATATTTAATCAAAATTTGATTGATAATATCCTAATCATGAACACAAAGTTTGATGGTCTGCTAAAACTTTTCAGCAAGGAAATTCAAAAAAAGGGCTCTGTTACCCCCTGGAGTATCAATCTGGGAATCATCATAGTTAATTTCACAGTTCCAGCACCTTTTGAAAGTTCTCCAGACCTGGAATAAGAGAACCATGTGCACTACCCTGATATTCTGCTGTAACTTGAAAACCAGTGAACATAACTTGATGAAATTTTGTAGTTCTTCTAATGCTTTTGCTATAAGTTTATCCTGAAAATTTCATTAAGATATCTCAATAAACAAAAAAGTTGGTATCCGATGGTAGCCTTAACAAGCCCTTCAAAGCGCATAACAAGCGCTATCACGCCGAGTGGATGGCCGAAGGCTGTTACGACTTGACGCCGACAGGACGAGTCCGAAGGCCTGATATTGCCCTATTCTGCAAGTGGATTGTCGAGGCATGGAAGGCCATTCCAGGTGAGATGGTGCGAAAAAGTTTCAAGAAATGCTGCATCACAAACAACATGAATGGAATCGAAGATGACCTTGTGCATAATAGTGAGGACTGCAGCTCAAGTGATAGCTCTAGCGAGAGCAGCGACAGTGAGTGAATTGTGACTGGCCTTGCAGCCAGCGTATTCTGCTTGCTAAATAAAGCTTTTTCTGTCTACATATGTGCTATGTTGCTTGAGCAGTAGCTTTTGTACAGCCTTTCCTGTATATCAAATGTGAGGGCAATACGCGAGGATTTTTTTTTCATTCTCGGTGAGCTGAAAGAGGGGGTGTGGATTATATGCAGGGGCGGGTTATACGCGTAAAAAATACGGTTATTCTTCAGAGTGCGTGCACCGGCTATGTAGGCAGCTATAGCGGCGTGTAAGCGCTCATTTAGGCTACGGCCTCCCAGGATCACACAAAGCATCGTGAGGTGGCGACAGTAGGTGAGGACAGCAAGAAATTGCTAAGTCATATTAAGAACGGCAAGCGGCTCGGAAGTTGCTGCGCACACCTAAAGCAGAAACCGCGCACGAATTGAGCATACGCAGGACAAGCGCGGACTAACAACTGTCACAGCTGGACAATTAAAGTGTGCTGTTCAAACAGAAAGGAAGCCGCATGAAATGAGTGCACAAGCATGCACAGGTCAAGCCTGAACAACTGTCACAATTCCTCCTTCGTCGTGTGTCGGCAGGGCACTCCTTTTGCAAATGTGGTCGCGGCAGCGTGCGAAGTGACCTTCGTCCTTCCCCGAATTACGAGTCTGATAAGCGTGCGAGCAGAAGAGACCATGCTCTGTTGATGCGGTGCTTCGTGGAGGCGACATCCTTTAGAGTGCACCCAGCGCGAGCCTGTTGCGCTATCTCACTAGTGATAACGAAAACGCGCTAAAGTTTCGAACTTCTGAGGACTGTCAAACGGTGTATGGTGTATATAAGTGGCTTGCCATTAACCTACCCAGCCATGTACGCTTCGTGGCGTAGTGGTTAGCGCTGCGCGCTGAGAATCGAAAGGTTGCTGGTTTTATTCGCACGACAAATGCTTGCCTTCTGGTTTATTTCCTTTGTAATCTCTTAGTATATATTTTTAAACGTTACTTTCGTGACGAAAGTGCGTCAGCAAAGCCGTGGTGGACCGCGACACAAAACACTTTCGTGTTAAAATGCAGGTTTGAAGCGGTAAGAAACCATCAAACGATAAATGTTGGAGCCAGCACTTTGGCAAGGTGAAGAAAGCAGCAATTGTTCCAACAAAGACATGTCTCCTTGTTGAAAAACTGAGTGACAATTCCTGTTTTATCAAGTTAAATTTACAATATAACTTGCAGCACAAACACAAGTAGCTGCATGTCTACATAAGGGTGCTTAATAAGGATGCCCTTGATGGAGGCGGAAATGTTGTAGGCCTGTGTGCTCAGATTTGGGTGCCCATTAAAGAACCCCAGGTGGTCAAAATTTCCGGAGCCCTCAACTACGGCGTCTCTCATAATCATATGGTGGTTTTGAAACGTTAAACCCCACATATCAATCAATAAGGATGCCCTACCTCACAGAATGGCTCAGGTTGAACATGAAAAGGTCATTGAGGCTTGACATCTCATACGGTCTGTAGAGCTCTACAAAGCCATCAACCTTCTCGTTGGTGGCCTCCAGTTTCATCACTTCCAAAAGGGACTTGCCATGGTACTTCAGCACTGTTTAAGAAAATGGGTGCAATATGTCAGGAAAAAGTTAATATGATCAAACAATGCCATTCATTATTCGGCAAAAATGAGCTGTTTAGGCCAAGAAAACATCTTCATTTCTTCCTGGATATCAAGCTGTGACCATTAGGCCGTACTTCTCTAACACAAGCAGCATGAAATAGACCACCGAAATAGAAATAGACCACGCACATAGAAATAGGCCAATGCCACCTATCAATAGGTAACTGTAGTTGAAGGTGGGGTCACTAAAAAAAAATACAATTTATCTTGTATTAGTATACAGCAGACTCTCAGTAAACAGAAATTTTAATAAAACTGCAGTGTAAATGGAACAACTGCATCTGATATAATTAGCTTCGTATTTGTATTTTGGGCCCATGTTCATTTTTCAGAAAATGAAAACATTGAATGGAACATTTTTTACTAGTCCCTTCAGGCTGAGGTTTGGATGCACAATTCTGAAATGAGTTTTTGACACTTCGATTTTCTCCTTTAATAATGACTGATGGCAGAACTGCAATTTCCATGAAATAATTGGTCGAACAAGATTTATATATAGTTATGAACAGTGCAAGAACACACGGAACACACACAAAAAAAGAAAACCACACAGACACGGTTGCAGACTCGTAACTCTGGCGCCCGTGTCTGTGTTTTCTTTTTCTGTGTGTTTTTGCATTGTTCATAACTATGAACCGACATCAACTCGCCAAATTGTCAGTGCTATTAGATTTATTTAGTCTCACTTTTGTGTCTTATTATTATGACATGCAAGAAATTTCACGAAATAGGCAATGAAATATTTCGGGAGCAAAACAAATTTCTGTCCCTTCTGTTATGCTACAATACAAAACAGAAGCAGCAGACTGAACTGTACCTTCTGTTATGTCACAATACAAAACAGAAGCAGCAGGCTGAACACGCAATAACTAACCTTCTTCAACAGCAAAAGGTAGAGACATGGGAACTTCTTCATCAAACCAGCAAGTGTAACTGAAAATGGAGAAAGTTTTACTTCATAAAATGAGCAAATGTCTTGAACTGAAAACCTGACCGCAGTGAAGATGAACAAAGTAGCACGCTATATTACACATAAAAGAGACATACAATAAGCTTACTTTGGCAAGAACGGATATTTTTGCCTTCAATTAGTGTGCTGTGATACTACAAAAAATTCTTACATTTCTTCATAATATTATAATAGGTTTGATAATAATTAGAAAATGTGGCTTTCATGTATGGGGGTTCTTTACGTTAGTCTACACTGACTGAGGTTTGCACTGAGGCAATATACCACATGGTGTTATATGCACAATGTGAAATCATGACTGAAAATTTCCAACTACTAAGATAGTTACACAGTTGTGTTTAATCATGCGTAAAACATGCCACCTACTGCTTGGTAATTTCTGCAACATGGCAAGACTGTGTCAGTTTCATATCAATCTCCTCAGATATTTGTTAGTTTGGCAAAATCTGCCATTACACACCTCAGTCGCAAGGCAGCATCGGTTGGCGATATTGGTATTCAGTCAAAATCTTGTGAGGTTAAGCTTCCGAGTTATTGCACTGTGTCACTTTCGATGCAGCTCCAGTGGGAATCTCAGACTTGGCTTTCCCGAGATATTATGCAGTACATTCCAAGCAAAACTAGCCAATTACCGTATTCCCAGCAGTAATTATTTATTTTGTTTGTACACACAGTATACAGAGTTTGGTTTGCATACACAGGGAGTCCAGTCGGAATCAATCAACACTTTCCCAAGTGCTTGTCTATACACACCACTCCTCATTTCAACCGAGGGTAATACAACTATTACAACACCATTTTGTATGAAGGATCACTTTTAGTGGCCAAGCTTCTTATAGTCTAAATAAGCTTGTGACTAGTCACGCGTAACCGTGAGAAGAAGAGACGAGAAAAAAAAGAAGGCAAAAGAAATGAATGACCATTTTCGTCTCATTTCCTAGATGGCATTACTCTGCCGCAACTCCCCGAAGTGCCGCTACTCTCCAATTGGCTGCTGCGCGCGATTTGCCAGATGAGTGCTTCTCTCAGTCGCTGTAGAGGCAGATAGTTGGTGAAGGATGAACGAAGCAGAGTGGCGGGCACATTGAAGACGCTTGTGCTCGGCTTCCTTGACTCGCGTCTCGTCAGTGTTACCCACACGCTGTCTGCATAGTGAGCGAACGAGTGCCTCTCTCAGTCTCCTGGATAGTTGCCTTACGTGGTGGATCGTTGGTGGGCAATAAGCTGAGCAGAGCGGCGGGTGCGTTGAAGATGCTTGCACGGACGGACAGACACACGGATGCTTCGCTCCACTCATCATCATTCCCTCCATGGATTTGCTGTGATTTTTTTCTCCTGTTCTATATATCAAGGTGAAAGAGGCTTTTCTTTAATGGCCCAATGTATTATTACTACTCGTCTAACAGCTTATGTGCATGCTATCTAAAAAGTGAGGACGTTCGCACACAAAATTATGCAATGCATGCCGGTTTGCACACGTAATTTCTGTTCATAAACAAATGTGAAATAAAAGTAAGCAAGAACTAACGGGTTGCGGTGGCACAGTAGCCTACCAGCTGGGATGGAATTATGCAAGTAGTAGTCCGTCGTGAGATCCCAAAGTGCAAAGTTATGCTCGTAAGGCCGGTACACCCCGAGAAAAAGATTTATGGCATTCTGCTTGTCAGCATCTGCGTGCAAAGGGTGAAAAAGAAATGTACAAAATGTGTTGAATGGAAATCGAAAATAACAGATGGCATGCACTGGGTAAGTGTAACAAGCCTTTATAGAGTATTTTACAACTTATATGGCATTTATGCTCCATGAATACAAAACACAAACACTTAACAAGCTGAATGCGATGGCGACCACCCAGGCAGCTCAATTGTTAACACATCAAACACATTATCCAAAGACTGAGGGTTCGGTCCCTACCCGCAGCAAGCCTGATTTTTTCATCACCACTTAATCCATTTCTACTTACATCATAATTACTATCATATAGTTAAAACCTACAAATAATGTCTCCTATACATTTACTCAGCTTTGTGATCTGTTGATTTTGCTAAGTTGTGTCTTAACAAAGAAACAAGCCATCAATCAATACCCCGTTTCATTTTACTCGGCGCATCCTACTGTGTGTGAAGCTGTAAATAAAAAGGTGTTTTTGCCTGAGAATGTATTGCTGAGGTAGCGAGAGAGGGTCTGCATTATGTCCCTGGAATGTGAAGAAAGAGGCGCTATCTTGCGGTACGTCTTCACACGATGAACTAGCTGAGAACCACCATACTGCAAGGCCAGGGTGTCGCCATGGTCCTCATAAAGAACTTCTAACATGCTGCAAAACAGTAAAGTACAATTATTACTCGTGATATGATGGATGAGGGCTAGAACTTGGCAAGAACTAAGAAATGCAAGTCATGCTGAAGTCAGGCCAGCGGTAGTATGATCAAAGATGTTCAGCTCTGGTAGCTCTACATAAATTCGACAGAGAATTGGTTCCATACCGAACACTGTCCGTGTCAAAAACCAGGTCCGGCTTTGGAAGGACACCGAGAGCATTCAGCTGCACGGAAAACAGCAGATCATTACCCAAAGATGCACAGGTGCTTGAACAATAACGCACACTAAACTATATGCTACACTTTTCCTCAAAGGAAATATGTGTTTCAGAATGCCCCATTTAAAGCAAGGTAAATAAGTTCACACATGACACGCAATCAGAACACAATATTTATTAAGCGATTGCTGTGGATTGAAGACTAAAACCCATAGCTAGTTTAAGCAAAATGTTTTTCTCTGCATTAATCAAAAGTAAGTACATTCAGGGCATATCTTCAATAATACTCATTTGTCTATAATGAACATTTTTTTCAAAAAGTTCTCTCAATTTCAGTCAGCTTGTATTATCAGCCCATGCGTTACAATGATTTACTGAAAAAAAAAAAAAAAACTTCTCTGATCAGCACATGCCAGTTTCCCTGAACTTTCGTGCTACCTCAGTTATAGTTTCTTGTGGGCCTTTTTTTTCCCCCTTGGTGCTGTACAGAATGTTTTGTTAAGATAGTATACTTATGCTATCTGTCACCCTGATTTCCATCACCAGAGTTCACTTATTTCCAATGCCAACTAATTTCTGCAGGCCCTTATAATGGGGTAAAAATTTACAGCAGCACTCCCTTGATGCACACGAATGTACCTGAAAAGCCAAGGCACACTTCCCAAGGGCAAACTGGGCTGTGTTGGTGCGATCCAAGCAGTCGACGCAGTTGACACGAGCTACGCCCGTCTGCAGACGTGCTCCGTAGGTTGTCATGGCGCCTCCCAACGTGTATGGTGTAGGCAGGGGGCCAACCTGGCTGCCATGAGTGTGGAATATGCCTGTTTTGCGCAGGATATGGTGAGCAATGTCAGACAGGCGGCCCATCACATTGGCTTCTTTTCTGCATTGGTGAATGCAAAGAAAAATGCAGCGATTCATTAAACAAATCAAACATAAGCAGCCTCGCAGCGGCACTAATTTTTTCAAGAAATTGTAGATTCCAAACTCTTAGCTTATGTAAAATATTGCCACCTTTTTATGAGATAATTTATACTGCCTGAAATCCATTCACTATACCATAAAACCATGCCTTTTGCACATTCACTTACCCTATCAGTAAACAGTTTCCTCAAAAGACTTGCTGTTGCTGTTTCCTCAATCTCAAAAGCATTACATGAGCAAGAGCCATGGCAAGTCTATTGCAAATACTCACTACAACAAACTAATTTAAAAAAAAATGGTGCAGACAAATATACTCTTTTCTTGCATTTTTTACACTTCAAGTGCATCTCAGATGCTGCAGTAGTAAATTTGCGAACATCAAAATCACTCACCGAGTTCAAGGCCCCTACAATACATGATAAAGATATTGAATGTTGTATATGACACACTGATGCCTCCTAGAAAAGACTAAGCCTGCGACGTGAGCTCCAAAAACGCTGCCCTACCCTTTCCATTTCCTCCTTTCCACCCGATAGATTCGCTCAGCTTCTCAGGGCGACTCCTAGCAACCTACAGCGGAGTTGTCGGTAACTCAAGCAGACAGAACGAGGTGCATCAGTGGAAAGAATGCCAGTGTTGTTCAAACCAACAAAGTTGATCTAACTAGATCAAACTAGAGCACAACGAAATGCATCTCAAACACACTAGCAACGCGACATTGTCAACGAGTTGAAAACAGTGGAAATAAACATGCACCAAGAGAAATTAACGCACTAGAAAAAAAGTAACAATGCCCATTCTTGGCGAGCTTTTTTTGCCTTGATTTCATGCATTCATAGAAAAAGTGATGTGTTTTCGAGCTGTGTTTTCATTTTGCTGAGCAATCCAGTTTTGCTGCATGCCCAAATGCTCGCCGAGCGTTAGGAAAAAGGAATTGAAGATACCTTCGGGGAGCTACTTGCGTGACCAGCGACTCAAGGCGATTGCGAGAGATGTCTGGGCACAAACATGTATTGCTGTAGTGTGCCCTAAGGAGTAACCAACGAAACACCGCCGCGAAAGGCCGAGCTTTTTGTAAAGAAATGACTGGCATTTGTTGAACTGGCGCTCCTCCAACGCACTTAACTAACGCGCAATCAACTATCCGCATGAAGCAGCTAGCTGTGCCGCTTTATTGACACAATGTTGCCGATATTGTCGTTCTTGCCGGCTTCAGCGGTACAGTCGCTAGCAGCACAGCACAGCATTCATTCAAAATTAGTGACAGCGTTTCTCTAATGGCAAAGCTGGCGAGGTCGCAGGCATGGTGTTTTTCTAGGAAGTGTTGGCCAAACTTACAACTATATCTGCATAACTAGTATGCAGGGACATCAAGAAAAGCAGAAGGGTATCCTGAGTTTCATGTTTACTTAAAACCCTCTAAAATGCAAAGTGCCATTTGGCTTGGAGATTAATCCTAAATGGCTTTGAACTTTATGAAGCCTTGCAAGTACTACTTTGGCAATGGATTTATTAAAGAATTTAGGCAATGAAGTGCACAGGAAATATACTAACAATTTGTTGTTTCTAGCCATGTCGAAGGCTAGGTAGGCAATGTGGTGCGAACGAGGAAGGAACTGGTTAAGGTAATCGATGCTGTCTAAGAAGGGGTCACTTAGGAGGCTCTCGTGGCGGCGTTTCTCACGCTTCTTCACCAAATTGAGAACGACGACAGGTGCACCGTACTGCCTCAGCAACAGGTTGAAGTGACGACCCGCCGCAAAACAGTATGGATCGACCAGGTCCACTGCACACACAGATGCAGTGATTGCACAACTAACTTAAGAGTCCAACTGCTAAAAAATTTTAAAATGTCAAAAAAAAACAACAACACAGTGCTGGTATAAAGGAGCCTATGAGCAAAATCTTACCTTCAAAATAACAGGAGCAGATTTGTCACGATAAGTTAGCAACCTTAAACATTTTTGAGATACTATTCATTGGAAATAAATGCAGAACACAGAATTTTGAGAACCTGCTTCACTTTTCAGTATGATGCCTCACATGAGGCTATGCATTGAAAAAATCTCTATAACCTGTGATTGGCGTCATATCTGCTAACCACAGAGGCACGCGTTGTATGCTCAGATACTATTTCAAGCATGCAAATAAGAATATAGGAAAATTGGTTGTCTTATGGCTTTGTCAAGGTCGGTTAAACGGTATGTATTAACCAGTTATATGCGCTTGTGTAACAAGTTTAACTAACATAAAACTTCAAAGCAATTAGCTTTTAACAATGTGAATGAACTTTATCGCTGCTTGAAAAATTACCCGCTGTCAAGCCAGCATGCAGTGACTGCACCTGCACCTTGAAGGATGGTGAGACGAAGCACCATCATTAAATCGAATCTGTTACAAAAATATGAGTCAACGTTGTGACGTACAGTTAATGGCTGGCTTAGGCACCATCTTGGAGATGTCTTGTGACCAGCTGAAAGGAATTGAGCCTCGTACTTGCACAAATGAAGTGAAATTGCCACTTGTGAAGGAGGACACAGAGGAATCGTGGACGATTTGCTCAGTTTCCACTTCATTTGCTACGTCGCCCTGCCAGATGAAGTGACAAAGAAACCGAGCTCACAATTATATCACAATTACATTTACACTGAGATCAACAATTAGGAAAGTTGAGACAGTGCTGTGCTTATAATACTTGTTATTCACTATGTTTTTTTTTTTCCGAATTACAAGGTATAGCTTTGCAGAATGTAGCAAGGTGCTCTCATTTAAAGCCATCATAGCTGGAAGCTCTGGGTTAATTTTCAGCACAACATGTTTGTCAGTATGCAATGTTTACATCAGGGTTATTTGATGACATTTCACAGGTGCAGTATGCAAAAAAAAAGTCTTCGGTGCATAGGCTTCTGTATGCGTAGCACCATCGCTATACAGTGACCTAATTGAACGTATTTCGCTTTAAGTGGTACTGTCAAGGACATTTACATTTTCACAATGGATATGATATAATAAACTAAAAAAATAATTAAATATTACAATATTATCTTCGCATTCTATTGATAGATTACAAAATATTTGGTTCAACATTTACTCATTTTTGACCATGACTTCATGAGCTGCTGTTTAAACACTAAGGTTTTTATTATACGCCCAAATTTCAGTGAGTGAGAGCTGTTTCTTGATATCATCCCATATGAATGCAGTCACTGCGGATGGCAATCGAGTCCTGCAATGCTAACAGAATGCCCCAACAAGTGCAGCAAATAATGGTCACTTCCTTGTTTTCAATGTTTCATACTCTAATAAAGTATGGCCCACTGGACACCACATCATTTTGGCACATACTATACAGTCTGTAAAATAATGTTCAATTGACTTGCAGCTTACTATGTTGCTCGATTAAATGTGAAAATAATTTACTAAATGGGCTGCACCACTTAGAATGTGTTGTGGTGCATTAAAATAGTGGGCTCACTAGCATTGACAGTCGACTTGCACGCTTTGAAAAAGCAAGAACAGGTATTTATATAGGCTCACTAACCTCACAGTTGGCACCCCGCTTCAGAAACCTTGTTCCTGAAAACTTCTGGGAACGACGGGCGATGAGAGTAAGATATATGGGACGGCCATACACACTGATATCTGGGGCACAATGTTTAAGGCAACAACAAGAGGGCTTACAATTGGAAAGCTAGCATGGGTATTTGTCCACAACAGAAAACCATAAAAAATTCTTTTTCTTTTGTCAGCCTGAGCACTATGCTGTGGATGAGATGAACACTTATTAGTGCACAAACACATCAGCATGTAGTATGCTTAACAACAGAATCTAACGATTCCGGGGCAACTAAATTTTGAAAAATGTTCACAGCTAAGGCCTCTTCCTACCACCCTGCACACAAAAGGATACTGGTCTGACCAACAAAACCATGTGTAACATAGAGAAGCCAATCTGTGTGCAGTTCCACAGGTTCCAGGAGGTAAGAGTTCCACACATACCTCCAGTTAGGCTTTGTGCGTCCAGCAAAGCACATGCCTGAAACACAGAAGCTCAGTGTAAGAGACTTTTTACGGAGGGATTAAGGCACAAACGAGACAAGCACAAGAGGAGACATGGAGGAACCAGGGACGTTTGTTCATGTCTCTTCTTGCGTTCATCTCATTTGTGCCTTATTCTCTTCGTAAAACATGCACCAACTAGCCTAACAAAAAGTTCTACTCAAGCAAGAGACTTCTTTAAATGTTATGGAAGTGCAAACTCACATCCATCGAAGAAAACAGCAACAATAAAGCGCGGATTTGACAGAATGAGAGCTTATCCTGTCTTATTCCTTTCTTTTCTTCTCAGCATTTTCATAGTAGTTTTTTTTTTATACACCTGTACCGAGAAGCTCACTTTCAAACCCTCTTGAGCTCACTTCACATGGGCAGCACGCAACGAAAGGAGTTACGCTATATATAGTCAAACTGCACGGTTACTATCGCTCGTTAAGCTTGTGCTGTACTTTGAACAACTATTGAACCATGAGCTAGACAAGCCTATGAATGATGTCTCCATATCCACAATTTATGCCTTGTGACCCCGTTTCCTGGCTATGAGATGTGCACTGCTCTGAACTGGCCCACGTTTCAGTAGAAAACAGGGTTTATAACATTATAATGATTCGTATTAGCTGGCATGGCCCAACTTCTTTAACTTGCATGCGAACTAGAGGCCCACAGAAATCTTTAAACACCATAAATTTATTTTTCATTGAAACTTTGGCAAGCGTTTCGTTAGGCCCTGGACTATAAGCTTATACTCACCATCAGACAAGCTACTGCACACAATGTTTGATGAATTTTCAATGCTGGCCTCTTTGCCAACACTTTGAAATCGTCTTCCAGGTAGTTTGTACGCAGGCTTGTAGGCATCCTGGAATGATATCAAATTTGATGGATGCTATCACAGGACCATAACCATGTTTGAATGCTGTAAACAATGCATCTGCAGTTCACAGATCATATTACGGTAGCAGTCATGTCTGTAATCTATTAGACAACTAAACAGTGCCAAAGCACCTGAAATCGTTTACATTTGCTTGCACGCTTTTTTGCCTTACAAGCTCCATTTCCGTCCAGAATGCCAAGGCCACATGCACAAACAGCTCTACAATAAGATACTTTCATTAATGGGTATCAGACAGGTTTAAAGTAATATACATATTGAATGAAGAATGAAGAACATATGTACTTCCTGTGACATCACTGGCTATGACACATAGTACTAGTACATCATCCAATACAACACTATTTATATTACCAATGAAAGTGCACAACATAGCCAGTATATATTGAACAGTACATCAACAAATGAAACTATAACTACACTGCCAATGGTAATGCACAACAAAGTGGCTGATCATGAGCCTTTCTAAACCCAAGTAAAGACGAAAGCTACCAGGATAGCAACATTGCTTGCAGACTAAACATGCAAGTGAAAGTTGGGAAGTATGAGGAGGAATAAATGAGGAAGGACAGGAAGTATGAGCTGTGCACTTAGGTATATAAGGTGTACCTCTAAGAAAATGCAGACAGCAAACTAAGGAGGATAAGCTTTTAAAGGGTCACAAAACAGGAATATTAGGTTAAGCTGTATTAGTAAATAATGCTTGTTTTGTGGAGAAGTTAAAAGCATACAGTTGTTACACAGTGATATCAGGAAGAACTATTCAACAGTCTGCATTACACTGAATAATTTACAACATGAAAACAAGCTTTGTACATAAACTAGCAAGTTTTTGTGCATGACAAAACATTAAAACACAGACTGAATGTTACCAAGTCAAACGAGTTCCTGACTCACTTTATGAATTTGTCTAAGATAAACACAACAAAATGGTAGTACAACTTGACAAAGATGCAATAAGCTTCAGCAACCACATTACAACAGGTCCAAACCCCTACTTATTTTTTCCAGCAGCAACCTACCCCTTTCCAACATATGCATACATAAAATATGGCTTGAAATCACCTAACTATCAGTTTAATTAAATGCTTATTTCTACCAGTAATGAGCACCTAGACGTTAGTATTATTTCAAAGTGCGAGCTTACATCAATGGGAAGCAAGTCCCAGGTGTCGGCTACTTCCACTTCAGAAACCCTCGACGAGGACAGAGAGTCTTCGGACTCACTCCTGAAAGTGGTTGGTTTCTTGGGAACAATACAGGCAAGTGGAGTAAGGTTGTATTGTAGTGTATGTGTCAGGTCATAGCTGTAGCTGCAAGAAAACAGATTTACGGAATCACAACCTCTACCATACAAAGCATGATGAAACAGCCTTTCTCTTACAGATCACATGTGTGCACAGTCATCAATTCTCAGTGTGAACACAATGCAGCATGTCACACACTGCAGAGTTCCAGGGCACATTGTGTGGCCGCACATCAAACTGAAGCGACGCAGGCACACAGGGCCTTAACAGACACTAAAGAGAAAAATAATTTCTCAGTACTACTAAATACTTCTTTACAATACCAAAACATCCACCCTTGCTGTGAGAATGCTTACGATGCGAGATAATGCGGGAAAAAATATGACGGTGACTACGCCACCTTGAAGTTTCAGAACCAAGTTCCCCGTGACATTACAAATTTGGATGGTTTTTACTAGAGCACACGTAGATCTCAATCAGAAAATATGAAGTACATTTTCCATTGAAGAGACCAGAAATCTAGAGTTCCAGGTCCCGAGCCAAATTTACTCAGGCCATGTAGCCAAGATATCAAGACACGCTTTGAAATATGTGACGTCATGCCGACCTTTGTGTGCACTGATTTCAGCGCAAAATTAAAAAAAAAAGAATTTCACCTTCATTCTCTCTTCCAGTAGTATACCTATAATGGTCAAATTATTGCCAGCACAGTTTGCCGAGAATAATCTATTAGTACAAGTTGATTCACTTTAATGTCTCTTCGGGACAGGGCTTCATGGGATCTACAGCATCACAGTGCTCATTTCGTTACGAAGCACACCAAACTTGGCGTGGACTCGCAGCACACCCTCTAGCTGGTTGACTGGTTTAATTACCTCAATTAGAAAACCATGAAGCGGGTTAAGCAACACCCCACTCTAGTCATTACAAGGCATTTGTTCATGTGTTTCTTTTTTTATTTGTGCAAGCGGAATGCTTCATCAAAGCAGTTAAGGCAGTTGTTCAGCTGCTGAATTCCTGATTTAGATGTGCTTTGCAATAAAGCGGGCACAGAGCACTGCAGAAAATGACACAAAGCCTTGTCTCAAAGGTCCTGTGCTGCATTACTTTGATGTGTGGATGCACCATTGTGCCAGCACTTATGCACGCTGCTATCACACTGCACTGAATTCACCCAAAGAATGGATGACTTTGCACATGGAGGCAGATGCACTTATTAATTTGCAATGACTAACTTACCTTCTCATCAAGTAACTAAGGTGCTTACCTAAAGTAGAAATTGCTGGACAAGTCGACATTCTGGAAAATTTTCACATATCTAAAGTAAAGGGAGCAATAAAAATATATGTTGTAGAAACAAAATGAATAAATGAAAAACACATCTGATTAAAATGTCACTCTACCTGTTTTCATCAGGATGAACATTGTGGTCAGTGGTGTTTGGCAGATAGACCATACGCGTGTCCTCCACTTTGTAAATAGTGTGATGCCCCACAATGGCAATGCGTCTCCTCTTCGTGATCAGTATAATGTAGTATCCTTCCAGAAACCTCACAAAACCTGAAAGTGATGCCATTGTTTTACTAGTACTGGTCTGAACAGTGTTGAACCAAACTAATACTGAATTGGTACCTTACCAACAATGCCAAATGCAGACACTGTTCTGTTGAGGCCAGAGTTACCCTTCTGTCCAGTTTTGGGCATTTTTTTTCCTTGGTTAATTTCACTGAGAAATTCTCGTATCTCTCTATTGTTGTATTCGACCTAGAAGTGTGTCAGGGACATTAATCAAGGCAAACAAGATATTATTCAGTCGAGTCGTACGACGAAACCATTTGTAAGTTCACGAACCTTGTCATCAAATACAAGCAGCTTATTAGTTTCTGCCCGGTCAATCTCCAACACACGAAACTTGGTCTGCGTGTTGTTTGAGCCGACTAAGTAATATTTCTGTAAAGTAGTATAAAACTGAGAATAAGTGACAGACGCCATGAACGCAATGCACATCTGCACATGGAACAGATTAGAACACGTGAAAAGTTTACATTTCACACGCTTCAAATGTAGCACTCTACTGGTGTAGCCAGATAGGAAAGGGGGAGGTGTCATGCACCCCACCCTCAAATTTTTCTAAGTTTGCATGCGTATAATAACACGTACACATACGCACACCCGAACATATTAAGCGTAAGTACCCCCCCCCCCCCCCCCCCCCGGCTCCGATTCTGTGAAGTTTTATACATAAAGTGCTTTCCACACAATGCACAGAGCCGTTTCAAACTGGAAGCGCTACAGGCAACAAGCCAGCAAATAACTGCGTTACAGTGGCCCTTTTGATCGCGACCAGGCTTGCTTAGGATGGAATATCTTGTTCATGATTGGTTGCTTCACGCAAACTGCAGAAGGACGCGAATCTGCCGAAAAATTTGATCCCACTGACGCTTAGTCACAGTGAACAGTGCACCTATGACACCAGTACTCGCAGCTTACTGCAAATGAACAAAAGCAATGGAAACAATGCACTTAAAAAGGCACGCGGTAGTAGCTTTCATGCAGCAACTTGGCAATCGTCACAACCATTTGGTAATAGAGGCACTACGCATTCATACATGTGGTTGGAATGCAAAATGCGAGCCGCACCAGTTTGGTCTCGTAAAGGGCCATTCGCTGCACCGAACTGATGACCGGCTGCAAGGCCATAGTTGTTGCAGTGGGTGCCTTGCGCTTCTCGGAGTATGCCATCGTTCACTATGTGGAGAGCCACGGTTGGTTGGTTGTTTCCTAGTGTCCTGGCGCAACCCGCCGTGGGGGATCAGCGATGAAACAGATGGTACCTTATTTTAGAGGAGGGTTCCTTTCACGAGGCGACATCAAAAAGGGGGTGTTCTCACAAACGAAAGGCAACTGCCGCGTGCACACGTCTACAAACGCGCAACACAACGCGTGCGTCACGAATCTTCCGGCTTGACACAGGGCACACTGATGTTGAGTGCTCCCAGCGAGGCGATAACCTCACAGCACTAATTTTCTAGGTGAAACTCGAAGGCCTCAAAGCCTGCAATATGCAATGCGTTTCCAAAGCCCCACACTTTCATTCGGGTGGCCGCTGCATATCGTGGCAGCAAGCAAGATCACGTGATGTAAACAAACCTTTTTTTTTCTTTGAACTATCAGAAAACGTTAATACTCTGGAAGCTTTCATTAAGCGTTTGTACTTAACAATACGTTTGTATATAACATTTAACGTGTTTAAATTAAATTATTAGACCGTACAATGTAAGTCTTCGACATTAACCGTTTTATTTCCATCGGTTGCCATCAACATCGCCTTATCACGTGGCACGGAGCCTTTTCTTCTTCCTCCATGTCACGTGGTAGAATTGTGGCCAATCGCAGATTGACGCCGTTAAAGTGTGGTGCGTTCAAAAAAGGGCTCACGGCGGTGGCATCTGTGGCTGCTTGTAGTTCTGTTCTCTAGCTTTGCGTGCTGCAAGGAGCTCATTTGCGCAGTTTCACCTCCTGGACTTTTCATCCACACTGCCATGGCTACCAAAAAGCTGGGTAACCAGCACATCCAAGTTTTCGTCCGGTGCCGGTAGGCTTACGACCGTTTCTGTTCGTAGCACGTCAAAATCCGTTATCGTGATGTAGGGAACTTTAACGTTACAATCATTGTCAACAGCGACGCTTCAGTCCTTATTATTGAAGTCGCTTGGGGAAAGTGCGAGGGCACGTGAAGTGTTTTTTCTGGTGTTTTGTTAATTATGCCCCGTGCGTTTCGTCTAGGCCTCCAACTGCATCGGAGAAACGGAATGGCTCTGCCAGAGCTATCGAGGTCGTGCAGGAAAGGAAGGAGATCCTCGTAAATGACCGGGTAATGCCGGAAAGGACCCCTCGCAAGTCGTTCACGTTTGATAAAGTATTCGGGCCTGATGCAAAACAGGTAAGCATGGGCGCTCTTCCAGACCCGTACTGCTAGTTCTCGGCAATAGTGCCCTTCGCGTAACATTTTTTTTTGTTTATTTGTGTTATGCAGATCGACGTGTACCGGGCAGTCATGGAGCCCACCATAGCCGAGGTCATGATGGGCTACAATTGCACAGTATTTGCGTGAGTGTTCTTGCTGTGGCTGTCTTTTTTCCACGTCTTAATCCACGATTAGTAGGATTAGCAAAGGAACTGTCTATGGCACCGGCAGCCGCTAGAGCAGGTTGCGCAGTATACTTCCGGCACTTCGTCTCCATCGGCTGGCTACAGTATCGTGGCCAAACTGCCGGTATATTTGCTTTAGTGGGGTAGTGCCGGCACAGTAGACCACTTTACCGGCAGCCGGGGCTGTAGACCGCATGAGAACTTGCCGACCACTTCTGTGAACATGTGTTCTCAGAAGTGGTTTCTGAGAGCACTTCTGAGTCGTACAGCTGAAAAATGACTTTTTTTCAATACAGCATGAAGTCACTCAGCATTTAATGTTCGCACAGAAAGAATGTGTTCACTGCTGCCCCCGCAGTCTTCCGTTCTTTGTAGTCCATGTATGGTTGAATGTGAATTTCGTCTACCATTAAAGTAACGGCAGTCTCATGCGACTTCAGTTTATGTCTCTGGCCAATGTATTTTAGAAATTTATGATCACCTGATTCATTCTGAGGTGATAGCTTGAAGGACGAGCATACATTTCTGATGGCATAATCAAAGAACCTGATCTCCTAAAAAACTTTGAGCATGTGGAGATATAGTGCGCAATATGCAGGCAAGTACCATTGTTTGCGAAGAGTATTGTAATCTCTCTCAACCAACAACACTTGCTTCCTCAAAAATTTAACAGTGTCCTTTCTATTCTCAAAGACATTTTGCTCAAGCCCCGCCGCGGTGGTCTAGTGGCTAAGGTACTCGGCTGCTGACCCGCAGGGCGCGGGTTCAAATCCCGGCTGCGGCGGTTGCATTTCCGATGGAGGCGGAAATGTTGTAGGCCCGTGTGCTCAGATTTGGGTGCACGTTAAAGAACCTCAGGTGGTCGAAATTTCCGGAGCCCTCCACTACGGCGTCTCTCATAATCATATAGTGGTTTTGGGACGTTAAACCCCACATATCAATCAAGACATTTTGCTCAATCTTCTTTAAAAGATTTGCTATAAAATCAGCAGCTCCATTAGGGGAAGCTTTGTCGCCAGAAATCTGCTGCAACTTAATCAGTATGTCACCTAAATAGTTAATATCACTGATGTTATCTGGCACAACACAGTCACCTATGCGTTTCACGAAGTTATTGTGTACACACACAGTGATACGAAGCTCTTCGAACACAGTTGTAGCGACGTGGCAGCCACTGCGCACCCTGCCGGTCATAAAAACCTGCGGAGCAGCATTCCAAGCAACGTGCTGCTCTCATCTGTTTCTCCGTCATCTCTTTCACTCTTGCCACTTCGGGTGCACTGCATGCACCTGCTCGATTTCAGACTCTGGTTGCAGGATAAAGTAGACGTTACTAAAAAGACCCGTCCGTCTCGTACGACCTGGCTCTATAAAGTGGTGACCCATAGTCTTTCACGGCACTGCCGAAGTATTGTAGAGTTATGCAGAGCAACGAGACGCACCTAAACATGGAAGCTACTGGCACGACCGATCATAACGTATCTGCGATCTCCCTCCGACTACCAGCTTACTGGGACCGCAACCCTTCGATCTGGTTCATTCAAGCTGAGTCGCAATTCGTGCTTTCTGGCGCCTGCACGGAACAACGCAAGTACCATCTCGTTGTTTTGGAGCTGTCATTAGCTGCTGCCGAAAAAGTATCTGACCTGCTTTCTGGACCCCCCTCCAACACGCCGTACAGCACTCGCAGCACACGGTTGCCCCGACTGGTGGGTTGACCGCCTCCCGCTCATGCTACTGGGAATTCGATCTTCTTTCAAGGAGGACCTCTCCTGCTCCACTTCCAAGCTTGCTTATGGCACTTGGGGTCGCCTGCCTGCTGATTTCTTCGAAGAAAGCGGCAGTGCCACCTAGCTAACGGCAACAGAGTACGTCGACCAGCTGCGCGACGTTTTTTGACACATTCGTCTGCAGCCTGCACGGAGCCAGCCACGTGCAGCGTACATCGCTGAGGACCTAAAAACAGCGACACATGTTCGTGCAGTACAGCCCTGTGCGCGCCCCGCTCCAACCACACTACCTCGGCCCCTTTCGTGTGTTAAAGCACTGGCCTGCTAACTTCGTCGTCAACATCAGTGGGGCGCGCGGTACAATCACGCTCAAGTGGCCAGCGTTCAGTGAAGCGCCCAATCTTAATTGCCTCGCCGTGCCTCCCTCCCCTGGACACGAGGGCCCCTCCTCGCCAGTGTTCCTCCTGTCACCACCTCTGCACTGCGTTCACTGGGATGACATTTCAACTGAGAATTGTTCGTCGCACCAACTTCCTCTTTAAGGGGGGAGCAATCTGTAGTGACGCGGCTGCCACCGCGCACCCCGTAGTCATAAAAACCTGCGGAGTAGCATTCCAAGCAATGTGCTGCTCTCCTCTCTGTTTCTCCTTCGTCTCTCTCACTCTTGCCACTTCCGGTGCACTGCGTGCACCTGCTCTATTTTCGACTCTCTGTTTGTAGAATAAAGTATACGCTTTTACTCAAAAGACATGGCCTTCTCGTACAACCTGGCTCTACACAGTAACAGAGGACTGAAGAACAGGCAAGCACTCATTTACAATGTTCAGGAACATGACACAGTTTGGGGGATAAATCATCTGGAATGCATTTCCCTTTTAGGCGCTCCATCATTTCAGGAAGGGACACAAATTTGCGCTGCTTTTGTTTCTCAAGCTGCAAGGCTGCGGACTCTTCAATAGCATGAGCAAGACTGTCTGCCTCGAGGCACGCTTTCTTGGCATCTGAAGATTCCCTTGTTGGGAGGGCATCTTGCTTCGAAAGATACGAAGGGCAGCCAGGAAATATAGATGGCACTGATCCAAGGCGCAGACGGGGCACCTTTAGGGGAACTTCAAGCATTTTTACTGTCCGGGGATTTGTATACAATGATGTACACTCGATACATGACGCGTGGAAGTGTAAGGCGCATACCTGCATTACAGTAGCAAGGGTGCAAAGCACAGGATTACACTTGCGACACGATCAAATAAGATAGCGCTTGTCATGGCTCCCTCATAAACCGCCAATTTGTGGTAACAGTAGTGAGAATTTAGTTCGTACCTTGTTGTTGACAGTAGGCACAAAGTCCAGTCGAGAAATTGCACTTATTCATTTCTTGAAGATCGTTTCATCGTTCGGAAATGAAAACACTTGCAGCTTGTTTTCTGTCTTGTAATTGTTTGTACACACAGGCACACAACACTTATTTGGCATGTCGAGACCTGCATGCCGCAGAAGTAGCAGTAAAAAAAAAGTACAGGAGCGACTGGTTCGACGAACTGGCTACAAGCAGCAAGAGAAGAAAAGTGCCGTTGGGGACTTGGAAGAAGAAGGCACGGGAGGGCCGGTTTGAGAAACCGGCTCGTAGAACTGCGATTGCTAGCGTCACCTCGGAGGGCGTAGGCTTTGAAAATATTTAGGAGGCGTTGGCTTTACTAACCTTGAGGTTTGTCTGTTTTTTCTTTCACACACCCACACAAATAGTCCACTAGCTTAGAAAAGCCTTTCCTTTTGGGACGTTAAACCCGACATATCAATCAGAAAAGCCTTTCCGTCTCCCTAGCATTGGCGTTATCTGGGGGGGGGAGGGGTGCGTCTAAATATTGCCCCCCTCCCCGCTTCCCACTTCTCTACTGCCCGCACGCATGCAAAGCTGTTCGATTTCCAGCAAAGCTCAAGCACACTGCTTTATTGCTTTGTTGTCCCCCAGGTGTTTGTTTTTCTTCTTTCAGTGTGAATTATCTCGTAAAGGTTCCCTTTTTTTTTTTCTGTACCCCCAGTAGTCTGCAGTGCCATTGTAGCTTGCTTGTCACCGCTCTATTTTGAAATTTCAGATACGGTCAAACGGGTACAGGCAAGACCTTCACCATGGAAGGCGACAGGTCGAATGTGAACTTGAGCTGGGCTGACGACCCCTCGGCTGGCATCATTCCGCGCACGCTGCAGCAGCTGTTTGAAGAGCTTCAGTCGCAGGATCTTGAGTTCACCATCAAGGTGTCCTTCCTTGAGTTGTACAATGAGGAGCTCTTTGACCTGCTCAGTGCTCACGAGGACACTTCAAGGCTGAAAATATTTGAGGACTCCTCCAGAAAGGTGCGTCTTCTGTGCATGGCTTCACACTTCACCGCACACGGCGTTTGGTACGAGCAGCGTATTGCTGCAGCAATGCTGATGTGCTGATTATTGTACATTGTTGCACGGCTGTAATACTTATTTGTAATTCAGGTACTCTGTGCTATGAGGGGAAACTATACAGCAGCATTCATTGGCGCACCTCATAGTGCACATGCTTTTCAGTGTGTAGAAAGCCTTGTTACTGTGCTATAGCATCTGCTACTTTGTTTCACCTGGCGTAGAACGTAGGTTTCATCACAGCCCCCTCTATACTTTAAATTGCCCGCCAAGTCGTCGGCACAATAGGAGAGCACCATTGGCAGAGTTGCATGGCTCGAACACTATACGTTCCCGGGGCACTACTTGAGTAGGGCTGCTGGAAGTGCAGCGAATGCGGCTGCAGTGTATAAGCGCAGTATAAGTATTTTGAGGTTGTATTACTGTTCTCGGCTGTTTCTTTCTAAAGTATCATTAGGCGTATGTGTTCGTCACTCATTGCGGTAATGTTTTTAGGCATTGGAATGTAAATTTTGAAAGTGAAATGTTCTGGTGCTTCAAGCAAGTGGGTTGAACTGTCAAATTAGAATATTAATGGCAGAAGTGCCTTTGGTGCTGCTTGGTTCCAAACTCTCAGACCAACTATGGACCGACCAGCGTGCAGTTGATGCTGTGCAAGAGCAACAGCTCTCGGTGAACAGTAAGTAGCCCAATTTAAGCAAATGGACCTTCCCATGCACAAAAATAATTTATTTCATGCTGATCAATGGTAATTGCTGAAAAAGCCTGCTAGAACCTTGAAATATTGTACTAAGGTTGACAGCTGGGCTAGTTGGTACGGTTTCACAAGTGTCTACTTCTTGTCCTCTAGTTAGCACTACTTTGAATGTTATGCTATAAACCTATTATTATCAGGCTAAGCATTGCTGCAATGCAGAGAGCATTTGCATAGCGTTCCTGCATCTACTGTAACGGCACTCTCCTATTTTGAACTGGAACCAGCCGGCCCCATGCTGCTAAGCAAAATTTAAACGGCACCCCCCCTCGTGATATTACTTACGGACTTAGTATTAATTACGGAATAGTAAACACCCATTTTTATGGATTATGACTGCCCTTTTTAAAAAGAGTCGACTTTATTCACTTAAAAGTTTTCACTCTTTGCCCACCTCTCCTGTGTGCTTATTAGACGAAGTTTTTTTTCGCTACAGTTAGGTTTATTAATCCTTTGTAAGCACCAGGCTTTGCATTGCTTATACTGTAATTTCAATTAGCCTGTGTAAGAGGGACACTAACGGCAAATATTTAGTCGACTTCAATTGTTGAAAGAGTGGTCCAGAAACCTCATAGTGCTAGTTTCGTGCCAAGGAAGTGCCTATTTTAAAATAAAATCGTTTTTTAGTGGTTCGCATAGCGTTAGCGCACTTCAAATCACTCGCCTGAAAGCAGTCTTTCTGATGTGGCTGTTGCCTTGTCCAACAGTGCTCGCCTTTACTGCATGGATGCCAACACTATTAGCAGCAGAGTGAAAGTAACGGGAGCCAAGGCAGCAGCAAAGGCCATTGAACCATTTTCTGCTAGCTTGGTTGAATTGGACCCCGCTAGATGGCACCACCTATCCAGTTTAACCAAGCGAAAACGGAACTTTCGAACCACTCGCGCCATTTCTCATAGTAACGCCGAGCGTTTCTTGCTATAAATCAAACAGGAGCGAACAAGCAGCACTTTATTACATCTCTTGATGCACAGAGGGTTTTTTATTACAGCTGTAAGATAACTAGTGAACAATTGTAGTTGGACACCCTCGCATCATCGAAATGATTTTCGAAATGTCCCACTTGCGGGACACGTGTGATATATTTCGTTTGAATTCTCGTCAAGTGGGGCACTGCTCTTGATAATATTGCCGTTTTAGATGTTGTCATACATTGAGTTTTCTCTCTGACATAAATTGTTATTTGCCTTTAGTGGTCGCTCTAAGACAAATGGAGATGATGTTTTTTTCTACTTCAACACCACTGGAATTGCCTGGCTTCCTATTGCCTTCTTATTCTAAGCTTGTTCTTTTTAACCCATGTGCACATGGCATTTCATTGTTTTTGTTTTGTTTTTCTGCTAATGTTTGGCTGTATCGTGAAACGAGAATAACGGAAGTGAATAATTGTTGATCTCTCCATTGCACTGCCTATCTGGCAACTCCATCTAGGAAGAAGGAATAGGAAAGTAGAATAAGAGTGAGCCGACGGCAGTCATCCAAGGTGGGCGCATCCCTAGTCCAAGATTTAATGGGCCCAAGCGAACCGCTTGACCCTGTTCACAAGGAATTTCTGGTCTCCAAGGCTTGAGCTTGCAAGCTGGGCCTCCCACCTCTAGACGTTAGGCCCTGTGATAGGCAGCACCTACGGGTTGTACCCATACTCCCATACTTCCCTGTCCTTCCTTCCTCCTCCTCCCATACCATATGGTGGTGGTTACTGGTTGCTGAGGGGAAGCTAGCTTATGATACATGCAAGTACACGGGGGCCTTGTGAAGGAATGTTCTTGTCCTTGAGCATCAAGCTGGCAGACTGCATCTAATAAAAACAAATTTAAGTTTTCTTTTCAGCTCCGTAGTTTAGGCTATTTTCAGCTGAGCTGTGAACAAGTTTTGCTGCTTTATGTAAGCAGATGAGTCACTGCAGTGGCATAGTGGTTACTGCGCTTGGCTGCTCGCCTGAAAGATGGAAAGTTCGATCCAAGTCACGGTGGTCTCGTTTTGATAGTGGCAAAGTAATAATTAATAATTGTTGGGGCTTTACATCCCAAAACAACGATGTGATTATAGGGGAGGCCATAGTGAAGGACTCTATTAAAAATTTAGACTACCTGGGTTTCCTCAATGTGCATATGAATCTGACCACATGGTCTTCCAGCATTTTGCCTACATTGAATGGGGGTGCAAGTGCTAGAGGCCAGTGCACTGTGCCCATTACAGTGGGAAATAAAGATCCACATGTTGAAATTACTCCACTGCAACGTGTCATAGCTTGAGTCGCTTTAGTGGATTGAATCCCACAAACCAGCCAACAATCTAAAACCAATCGTGTGAGACCATCTGTATTTGCATCTAAATGTTTTCTTGCAACAGGGATGGCATTAGAGTAATTTATTGTGGTGTGATATTCTGCTTCCAGCACGGGAATGTCTTGTCTGGGAGTTCACTGTTTCCGCTGTATTTTTTCAGGGCTCGGTCATAATCCAGGGGCTCGAGGAGATCACAGTGCACAACCGTGAAGAAGTGTTCTTCATCCTCCAAAAGGGTGCAGCAAAACGTCAAACTGCTGCTACACTTCTCAATGCAACGTCTTCGCGCAGCCACACAGTATTCTCGGTCACAGTTCACATCCGTGAGACAACAGACGATGGCGAGGAGCTAGTAAAAACTGGAAAACTCAACCTCGTGAGTAATGGTGTGACCTATTTTAACACCCGCAAAGCGTTCTCGCATATGCTGTTTACTATGCACTGTTGACTCTGAGAATTCTAAATTTGGCCCCTAAGATCTCGGCAATGAACTCTCCACATTAATTGGTTCAAATTGTCTGTGCAGCTGTCGCATTTTTCTTGTCCATTTGACCATCTCAGTATAGCAGTAGCATAGTTCCTTCTTGCCTATCTTTTGTATTGGTTTATTTCTGCCTAAGCCTGCATTGATTCGTTTTTCATCCCATTTCACACCAAGGTTGATCTTGCGGGGAGTGAGAACATTGGCCGATCAGGTGCCATTGAGAGGAGAGCGCGTGAAGCAGGCAAGTTTCTTGTTCTTCAGAGACTTGCGGAGGACGTACCTCTGGTAATCGAAACTGCACATTTTGTTGTGTTCTGTAGGCTTAATAAGCGTCTTATCTGTTTTTATTAGTTTTGATGGTATTATGATGCTATGGGTAAAGTTTTGAGTGTATTTCTCAGCCACATTTTGATGAGGGCTCAAAATAATTCTGTCCACTCTATGATGTGCCTCCAACTGCGTTGTGGTTATGGCACGTAACATACTTGAATTTATTTTCAGAGTTCATAGTTTAAAGTTTATAATTTTAAGTGTATTTAATAGATAAAAGGTGCTGATAGCACTGCATATTTTTTAGGAACGCAATCAGGATTTCCCTGTGTACAAACACATGAATAACTATACCAAGATATTTCTCGCAGCACCGGTGTCTGTTTTCTATGCGTTTACTCTGCACTATGCCGGTTTACTTGTTGTACCTTCAGCTCTTGCATGCAGTTTATCACTTGTCAAGTGTGCATGTTTTGACGTTCAAGTCTGGTGTCTTATTGCCATTTGCATGACTCTCGCAGGCAACATCAACCAGTCTCTCCTGACTCTGGGTCGCGTCATAACTGCTCTAGTTGACAAGGCACCGCATGTTCCGTACAGGTATTTGTGGTCCATAATATTTCAATTTATACAGCCTTTGTTTGTGCATGATACCACACACAACCTTGTGGGATTTTTTCAACTTGAGGTGTTTTGTAAAAATGTGATGCGATTGTATAAGTGTTATACACCAAGAATCTTGAAAACCAATTTTAATTATCCCAATTTCTGCTGTTTGCAAAACTGAGTAAAATCTGAAACAGCAGGTGCCGATGTAGAAAACAGTGTTGGCTATAAAATGTGGACTGTGCTTCATTAAGGGGGCAGACTGCTCTTTGGAACCAAAAAGTGACAAAAAAGTTCATTTTTTAAAATTGACATATTTGGCTTCTGCAAGTATTTTTCTATCTCTCTGCAAATTTTCACGCACCAGGAAGTAGTAATTTTTATGTAATGTCATTTTAACTGTCCAGATTCTTGGTGCTGTTAACATGCAGAACCTGCAAAAAAATGGGGAACAGACTTTGAGGCTTCTTTATAATTTGCCAGCACCTTTGTCTAAAGCTCTACTACCAAATTATGAGCACCTTTATGAGGATTGCAAAACATGCGCACCATCATTGTTGCTTTTTGAAGAAACTGTGTGTTTTCAGTTTTTTCCATTTTTCTCAAAAAAGTAAATTTGTGACTATTCAGTTTTGAGGCCTCAATATCTCTGCAGCTAGGGCAGGTACAACAATAATTATCCTTGCAGTGGAAACCTGTATGTGTGTAGAATGCAAGTATGAAAGCAGAATTTAGAGCACATGCCTTTTTAATTAATTACTAATCAGAATTGTAACACAATTCCAACTGCTTTTGAAAATGTATAGTTCATTTTGCTGCAAAATAACCAATAAAGGCCTAAAAACAAAAACCTCTTCCATACTTTCACTCTATAGTCATTAGTCTATGTTGGCATATCCTAAATATCACTTTTAATAAAGCACTTTTTATTCTATGGTGGCCTTAAACAATAGGGGATGAACTTAAGTTATCTCAGCAACAAAGTGAGTTACAGGAAAACTAATTAAATATTTGAAATCAGCAGAAAAAACTGCATAACCCTTTGCAGTTTTATCAAGATCACTGAAGAAATAAACAAAAAATGTCTAAGACCAGTCTGCCCCCTTAAGTGCAGACATATGTTACATGGTATGTATCTGCAATCGCCAAAACTTCAATTTGGTTGAGAGGTAAACTATGCGTCATTACTTTTTAGCTATTGGACCAGTCCTAGTACAGGAAATGAACGTAAAAGGTTTAATGTTGAAATTCACAGAGAACTCTGCACTATGTACGTTGCCACTTTTAAAAAAAATATTTTTAGATTTTGATCGTAAGCTGATTGCCTTGTTTAACAAGGGCTGTTTAAAATGACACTTCAAGTGTGTTAGGCGAAGAAAGTGTAGTTAATCACATTTTAATTATGGATATTGCACAAAATATGCCCATCACGTAAATAGGGATAAGTACCGATCCTGTGACATTAAACGAAAATTGCTTGGCAGCAATGTAGCTGTACTTGCAGGCTGTGCAATGAGCTGGAATTGTTGTGCTGTCGTGAATATAAGTATAGTATGGCCAGAAAAGCCTGAAATTATGTAATTTTAGATGGTTGCATTTCAGTCTAAATCTGAAAACATTGAGTTATTTATTTGTTTTCAATTGTCCTAGTTCATTGCACAGATTAGCATTCCAGAAAGAAGCATGGGAAGTTTCATTGAAATACATTGCATAATTCAGAAGTTATGGCTTTGCAATAAGAAATAACTAAAAATGTTGTTTTGAGAAAAATTAAGAGAAATATTTTGCACACAATGTATATTCATGATAGAAACATAGTGGGACTCCAAAAGCTGCCAGGTTAACAGCTGGATCTTTCCCTAGCTGTCTTGAGCTATTGCCTGAAATTCAAGGTGGCAGCAGAAGATTCGTTAAGAATAAAGAGAGCACACCCATGCTTTTAATTATATGCTTCATTGAATACGCATGGATTCATGGCTTTCATTTGCCCTCATTGGGCGAATGAAAACGGTGAATAAAATACAGTGAAAGTTGCGGGGGGGAGGGGGTGTGTGGAGCAAAGGCCGCATATTTGAAATCACCTGAGGAAGGGAGGGGAGGGGCGCTTACAGCATTTTCACAGCATTCTCTATAGAGTTATGATTTTCGATGCCATTAATATACATTGCTTGCTTATTGTCGTTTTCCTTTGCAGAGAAAGCAAGCTGACTCGGCTCTTGCAGGACTCTCTTGGTGGCCGCACAAAGACTTCCATCATTGCGACGATCTCACCCGACATGACCAATCTGGATGAGACGTTGAGCACGTTGGACTACGCTCACCGTGCCAAGAACATCACCAACCGTCCGGAGGTCAATCAAAAGATGACCAAGCGGGCACTCATAAAGGCAAGGCTGGCCTTATTGTACTTTTAGATGTAATCTATCGAATACTTCCCATTTCTCTGTGGTGCTTACTTTGGCTAATGGGTCTCTTTTTAGTACCTTATGTTGTGTTTGCGTGTTTTTTCAGCTTCACAATATCCCTCAATGGGGTTGACTGCTCAATTCCTGATCGACATTTTTAACTTGACAACTTCATGTGTATTTGTACACGTGAAGGAGACTGCCTGACACGATCGGTTGCCATCCTTGCCAAAAATTGCAATGCAAAGTATGCCCGTACATGCGCACATGCCAACAAGTCACCCGCACTGGTTCAAACTTTTCCTTAAAAATCTAAGGCAATCTTGACTTCATGTGTATTTGTACACGTGAAGGCAAGATAACTGCTATTCCTTTAGGATCACAGACTAGATCCCATGAGAAGGCAAGTGAGTTAGGTTGGCAGATGAGATTAGGAATTTTGTGGGTATAAAATGGCAGCAGCAAGCATAGGACCAAGTATACTGGTAGAATATGCTAGAGGAACTTTGCCTTGCAGTGGGCATAGTCAGGTTGATGAGGATGATGATTCTTGAGTCAATAAACCCTGATACTGAGGTCATTCTGTTACTCGAGGAGGAGAGGGGGGGGGGGGTTTAGTTAGCATTGATCCATACTAACAATTCCACGTTTATGTACCTGATTTGTGAAAAAATATAAGCAAATGGTGCACTTAAAACCAGCACAAAGCCTTGCTTTGACATAACATTGCCCTTGTTTATATTTACCATGAATCAACATTCTCGATTCTGACTCCTTCATTCGTGAAGCAACTTGTGTGTAAGGAATGGACAGTGTGTTGTTCCTTTATTGCAAAATGATATGCTTTTCCTTCTATCAGTGATTAGAATGCACTGCAATTCACTTCTGCTTCACTGTGACAGGAGTACACAGAGGAGATCGAGCGTCTCCGAAGGGACCTGGCAGCAACCAGAGAGAAGAATGGAATTTTCGTGGACCAGGAGAACTATAGGTGAGCACCCTTTTTCTGTGAAGGTGGGTCATCTAGAGGCCTTTTCCTGCCTGTTTCGTCTGTAATGGTTTAGTGATGCTTCGGTATTCAACGAACCAGGGAACTGTGTCGATTGTTTGTCACTTAACAGTTACTGGGAGTGAAAGCTCCATAATTACGTTCTAGCAACTTGAGAAGCCCTCTTTTTTCTATGCTACATTCTTGGATCCCTTGAAGGTCAACTTCGTCTTTTTGACCATGTGAACGTAATGGTGCTTTCATGTTCCTCAGGTGCTCTTGTCGTGGGCCCGATAGCAAAAATACTTGGCAAAGTTAGAATAATTTTAAATAAGCAAAGAAGTGCAACACCGAAACCCGACCGCAGAAGTATCTTCATGTAATGTAAGCGTTGGTAAAAACCGTGCAAACCGAAAATCGTGCAAAGCATGCTGGTCTCGCCAGCGCCAATAGAAGATGCTCAGGGAAAAGGTGACTCCATCGCAACAGCCGCACCATGTCTGTTACTGACTGTGCTATGTGCACAAGCTCCTCAGAGCTGTAGAAAAAAGACAGTTGAGATTCGGGCGCATGTGAAGGCCAAGTAAAATCGACAGAGAGGAATGGCGATTGCTGGTTGTGTATTCCACTGTCAGATGGCGCCACCTGTCCAGGTCGCTGAAGTTTGTGGGGCCGTGATCAGCAAACTGCTATTGCTAAAAAGTTTGCGGACTAACTGAAGCTTCTCAATATTTCTATAGGAAAAATGCATATGTCTGGCAATAGCAGAGTTTAAAATTGTGCTGGCAGGGCTGAGGGAAATTAATTTAGGCCAAGTATGCACCCCTTTTCGCAGGACGTGCTAGGCTCGATCAGGGTGCGCCCTGTATCCATTATAAAAAGGGTTTCCATGCGGTTATGTGCTCGCTTGGAATGCTACCGTAATGTTCACGCATTGACTCCCTTCTGCCGGTACGGCATCAAGTTTCTGTGAAGTGGGCGGGGACTGCTAGCTAAGACAATATATAATATCAAGACAATGGGTGATCGTAACCTCTGAGTGTTTCATGAATGTTCGGGTAATTATACGGGGAATCGTGTACAATCACAACGCAACACCACCTTCCACCCATCGCTAGCAGGCCGCTCACCCGATCATTGCTTTGTGCACAGCAGATGATGTAGTGGCGCCTCAGTTCCGTCGCTTTGACGTAAGCGCTGGGACACACACTCACAATGTTGCCAGTAGTTTGTTGGAAGCCAGTTGGGAGTTGCTAGGTAACTTTTAAAATTCACTTGTAAAAAATCTGCATATCTCTCCAGCCTATAAATAGAGACGAATGATGGACACCTGCAAATTAATGTACCAAGCGAATTTCGCTGATATCTAGTATTGATATTTGGAAACTCCAGGTGCTTGTTCGATAGTCCTGCATTCTGACCAATTATGGCTAGCAAACACTGCCTTTAAGATATTTTACTTTTGTTTTAAAGCGTGAGTGCTCATCTGAGTTTTCAGCACCTTGTGACATTGCCTCTAATATCGCCCCTTGTGATGTTCCATGAAAAGAATGAGTGCGTATTTTCAATGTCGCAGAACATACACGTGGTATGCGCAAAACCACGACTGGCTCCCGACGAGGGCTTTTGTTCCTCGCGCTTCTTTTTTTTTTTGGGCTGCTCTTCCTTGAGTGGTTCTGGCTGTTTACGCCAGGAATGCTTTTTTTTTTCCTGGGTGCGACACTCTCAGAACACCCGCGTTGTTGCATTCTTCTGTGCCCATGTGCCCAAGCATCACCAAGGCTAGAGTGCACATGGTCTCAGCTACTTTTCCATAGTGGGGCACTGTTTTAAGAACGATAGTCATTCTTGGGGACCTTCGACGAAAAAGAAATTTTGGTCTGTCTGTCTGTCTGTCTGTACATTTGTCTGTTTGTCCACCCTAATCGATTCTTCAAACAGCATTAAACGGCCAACCCCAACCACAGCGCCCACCAATATTGCTCAAGGTTTAGCGTTCATTGTTGTGCGATTGTCAATTAAAAAGCCATTATTGCGCATATCTGTGGCGCCATAACAACGTGTTGATGTTTTGTATGTCTGCCTTTATACTAAAGAAGGCGCACACAAGTAATTCTAAGGACTGTAGCATTTGTCGCGCTGTGCTGACAGTGCAATACGATGTTGAAAAAGGTAAGTGTTTCCAACGCTTTGCTACGACGACATGGTGGCGGCACTGCCCGTCGCTTTGCGTTCTACACCTTATCACCTCAGAGATTGCGCGAATCTTTCTCCGCGGGTGTGCACGCCTTTGTTTTCGAAGATAACTGCCAGATGGCGCTTGTGTCTAATGTGCTTCGATGCGCTCATTCGTCTCCGCTACACGCTCGAGGCGCTCTAACGCAGCGCCTTCAGAATACAATTCTCCAGTTTTCTCGCGCAGAACATATAAATGTCAGACTTTCCAAAAATTTCTAGAGCACTGCCACGTATTCGCTGAACAAATTTGCAGAACATGATTACTCAGAGTGACATCAAACGTTAGCAGAAGCATTTCACTGAGAACATGTCTCAGAAAATGCAATATTTTAAAGACCATTAATAAAAAAAGCCATCTTTGATTTCCTTTTTAGCATTCTTCCAAGACTCTGGCACTCTGCAAAGAGGCAAAGCTGCTCGTGAGGATCAGGTAACAACAGATCTACTGAAAGATGGAGGACAGATTGTGTTAGAAAAACTAGCCACCCCGTTTACGAGGTGTCTCCTGACGGGAAGAGTGCCAGAGTCTTGGAAGAACGCTAACATCATCTTAATACTGTGAAGAAGATGGGCCTGCAGCAAGCAGCACCGCCAACGCCCGGCTCTCTCGGCTCGTGCTTCAGTTCGTTGTTGTGCCGATCGCTGGACGGTTCTTCACGCTGTCTCGTCGCTGTCTTTAACGGCTATTAAACCTCGTCACAATACATAAGAAAGGCGATGACAAGGACTTGAAGAATTACAGGCCAATCAGCTTGCTCTCTGTAGTATACAAGCTATTTACAAAGGTAATTGCTAACAGAGTAAAGAAAACATTAGAATTCAATCAACCAAAGGAACAAGCAGGATTTTGAACAGGCTACTCAACAATCGACCACATTCATACTATCAATCAGGTAATAGAGAAATGCTCAGAATATAACCAACCACTATTCATAGCCTTCATAGATTACGAGAAGGCGTTTGATTCAGTAGAAATATCAGCCGTCATGCAGACACTGCGGAATCATGGTGTCGATGAAGCGTATATAAAACATCCTGGAAGAAATCTACAAGGGATCAACTGCTACCATAGTGCTTCATAAAGAAAGCAACAGAATACCAATCAAGAAGGGTGTAAGGCAGGGGGACACAATCTCTCCAATGCTATTCACCGCGTGCTTACAGGAGGTTTTCAGAAGCCTAGAATGGGAACAGTTGGGCGTAAGAGTCAATGGAGAGTACCTTAGTAACCTGTGCTTCGCCGATGACATTGCATTGCTGAGTAACTCAGGGGACGAATTGCAACTCATGATTACAGAGTTAGACAAGGAGAGCAGAGAGGTGGGTCTTAAAATTAATCTGCAGAAAAACGAAAGTAATGTACAACAACTTCGAAAAAGAGCAGCGCTTCTAGATAGGTAATAGTGCACTTCAAGTTGTAAAAGACTATGTCTACTTAGGGCAGGTAATAACCGCGGAGCCTAACCACGAGTCTGAAGTAACTAGAATAAGAATTGGGTGGAGCACATTTGGTAAAAACTCTCGAATTATGACAGGTAGATTGCCACTATCCCTCAAGAGGAAGGTATATAACAGCTGTATCTTGCCGGTACTTAGCTATGGAGCAGAAACCTGGAGACTTACAAAGAGGGTTCAGCTTAAATTGAGGACGACGCAGCGAGCAATGGAAAGAAAAATGGTAGGTGTAACCTTAAAAGACGAGAAGAGAGCAGAGTGGATTAGGGAACAAATGGGGATTAAGGATATCATAGCTGAAACCAAGAAGAGGAAATGGACATGGGCCGGGCATGTAGTGCGTAGACAGGATAACCGCTGGTCATTAAGGGTAACTAACTGAATTCCCAGCGAAGGCAAGCGGGTTAGGGGGAGACAGAAGGTTAGGTGGGCATATGAGATTAAGAAGTTTGCGGGTATAAATTGGCAGCGGCAAGCACAGGACCGGGTTGACTGGCGGAACATGGGAGAGGCCTTTGTCCTGCAATGGACGTAGTCAGGCTGATGATGATGATGATTTTCTTTTAACTCTTCGAACGGCATCGAGCGAGCTCAATGCCATGGTTAATCAGTTTGGATCACTTTTAATACTTTTCGTGCTTTGTAACTTCGTTCTCAAAAAAGTGATGCAACATGTTTTGCAATAATGCAACATGCAACAGTAATGCGACATGCAATAGTAATGCAACAGATTAAGTTAGAGCATTTGCTTGGATTTAATTCTGAAGAGTTGGAAGAAAAGCGAAGATGGCTTTTTTTCTTTTATTGGTCTTCAAGATATTGCATCATAAAAGACATGTCCTCAGTCAAATGCTTCTGCTAACATTTGCCCTCACTCTCGGCAATCGCGTTCTGCAAATTTGTTCTCCTAACATGTGGCAGTGCGCTCAACATTTTTTTGAAGTCTGATATTTATGTGTGTGGAGGAAAAAAAGGTAAAATTTAGGCAATATTAGTCTGTATGCCGATTTCCCAATTTTTTTTTTTTGCTTGAAAAACAGTGCCCAAACTGCAAAGTAATAACGGTTTATCATAGAAAACTATTCTTGGTGTGTGGCGCGAACTTCTCAAACCTACAGCTACAACAGTTATTATTATTTTTTAGGTTTCATCGAAATGCCACTTACACCAAATTGAAACGGTTGCAGCTCAGTGGATGCCACTGAATTTTTTTTTTAAGAAGGCAGAAAGGGGTTTCCTGTTCATGGGAATTTGGAAAAAAAAATTTTTTTCCGAAATAAAGGGTGTCGACAGACATGCACTGACGTTCTTATCTGAATGTATCTGAACACAGCCTGCTTATTATTTAAACAAGTTCATTATTGCTTACTATTACTGCTGCATAAATTTTAAATTTTAACACCGCATTTTTTATTTTTTACAAGAATGATGGAAATGAGGCTGACCAGCCAATCACAAGACATCCTGGAAAAGGAAGCACAGATAGAGTCCCTGAATGCAAAGCTGTTGACCGTGAGTTCTATACGATTTCTTTCTTTCATTCAATTTCTGTGTGCATGTGTATGTGCACTGGAAGAAGTAATAGGGACTTCGTATTTCCCAAAGAACCTTGACTCACTTTTGGGGTGCTTTTTTTTGTCTCAGTCATTCATGCAATCAAGTACACTTGTTGTTTCAAAGCTGGCAAACATGTTCTACTTCTGCATATGCATGCATACACCAAAGATTGCCACATTTATACTATCCTCTACGGCAATAGCAGATGTAAACTGAAAAATATAGGGCCCAGTAATGCTCGTATTTTTGTTTTTAGCTCCTACAGTTTGGGTCACATCGATGTAATTTTGACTCTAATAGCAGTTTTAGTAGCACTTGTCATGCTAACCAAAGATGCCATTGCTGAATCCGTGAGTACTGTACATAGTGCGATTGTGTTTGACATGGTTCATGATGGTGGCACATACTTGTAAAAAAGGGCGACTCTCAATGTGCATGTCATTAAGAGAAACTGCCTTTGGGTATTCATTGGTAAATGCATGCTGTAAAAGAATATTTGCAAAGGTTGTTCCTAGTCTCATAACTGTGACTGTATGTTTTAAATGGTCTATATTTTCTGAATAAGTTAGGCTTAAAGTTTCTATGACAGCAGAACAAAATCGCCTGAGAATATGTGCTTGGTTCTTGTTCTGTAGATAACGGAACTTTTTGAGAGAACTAAGCACGAAGTTGCAGAGACAACCGAGCAGCTGCAGGCAACAGCAGCTGAGCTCCACAGCACCAAGAGAACCTTGAACGCAACAGAGCAGGCAAGTCTCTTGAGTTTTTTAATCTCTGGGCCCAAGCTCTGCTCGTCATTGGAGGTTGTACTATCACCAAAAAAGTAGTTATGGTTGGCATGGACTTTAATTCTCTACACACAAGGTGGTGAGAGGTTTGAAGTAAGTTTGGTGCCTCTGGCTTGTTATTTTATATCTTAAAATGATGTCGATTGTGAGGAATGCTTTCAACACATTTTCCAAAGAAAGAAGTTTATTGGAGTAGTTCAACGTAAATTTTGCTAGGCCCTTCAAGTTGGCTCGGAGTGAGTTTAGAATTTTCGAAGCACTCTTATTGTTCCTGAGGGCAAGTGTGATTTCATTTGTGCTTGTGAAATGGTTTCAGATAATGAGTGATGCTTATTTTATAAAATTAACACTGCAGAACAAAAACTTGATGCTCGATACATTTGTCAGGAAAAACTTTGGTAGTCAAACCCCTTTATGAGAGATTCTGATGTAAGAGGCAAATGAGTATAGGAGACGCCAGTGGGCCGACATTAGTGATAGAAGTGCTGCTCCAATTGTTCCAACCTTCTCCAAAAAAGAGTTGCTGCTCCATGGTGCTCGAAAATGCTATACTACCGTATTTACTCGCATAATCCTCGCACTTTTTTTGTCGGAAAACTGATGAAAAGTTGGGGGGTGCGAGAATTACGCGGGGAAAACTTTCTACGAAAACGTACAGAGCGAAAAAGAAAACGAAGTGGCCGCAAATCAGGATTCTCACACCAACAACTAACAGCAAGCTTTAAGAAGTACTAATTAAAACTTACCTCAACAATAAAAACAGAGGTTCAACACAAGACAAGATTTAATTGAGACACAAAAAGTGGAAGCACATAGTCAAGAATTACAATACCGTATGCAAAGCTTGCGGACGTTGCAGGCGTAGCGGTAACGTTCGTCGCTCAACAGGAGCCCTCAAAAGGCAAGCATGGGACGTCAGTATTGGGCTGATGGCTATTTAACAGAATTGTCCGCAGTTTCCTTCTTAAGAAATAAAGTTTACCAAGGGCCTACCCGAGGCCCTGTTGCCGTTCTTTAGTGCATTATCTATCACTTGCAACTTGAAAGCAGCCGTACAGCTTCAGTATCGCCTCATAAATTGACAAGGTTACCGACGCAACATACAAAACACGCCGCAACGCGCACTGGCCAATTCGGCTTGGCTTGAGTTGGATTGAATATCTGTGCAATAGTATGCTTGATGCTTAAGAGATGGCGCCAGATGACATGCGCTATCATCATCAGTGGTTGGAAAGAGCAGACATTATTGCAGCAGTTTTCGGGGGTGTGATAATTACTCAAGGAAAAAAAGAAATCGCATTTTTTGGGGGCGATGTGGGGGGTGCGAGAATTGTGCGAGTGCGAGGATTACGCGAGTAAATACGGTATTTGTTAGTAACTGCTCCGAACCTGCTCCAAAATGGCGTTGGGAAAACTAAAAACAATTATGATTTATGTTAAACCATGCGATCATACAGCAAGCCTAAATGAAAACAAAAACAAGCTGTATACTGTTGTCTAGTATACAGCTTGTGTAGTAGCTGTATACTAAAATATTGACAATGCTACATGTAGTAGCGTTTTTATATATATCTGATATATTAGTTGTATATTTGTGCTTTCTAAGCAGGCTATTTTGGTGAAATGCGTGCGAGACTTTCTAGTCGTACTAGCCGCTGCTGTGACGACTTTGATATGTGACTAATAACATTTAGTGCTTTCATCAACTTTTACCTCATTTATGTCTCAAGAACAAGCAATTTAAAATTTTAAATGTTAGTTCATTTAACCTATTCGATTTAAAAAAATTACAATGCTGGCCACTTTCGCAAAATATGAAAATAACATTTGGTGTTCAAAGACCATCCACCTATCTAATTATGTTTATTGTAATATTCAGTGATTATTGTATGTATAATATGTTTGATAACAAATATGAATATTTGTAAGAGGCTTATTTGATGCATTAAACTCCAGGAGTCATTTGGAATATTTTGCGATCTGCTCCGAAAACACCAATAGCTGCTGCAGGCTAGCATTTCATCTGCTCCAAAGACAATCAAGGCTGCTGGGAAGTGCCATTTTTCCTTGTCCAGAATTTGCTCCAAAAATTGGAATGTTTCTTCCGTCTCTGCTATGTTGAAATAAGTGTTCGTAACAAAAGCATACGTGGTACCCTTCTTAGAAGAAGCGCCTCCTATAAAGGAGAAAAATTGCTCCCCGGAGCATGCCTCTTATAAAGGGATTCAACTGTAAAGGGCTTGTGGACTTTTTTATTTTTTCTTTTTCGAAACAGCGGATGTATTGTCGAAACTTGCCACAGTGTCGTCTCGAGTAATCATTCTCGTTACCCATTCATTGCAGGTGCTGTCAAAAACAAGTGTGGAAAAAGAAGAGCAGGCCTATCTTGTGCAAGCCCACAGTAAGACGGAGGCAACACTTACCGCAACTGCTGAAGAGGTGAAAATACTACTTATATTATACATTACATTTTAATTGGATAGCATCAGTAAAATATGTGCCACTAAGGTTATGACTGAGACTTTGTCGCCTCATTCTGAAAATTAAATTGGGAGACAAAAATTAAATTTTCAACCATACACCGCGGATACAGCTAAAGAGTTAATGAAGCAGATCAACCTGTCATCGCAAAATAGCATGCGCACTAAAAACATGTAACGATTGGCGTTTAAATATATATATGCAAGAAGAAATAACGCAAATGTAACACTCACATCTGCTGTTAGTCATAAAGCTGCAAGCAGTTATTACAAGATGAAGGCAGGAGCTGATTAATGGGATACAGCCTCAGCATACTAAAAAGTGAGGAATAGTGTAATTTTCAGAAACACTTGAAGTGTCAATCAATATGCGGTAAAACCTCGTTAATTCAACCTTGGTTATTTTGAAATCTCGTTTAATTCAAGATATTTCCATGGTCTTGTATTTTGCGATCCAAGTCTGAGTGGATAATTTGAAGTGGCTGTTATCACCAATCCAGTTAATTCAAAAACTTTGGGTGCCATGTGCTAATGCCCGATCCCGATTTTGCCGCCAATCCGCTAAAACAGCGGCTCTTAAGAGCCACAAGGAAATGCTCTATAGTGATACGAATGAGTAGCAGCTGAAGCCTCCCAGCCTCGCTACTTCCAGCACGAAAAAAAAGGAGGGGGGAGGTCAGCTGAAATGTGCGCTTGCAGAAAACAAGTTGTGCTTTGCTGCAACACAGAAGTGACACGCGGGCAGCATGTGGCATGCTTCTCGCAACATCAGCGTGTCATGATTTATCTTTGCTTTCTTGAAATATAAAGAAAATAATAAAGGACAGCCTAGTGGAGTTTGTGATGTATGCGAACCTCGGATTGCTGGTTGCTCCAGCAATTTTGGCACTTGCACTGCTGGCAGAGCTCTTGCTCTGCAACATCTACTTAGAAAACTCTGTTCGAATGCTTCAGTGATTGTTTTCCAGCCAGAACACATCGTGAATTTAGTCACACTGGCCATCATTAAATTCCATTTTTATATTTATGGCCACTTGCTAACAATATGTCATTACTGTGTCGCAGTGAAAATTTCTTCTTCTCCACAGGCATGCATTTCAGTTAGTCACAACTTTTTTTGTTTATTTTTTCGGTGACAGCAGTGATGAGGCCCACCGTTCCTCCATGTTTGCAGCAAAATTTGGACCTTGTATTGCTGGAAAACAAAACCCTCGGAGTCTCAAACTAGCCAGCACAGCAAACGATTAGTCCCGATTAGTGGACTCCTCTTAAACGTAACTCGAAGAGGCGAGAAAATTTGTTTCATTTATAAGGAGTTTCTTTTAAGCAAAGCACACAAAAATGAATGAAATACGACTATTTCAAAAGCACCAACTGTGGCTGTCTGAGCAAAACATTTTCAAGTATACTATACTACCATAGTATTAGAAAAAAAAATGTTTCTAATATTGCCGACTCGGAAAAAAGGAGGTGATAACTGTCGTGTTGCGCCCTAGCGAAAGGCCATGCGCGTCCGAGCCGGCCGCAGGAGCTGAGAAAGGGACTGAGCCGCTTCCGATGCGCGCGAGATAACGTCCATCCTTTATTCCATGCAACCAGCATACATATATAGCAGACACTCATGTGACCAATGACGTCACGTACAAACGACACTTTACAATAGCGGGCGACAGCGCCAGATAACGCGGACACTTGACGCCCTGGGCGCTATCACCACATCTCCCCTTCTTTAACAATACGCTGACAGTTGCAACAAACTTCGCAGCACTGCCAGCGAAAGAACACTTTGCAGAAACAAAAAATGCGCAAGAACAATACAGTCAATTACTGAACCCGTAGCGGTCCGGCCGTCGAACAAGACGACCAGATCGCGTTCGGTATTCAGGAAGGTCAGTTCCCGGCAAGGAAGGGCTAGATAGATCGTCAGGCGCCATGCTGTCTGTAACGCGATTAGAATTCTGTTCCGTTTCTACCCGACTATCATCTGCCTGAGGAAAATCATCGCTATTTCCCTCATCCTCACCTTCTTTTGGCTGTGAAACAAAGCGCACCAAGGATTTCCTGTTTCTTTCTAGAACTACACCAGTGGAAGTTCTAACCACATACGACCTGGGCCGCTCAGCAAGTCGCAAGACTCGCGCTTTTGCTTTGCAGTCCGTCACCCAGACTTTCGCGCCCGGTTCGAGTGCTCGCAACGAAGTAGCCCTATGACGAAGGTTGAAATTCCTACGCTGCCGCTGTCGGGCGGTCGTATCATGGCTTCTGAACTTTCTCAGGTTCACCGTCTGAGGCAGAAGGCTTGTGGGATGGACAGGCACCGTTGTGCGTAGCCGCCTGCCCATTAGAAGTTCTGCAGGGCTTTTCCCAAGAGGCCCCGGAGTGTCCCTGTACGCTAGGAGAGAAAGATATGGGTCCTTCGCTTTTGTAATGAGACCTTTGATTGTCTGGACCATCCTCTCTACTTCACCATTTGCCTGGGGGTACCTTGGGCTAGATGTCACAGCGCGAAACTCGTAGTTGCGAGCGAACAACTTGTATTCCTGCGACACAAATTGCGCTCCGTTATCAGACATAACAACTTCTGGTATGCCATGTCTTGCAAAGAAACTTTTAAGGTGCGTAATGACAGTGGCACTCGTTGTAGATGATAACAAAGCAATCTCTGGGTACCTAGAAAAGTAATCTACGACTACCAAATACCATTTTCCTTGAACATGGCAGAGATCAGCTCCTAGTTTTTGCCAAGGACGCTGTGGAGTGGTTGTCGGGATCATTGGTTCTGGCTTTTGGTGTCTGTGCTCGGCGCATACGCGGCAATCGGTAACCAAAGCTTTCAGCTGATAACTCAACCCTGGCCACCATACCGACTCTTTGGCTCGAGCTCTGCATTTTTCGATTCCCAGGTGACTCTCGTACAAGCGTATCAAGACCTCTGCGCGCAATTTTCGAGGAATGACCAACCTCATACCTTTAAGTAGCACGCCTTCAGCAACTGTAAGCGTGGCTCTTTCCTGCCAATATGGACGCAAGACCATCAGAAGAGATGAGAATTTTGGCCACCCTTTCCGGCTGAATTTTACGAGTGCTTGACAAACTTCGTCAGCGGCTTGTTCTGCTATCACTCTCTCGAAGAGGCTGGCCTCGACCGCGTTTGACAAGCATCCTGAAACGTGCTTGCTGACGTCACTAATAGACAGTGCATTATCAGTTTCTTTTCCCCGAATCGGGGCCCTCGACAACACATCCGCTGTAACTAAGCTCTTGCCCGGGTTCAGCTATGCACAACTTCATAGCTGAACCGCATGAGCCTCATGCGAAAACGCTGAATGCGAGGTGGTAAAACATCTAAAGGAGATTTTCCCAGCAAGGTGACAAGAGGTTTGTGGTCGGTTTCACACACAATTTCAAGACCTTTGATGTACCCTTCGAATCGTTCTGCCGCCCATGTCATTGCTAGTGCTTCTTTTTCAATCTGGGAATATCTGGTTTCGGCAGGCGTCAACGATCGCGATGCAAAGGCAACGGGTCGTTTTTCGTTGTTTGGTTGAACTTGCATCAGTACCGCCCCCAAACCGAATGATGACGCATCGGCGGAAAGAATCGTAGGGTACTTTGCATCATAGTTAGCCATGACGCGCGCCGAACCGATAACGTCTTTAACGTATGACAGCGCTTGCTCTTGGGCTGGTCCCCACGTCCATTCAGAACTCTTCAAAAGCAAGTGACGTAACGGCGCCGTTTTTGAAGCCAAATCTGGTATGAATCTTGCCAGATGATTAGTCATACCGAGCAGCCGTCGAACGTCAGACACGTGATTTGGCGTCCGCAGTTCTTTGATGGCCCAGACCTTTTCAGGGTCCGGCCTGATTCCATCTCGACTTAGAACACAACCAAGAAACTTTATCTCGGTTACTCCAAAACAACACTTTTCTTTGTTTAGCGTAACACCAGCACTCATGAGACGGTCTAAAGTAAGACGCAGACGCTCATCATGTTGAGCTTTGTCGCAGCCATAAATGAGCACATCATCCATCATGTTTACCACACCTGGGATTCCTTCCAGAATCTGCGACATTTTCTTTTGAAAAAACTCAGGTTCTGACGTTATTCCAAACGGTAGCCTCTGAAAACAGTATCGCCCAAATGGCGTAATGAAGGTAGTCAACAATTGGCTTTCCGGCGACAACTTGATCTGATAAAATCCAGAATTAGCGTCCAGCTTCGAAAAAACCGATGCCCCACTTAACAGACCAAGGCTATCTTCAACCGTTGGCATAACATAGCGCTCGCGAAGTACACTTTTATTTAGTTGCGTCAAGTCAGCGCAAATACGAACGTCTCCAAAAGGTTTGAGTACTGGTACAATACCTGCGCACCATTCTGTTGGTTCGTCTACTTTGCGGATTACGTCATCTTGCTCCATACGCTCGAGCTCCTGCTTCACTTGGTCCCGCAGGGGTAAGGCAATGCGACGTGCAACCGGAATAGCAAAGGGTACCGAGTTCGGCTTCAGTCTGATATTGTATTCCCCTTTCATAGCTCCCAGACTACCGAAAAGCTGAGGGTAGGAAGCTTCGATGGCTGTTGCGCTACTGACCGAGTCAGCGAACTTGATCAGCTCAAGGGCTTCGAGCGCTGGGAGACCCAAAAGTATCGAGCGTAAAGGCGAGACTACATACACAGTTTGTCGGACAATGCGTTGTCTCCACTGTATAGTGGCAAGAAATTTTCTGAGAACATGTAGTGGGTCATTCGCAGGGCCTGTTAAGGTTTTGTCGCACTTGTCTAATTTGGTAGGCAATCCCGGAAATGTTGAGGGTACAACGGACACTTCTGCACCCGAGTCAAGTTTAGCGAACACCGGAGTGCTGTTAATGATAATTTGAGCATACCGAGAATCGGAGTGCTCCCCATTTACCGCGCCTACGAAATACGCCACTTTTTCTATATGGAGAGAAGAAATCTGTACCTTCTTTCGCTCGCCTGCAGCCTTTTTCCGACACACCACTGCAAAATGTCCGGAACAACCGCAGTAGTTGCATTTCGCAGCTCGTGCCGGGCAGGAGGTCCTCGGGTGCTCTTCTTGACCGCAGTTGGGGCATGAACTGGATGTGAGAGGTCGGTAGGACTGTGGTCTGGTGCGTTGACCTTGTGTGACCGGTGCACTGGTCCTTGACGAGGTGCCGGAACGCTGTCCTGAAGAATTCTTTCGGGGCTGCCGTTGTTTGTTGACCGCGTCCAGGTTGCTGGCTGGCGCTGCCGAAGGTTCGTCGCTTGTTTCTCACAGCTGTTGCTGCTGTCGTTGGACGGTCTCCTTCAAGCGAGCTTTTGCCAAAGCGCTGGCGAGTGTAAGATTTGCATCCATTTGCAGAGACTCCGAGAGCTTGGCATCACTGAGGCCGACTACAAACCGGTTGCGGATCATGCGTTCCTTTTTCTTGTAGTCGCACCGGTCCGCCAGTGTGTGCAACGCGGTGATGAATTGGTCGACTGACTCGCCTGGTTGTTGTATGCGTCGGTGAAAACATGCGCTCTCGTAAACGAGGTTCCGTGCGGCCACGAAGTGATCGTCGAACTTTTTTCTGACGACTTCATACTGCTTCTGCTGTTGTTCAGATAGTGTGAAGGTCGAAAAGATCTCTCTCGCTTGCCTGCCCATTGTGTAGAGTAGAGTCCGGACTTGCGCTTCTTCACTTCGCTCATTTAAGCCAGAGGCAAAGCGGTAGTCGTCGAATAGTTGGATCCAGAAAGGCCATTCGGACGTTCGGTCGAAGTCAAACGCTGGCGGAGCTGGAACCGCGAACATGCCGTGAACTGGCTTGACTTCTTTGTCTTCTGACATGGCGCCGCTTGACGAAGACTGGTGCAACGCCCCTCGAATATCAGAAGAATCCCACTTCTGACACCATGTCGTGTTGCGCCCTAGCGAAAGGCCATGCGCGTCCGGGCCGGCCGGAGGAGCTGAGAAAGGGACTGAGCCGCTTCCGATGCGCGCGAGATAACGTCCATCCTTTATTCCATGCAACCAGCATACATATATAGCAGACACTCATGTGACCAATGACTTCACGTACAAACGACACTTTACAATTGCGGGCGACAGCGCCAGATAACGCGGACACTAGACGCCCTGGGCGCTATCACCACAATAACAATTTGCTTGGCCTTGTTCAAGCACTTTTTCACATAGTAGGAGTGCATTGCTGAAGGGCTGGGCAGGAACTCCGTGCCACTGTCGTGTTCAAAGTAGAGCTGCAACAGGATAACAGCATCTCTTGCTGCACTGTCAGCCACTGAAATGGGCTAGGGATCACACACTATCTCATTACCACTGAAGCACGGGTCCTCATCCTGAACTTCAGCTATAGGTTCCTCAAGGCTGTCCTCAAGTTCACGACAAGACGACGATTGCTGCTTAACATGCACGGACATGTGCAATCGCTTGATTGGCTTGGCTAGGCTAGCTTTGGCATTTGTTTGATGGTTGCTAGACTGCCGTGGCCACTTCCGCCGCTCATGGATTTTGCCCGTTTTAGTTTCATTTAACCGATGTAAGCTAAAAGAAATGTTCCGATTACCTAAAACTTTTTATCGCTAAATATATAGGATACCAACCGAATGTGCCTAGATAGTTTCGTTTATGCGGCTTTTCTGTATAACCAAGTTTTGCGTAATAGGAGTCCACTGTACGTCGAATGTTTCCAATTTTTTTTGCATCTCATTTTTTGTTTGAGTAATTTGGAAACCCTGTTATTTTAAAGATTTCTCTCAGTCCCAGTGAATTCGAACTAACAAGGTTTTACTGTAGTGTCTGTAGTCTCGTAAAAGCTTGGGCTGCATGCAGATCACTTCAGGGATAGAACGGACAAGGAGAATGACCTGTAGCTATTTCCAAGGTTCGTTGTTTTAGGGTTCTTCTGTCGTTACTGATTATTAAAAAAATATTGGGTGTGTTGAATATTTTCTAATATGCACTAGCATTCGATCCGATTACCAAATCCAATACAGCGCTATTCGATTCGCTATTTGAAATTTTCGAATATTTGCACACCCCTAATCAATAAGTATTTGTTATGATATAACAGGATTATTACAGAGCATAAATTATACACTGGAGGGTCATAAAGTACAAGATAGCATTGTAGCGCACCTCATGGGTCTTTATTGTGAAACCAACATAATGCGATCGCGAACCAGCATGCCATAGAAATTGAGCCATGTGAACACAGATGTACTGCAGTGTGCCACAAATAACACGATTATTCTTTCTAACAGCCAATATTGCCGTCAACTGCCAAAAAAAGTTCATACAAGTCGCTCTCACTTTGCAAATTTTACCAATTGAGTCTTGCCAGTTACAGACTACGCTTGCGAGTATTCTCAGCGCCAGATTTGGCGCAATAACGAATGTGGAGTGCCATTGCCTCGCGAGTTCCTTCCTGTTCCCAGGACAACAAAAATTACTCACGGTGGCTTCTTCGTAAAATCCAAAGTGCAACACAATATTGTTTCTCAAAATAATAAAAGCTAAACTACCGTATTTACTTGATTCTACCGCGCCCTCGATTGTAACGCGCACTCGGTTTTCACGACGAAAAAAAAAAAAGTAAGACATCGATTGCAACGCGCACCCATTTTTCTCATTGGCCCGCACGATCACACTACTCGGGAAAACGATTCCTTTCAGGAGCATCTTCCGTTTAAATATGAGGTTCGGGGGAAGCTTGTGCCTATCTGACGTGCAACGGAGCATTGCCGTCACTGTTCTTTTACCGTGGCCCGATGTCAGCATGCGAACTTGCTTCGCCCCCTCCTTCTCGACGGTTGTGGTGCCAGGCATGTCGAAGTAAAGAGGCGTCTGGTCGGCATTCCCGATTTGCCCAAGCAGGTAGCCGTTGTTGTGCCGCAAGTTTAGGACGAACCTCTGAAAACTGTGAAGCTTTCCTTCGTACTCCTCCGGCAAGTTTTGGCGCATGCCCGTTCGCTTTCGAAGGGAAAAGCCTTTCCTCTTCATAAAGTTAGTTAGCCAGCACTTGGAGCAGTTTTGTCGTCACGGGCCGCTGTGCCGCTCGCTGCTCAAGCACATACTCGGCGAGCAGCTCTTCAATTTGCGGAAACAGACCCTGCTGTGGTACACTGAAGCCTTTGCATGAATTTTTGACAATCTTCTGCTTTTGTTTCCGCCAGTCCCACACGCACGTTTCGGGAACTCCGAACGACCGCGATGCGGCCCGATTTCCATCTGTTTCGACACAAGCGGTGACTTTTCTTTTAAAAGCGGCATTGTGGTGCACTCGTCGAGTTTCTGGAGTCGGCCTTTTCATGCCGTCGATGCTAATGAACTACAAGATGACGAACTCCTCAGCACACATACGAAGTGCCGCACATGGGAAACGCATAGGCAGAAATGGCCGACGTGCCATGCCGAAGCACGTAGAGGGCGGCCATTTTGGAAATGTTGATGGCAATAGAATGATTGTATTCATTTTTTTTTTTCGCACTCGATTTTAACGCGCATGCGATTTATGAACTCTCTTAACCGGAAAAGTGCGCTTTAGATTGTAGTAGTTACGGTACACTCTAATCTTATTATAACAAAGTCGTATCTTAGAAGAAAATAAGTTTGTTATATCCAAAACTTCGTTATAAAACTTATTGCCAACTTTATTGCAAGACTATTTACTTTGTTATAACCGATATTTTGTTAGATCTGTGTTTGTTATATTGAGGAGGTTCGAGTGTAATGAGAAATAAAGAACATATATTTGAATTAGTACTCACAAAGCTCCAATCAAACTTTGCGGAACCCAGTTTGAGACCTTGAAACATTGGGTAATGGTGGCAGTAGGGAGGGGAAAGAGAGGAATCTGTAGGTTGTGGTCAAACCCTACCTATCTCGAAAACTAGAATGGAATGACATTTTGACACCTGCCACTTGCAGGTGTCATGCTTGCTATTCTAGGCTTGCTTTATCATTAATGCCCCAACACAATGCACATCTATGTTGCAGTGAAGTAGGCAACACATGTACATTAGTAATGTTCTTAATTAATAATCAAGAATGTGCTCTCAAAAGTTGCAGGCTTCCTGCTGTACAACTCCAAGTGATGCGATCCCGAACTCTATTTTGTTGTTCCTAACCTGCTTCGAAACAAATCTTTCCAGCTTCGAATCTGCTCTTAAACACGGTTTCTTCTGGTACAAATCTGCTTCTGAACAGCTTTTTTCCGGCTTCGAAAATTCCTCCAAATGCAAAACTGGCTAAACCACCACTGATCATTTGTTGTGGCCCATCTACACTGCTGCAACGACTGTTCACATAATGGTGCCTTGTTTTTCTTTGTGCTCCAGTTGGTTGGTGTTGCAAAAACTGCTACAGCCGACATTGACCTGCTACAGCAAAAGCTTCAGCGCACTTCTGCCATTGACCAGGCGAACAAGGAGCGGCAGATTGCCTTTGTGTCCAGCTCGAGTGCACTTTTTGGTCAAATTGAAGCCAGCTTCATCGAACGGCTTGCATCTCAGCAGGATCTCCTTGGTGGCGTGGGTGGCTTGTTTGGTAAGCGCCTTGCAGCTTAACTATGGCAGAACAGTGTTAAGGGCTGTGGTGATAGGACAGTTTTTTGTGCCGTGCACATTGTGAATTACTGTTGCTAGGGTTATTTTCTTGAAATAAATTTTTCTCATCAAATATTGAATGATGCACAGGTAAATTCATTCAGCTTCTTCAATTCGATATTGTTGCAGACCTGTCAACCAATGTATATTTCCTAATGTTTACTGAACCTCGCATGTCAAGAGAGCAGCCCCAATGGCTGTTTACTGAAAATTAGCCTTGTGTGAATAGTTAAATTCAGGTTCAAGGCAAATGTAAAGGGAATAGAGCTTTGGTCGAATAATTTCAAGTCGATTTCGAATAGTATATATCACGTATCCAAATAAAAGTGGTTATATTTGTTATTGTGCTGGTGACCTATACAATATGCATTTATATATATATAATTGAACCAAGGCATGTGCACATGCCATTCTTCCTAATTCAAAGGAAATGAGAATAACTTTGATTAGCTTTGATTAGTTGATATGTTAATTTTTAAGATTTACCTTAGTTAGAGCATATAAGCCAGTATAGGAAGTTTTTAAACTTAAAACTGATTAATCGACGTGGGGGTAATATGTTCCTTTAATCTTGATGTAGGGCGTGGAGTCAAGGCAAATTTTTCCTGTATAGTTGTTGGCATTGTCACGAATTAGCACTCCTCTATTGCAGTGAGAACCATTTTTACAGGGGGCTACATGTGGGCTATTATACATTTATTTGTTCTTCACTAGTTTCAAATGCTTTGATACTTCCAGTAATTTAAATTTGAATCCAATACCGTAATATATATTTGAATATATAGAGTGCTCGAGTATTAGCACAAGGCTAGTTAAAATTCCTGCAAATCTCCCCTGATGGTCTTCAACAGTCTTCAGATTGCTAAATGGACAGAAAGAATTGCACCTACCTACTTTGCATGTGTCCATTCAATTTGTTGCCTCAGGCACTTACTGGCAGTTAGTGCAATCTAACGTAGTTTTCATTTTGTTTATGCTTTTGGGCTGCATGTAAACATAAATCGTCATTATTGGGATAGTGATAAATCGCTATATATGTGTGGTCACGGCAAGCTTTTATACTGTGTGCTATTCACCTGTTTTTCATCTTTAGTTGGTGTCGTGTCCATGTGGTATCTACAAGCTATTAAATCTGTCTGCTGTGCAGTTGCCTGTTGCAAGCAGTATGCAATAGAGTTGTAGGCTGTTGAAATTGTTTTGACTTGACTAGTACTGCAATTTGAAAGCAATTTAATCCATGTTAGGTCATGCCATACTGTTTACTTGAAGGCATTTAGTTATGTGGCACTTCCGATTGGATAGATTCGTCAGTGAAACAACAGTGTGCTTGGTACATGTAGCACCGCAAATATGATGACAGATTAGTGAAGCAAGAGTTTCATTAGGACACCATCAAATTAAAATGGAGGTGTATGGTTGGTGTTCAAACAAGACACTAGGGGCATGTAGCATCTTATACGGTCAAACACCGTTGTAAGAGACAGTTGGACTTGAGAGACACCAGTGTGTCTACAAGGAAGTAAGTGTTGATAGGAAAATGAGAGGTGTGGTACCCTGCTTGTAAAAGGCACCTCCTATAAGGGATAAGAATTGCTCCTTAGTGCGTGCATCTTATAAAAGACTTCAACTTGACTGTATCTTGTGGTGCATGTAATTTACGGCACACTCTGTGGCACACCCTTCTACAGTTGAACCCCTTTGCAAGACATTCACCGAGGAGCAGTTCTTGTCTTTTATGGGAGATGTCTCTTATAAGCTGGTTACAATGTTTGCATTTTTTATCAACCTCTGTTTTAATGTAGGCACTCTGGGGTCTCTTATACCCCAAAAAAATCAGCAGGAAGGGAAAGATGAAAGCTTGCAATGAAACAATTCCTAAAAGGATGCTGAAAAAAAAAAAACTTAGAAAAACTCACGAAGAAATCGAAACTCTACACCGGAGACATAACTGTTTCATTAAACAAAGCTTATTTGACGTATTTTTGGAGAGTTGGCTGTATTTTTAGTGGATTTTACAGCGCAGCGGCTACACACGAGCAGGAGCTGTGACATCACAGGCACTGAGGAGCATGCAGGGTTCCTGACCTCCTCTTTCCTTTCTCCACCTCTTCTTTGATGCCTCTCTCCCCCTTCCAGAAAAACGCTGATGCTTCAACTCAGCTGGGAGCAGTGTTCTATTTTTGGCGATTCTGGGAAACATACTGTATTTACTTGCATAATCCTCGCACTTTTTTTGCCCGAAAACCGATGAAAAGTTGGGGGGTGCGAGAATTACGCGGGGAAAACTTTCTACGAAAACGTACAGAGCGAAAAAGAAAACGAAGTGGCCGCAAATCGGGATTCTCACACCAACAACTAACAGCAAGCTTTAAGAAGTACTAATTAAAACTTACCTCAACAATAAAAACAGAGGTTCAACACAAGACAAGATTAAATTGAGACACAAAGTGAAAGCAAATAGTCGAGAATTAGAATACCATACGCAAAGCTTGCGGACGTTGCGAGCGTAGCGGCAGCGTTCGTCGCTCAACAGGAGCCCTCAAAAAGTAAGCGTGGGACGTCAGTATTGGGCTGATGGCTATTTAACAGAATTGTCCGCAGTTTCCTTCTTAAGAAATAAAGTTTACCATCAATCCCAAGGGCCTACCAGCGGCCCTGTTGCCGTTCTTTAGTGCATTATCTATCACTTGCAACTTGAAAGCAGCCGTACAGTTTCAGTATCGCCTCATAATTTGACAAGGTTACCGACGCAACATACAAAACACGCCGCAACGCGCACTGGCCCCTTTGGCTTTGCTTGAGTGGGATTGAATTTCTGTGCAATAGTACGCTTGATGCTTAAGAGATTGCGCCAGTTGACGCGTGCTATCATCATCAGTGGCTGGAAAGAGCAGACGACATTATTGCAGCAGTTTTCGGGGGTGCGATAATTACTCGAGGAAAAAAAGAAATCGTATTTTTTTTATGGGCGATGTGGGGGGTGCGAGAATTAGTGCGAGGATTACGCGAGTAAATACAGTAGTAGTGGGAGGTGATGGGGAGAGAGATGCGGGAGACTGCTGTCATGATTGACATGCCCATTTCTGGCGAGTGTAACATCACCTCCTATAGTTCACGGCTACGGCTGCTAGACGCAGCAGTTTGCAAAAAACGCATTAAAATAGTATTTTTTCTACGAGTTTCTGCCTGAAATGAAGGTTGTATTTGCTGATTTCACCACCCAATCTTTCAATTTAGCTGGAAATTTTGGGGCAAGAATTTGGTTCAGTGGTATTTCTTCAAACGGGTTGTATGCTCGTAACTGCCGGGGTGGTTTAGTGGTTATGGCACTCGACTGCTGACTTGGAGGTTGCAGCATTGAATTCCGGCCAGCATGGCCGCATTATATCGATGGAGATGAAAATGCTCAAGGCTTGTGTACGTTAAAAAAACCTCAGGTGGTCGAAATTTTCTGAGCCCTCCACTATGGCATCTCTCATAATCGTATGGTGGTTTTCGGATGTTAAACCCCATCAATTAGGAAGAGACGCGCCACATTAAGTGCCTCCATCACCGAAAAAGTTACGGGCGCACAGGCGCTTCGTCATTTTCGTCTTCTTCACCTTCTGGCTCTTCAGCATCAGGCTGCTCACCGGCTACTTGAGCGATAATGTCCTCATCAGTCAGGGCATCACACACCGATGCACCAGTGTCAACTTCAACATAATCGGCAAAACGTACGCCCCGAAGAGTGTCGCGCAATGCCACTGGCATGAGCTCCTCAGCCCCATCCACGTCGACGTCACAACTATCCTGCGCACTTCCAGCTGCAAATCCACTGTGGCGGAAACAGCTTGCGATTGTGGTCACGATCACCTGTTCCCATGCGCGCACCAACATGTGCATGGCAGTGAGCAGCGTAATGCCGAAGTCCTTCCTGTCGCCCGCGCACAAAATGATTCGTGAACGAACAACGTGCTCGAGGAACAAAGCGACGCTGCCGGGAGCGGCCTAGGACTGCTAGGACTACTCCGCCGACTTATTATTATTGTGTCCTTCTAGCCTTGAGGAAGACAAGTTCAGTTGTCGAAACGACGGCTCGAGTACATAACCCCTTTTTGTAGATTTTTAAAATTTTGTATCATAGTCTTTTACAAAGGGGTTCAGCAATATTTCAATGCATATAGCATACTTTGGGAGCTAGTTTCTCTGCATTACCTTCAAGGATCACTCAAACACAGGGGTGATTGATCACTAGTGTTGTACACTACCTGTGGTACTGATGATGCGTCATGGCAGTGCATTGTTTTGTGACCTTTGGAGAAGGGTGTGTGACAACATTCAAAAGGAGATGCGGGTCGAAAAGCGAGTTTTCTTCCAAATTACCAATTTTTCATTTTCGCATGTTTTGATGAGATTAGTGCCTCTACTGTTATGAAAAAAACAAACATGTCGAGACCTAACTGGAAATGCTTTAAAAATTGCATCTAAAGAGCTCGAGATACCTGTTGAAAGGTCCAAAGTGTACAGTCTTCGAGCACCTTGCCGCCCATAAGGCGCCGCCGCTCGCCTTTGTGGTCGCATGAGGCGAAGAGTCGAGCCTCACTCTTCAAGTAACGACAGTTTCCCTCGCTGATGCAGGGCAAGAAATATAGTAAGAGAAAAACGCGCTTCTGCTCGTTTTTCAAGCGCCGCGACTGGCTTATCACGTGGTACAAATTGGCGACCGCCATTAGCCGCTGCGCCTATTTGCGGCGTAAAACCTATTTGTGGCGTCCATGTCTTGGCGAGAAGCGCAGCTGAACAATGCTTTTCTCATGTACTTACCTACGTTAGAAATGAAAAAAGCCATTGCTCGCGCGTGAAAGCCGTTGTGTGGTGCGCTCTGTAGGAATAGGCTATGAGCAGTCTGATTTGCGGCAGTTGTTGGCTTGCAAAAGCCAATGCATGAAAAGTCATTCACAGCCATCAGCCGGAAAGTTCGTGATGTGGCAATAGATGACGTCAGCGCCTGTCTTGCGAGGTCGAAGGAGCTCGCTACGACATTGCCATTATGTACGACGGTTTGTGGCACAAGCATGGCCGCAAAATGGCATGACACTGGACTTAGTTTTGATTTCGCAGTCCTCTCGAAATTCTTCCTAGCTTGCAGTTGACACAAGGCTCTGCCAGGCGGAGCGGAAGTTTGGCAAGCATTTTATGGCCCTGTCTGTGAGCGAAATGTCTGTGAGGAGTCGGCTCGAAATAGCTGAGAGGGACAAACTCGTGGTGCCGGCGTATTTTAGTGGCAGTGGCCACTACAAGAAGGATTGTTAGTTTTTTTTTTGTGTGCAAACTTTATCAGATTTAAGGAGGTTTTTCATAAGTAAAAACTCAATTTTAATTGTAAACTTGTTTTCTCGAAAAACTAAATTTCACCATTTTTTCAATGTGCCCCTCCTTTTTTGGGTACTTCTAGTGCTCGAATCTGCATGAAACTGCCCAAATTTTTCTAAAGTGTGACAAGTACAATTCATCTTGCTTAAATTTCAATATTTTATTGTATAATAAAAAATTGTACGGAAACCTAGGGTAGGTGTAATATGGACTTTTTATGTATATTATTTTTCATGCCTATTACATAATTTGTATGTACTTCCTAATTAGTTATTTGCAGTCTACACTTCATTTGAAACTTTATGAACTATGAATGGTAAAAAAAAATACGGAAGTTTAGGGATGAAACGAGGGGGGCGGGGAGGGGGGGGGCAAAAGGGTTAAGGTTTTCACTTTATTATGTTGCAGAGCTAAAAGTAAGCAACTTGCAAGAAAACTAATTATATATTTGAACTCAGCATAAAAAGTTCCATAAACAGCTCAAGTTTCATTGCTCTAAGTGTCTTCGAGTAGCATCTTCCCTTAAGCACTTTTTTTTTATTCTCAATACGAATTAGTCTCTAAAGGAGGGTGCAAATTATAATTACTTTCTGCCCCAGGTTTAATCTTTCTGCTCCGTATTCAAAGTATGTATTCTGCTTTGTAAATTGTCTCAATACCTGTTGAGCTGCTTGAACTGCCAGACAGCATGTAAATTTTCAAGATGTAAAGCCGCTTCCCTTCAATGCCTTTCCTTTGAACAGCTTCACTGGACAGTCTTGTTCAGCAACACCAGGCTGCGGTTGCTGCATACACGTTGGAAGCCAAGAAGTTGGCTGACGAGAGTGAAGCAGCCATCACTGCCCTCCTCTCTTCTCTACTGTCCACAGTGCAAGCTTCCCAGGAGCAGCAGGCAGCTCAAATGGCGGCCAACTTGGTACGCAGCACGAACTCATTTTGCTGTACCTGATTGTATTACACCACTGCTACTTGCCTTGTCATAGGAGCGGGTGCTTTGTTTTGATGGCCTGCTCTCGTCATTGGAGCAAGAAGCCATATAATCTACTTGTGTAGAGCTTAAAGGTACACGAAGGAAGAATAATGAGTCGGTTTAGATTGTCGAACTGCACTCTGAGAACTTGAATGCCACATGCTTTACTATCGTAAGTTCATTATTAGCGGAGAAAATGAAGGTTGAAGTTCCAGTTTTAAATTTCGTTGTAACGTGGTGTAATTTTTTTTGTATGGCCAGTTGTGTGCAAAACAAACCTGCCGGATATCAACGATATCAACTATTTTTACGATATCGTAGCTTAGCTTAGAGCATGTGTGGTTAGACATACCAGTTACGTCCTCTCCACGTACTTGGTAAGTCATGTTTGATTCACGCATACCGCTTTGTAGTTATGATCATTGGTGCGATGTGCATATTTTGGAACATCTTGATTAATAAATTAGATTTTTACATTATTAGCAATTTAATTTTTTGAAGTTTCGAGACACCTTAGCCCTACAATCCGAAAGTATAATTACAGTAGACTCCCGTTAAGAGGAACTTGAAGAAACCACTGTCATTTTTTTGTCTTATCAGGGGTTCGGCCTATTAGAAGTGCCCCCAAGAAAGAAATGCTAACATGCCAATTGCGCCCAAATATGTTGCTTGAAAACACTGAATGGGGTGTATTTACAATGCGGACAAATGGAATAAGAAAATGCATTTATTTTGCTCATCTTGATAAAAACTATGCCTACAAGTAGAATACCTACACGAGTTCAATGAGCGCTCAATTTCGGGAGTTCATAATAAATGTGCTAATGAATAAATTTCTATCACATTTCAACAATGAAACTGTAGCACGACCCTATTTTGACTATTAGAAAAAAGACAGAGAGATCAGCACAGTTTTGAAAAATTTATTCTTCTGTCTTTACACCTTCCATGAACCTGTTTTACTGGCTTTGATATCACTTGGATATGCCTTTGTTGCAAGCTTAAAATGTATGTGCATTATATGCTCAGACAATTGTTCCCACTTTCCCCTCCATTTGGTTTTTTATTGCCCTCCCTTCCCTCACTTTTTCCTCTTTAGCCAAGCTCTTGTATTCTTTCTTTCTCTATTGTACTCCCGACGAAATGGTTTAACGGTCCTTGTAGTTAGGCCTGTTAGGTGATCTGCCTTACTATGAGAAAGTCTTGAACACTTTTTGTTGCTTTCTTTGTTGATACAGTCTGCCCTTTTCCCACCTATAGGCTAGAAATGAGGAAAATACAAATTTTGTGTGTTGACCTTTCTTTTCTGCTTGTCTCTCTTCCTCCCTCTGCATCGCAATTTGCTTTCCATTTTTTGGGCCAGGAAGGCTTTTTGTTTATTTGTTTTGCTTTCCCTCATTCGCCTGAATGTCCCACCAAGACTACAATCTTCGTTGCGCACAATCCCAGTCGCTGTGAGTTAATGTGAGAGTTTGTCTTAACAGAAGAGGCCTGGTACGCAGTTCGTCGTATGCAATTTTTTTTTTTTTTTTGCAATGAGTTATAGGAAACCAAACAAAAATTCCCATGCTGTTAGTCTGTATAACTGTATACAGACTAACAACATGGGAATACAGTTTACTGTATAACTTTGGAACTACAGCTGCTAAAGTTTTTTTCCAAAGGTGGTGGCCAACCTTAAAAGAATAATGCAGGTCTGTTCATTGCAACATGTCTTTAGTACCATTTTCCTATGGGACAGTAAATCATCCATTGCCATCAATTCATACTCTGTTGTCCCTGAAACCCTACTAATTCTTAGCCGAGGTGGTATTTCCAGTTGAGCTTGCTACAGTTATCTTCTTTTGGAACATCACTTCTCCAGACCAACAACCAGGAACAGCTGCAAAGGCTTTGCCAGTTTCTTGTTGTGGAGCGCATGCAATCAGGGCAAAAGAAGCTGCAAGAGATGGAGAAGCACCACTTGGCCTTGGGGGAGCAGGTCACATCTCTGGTGAGCACAGTTTGTGAATTTATCTTAACTATTAAGAGAGCATTGGTCAAATACTGAAAGTACCCATTCACAAAGCATATATCCATAGTTCAGATGTGAACCAGTGGATGGAAAAACAATTTGCTGTAGAGGCACCGACAGCAGCTAAGAATTCAGACAGAAGGCTTCTGTTGATAGGTAGACCTAGCCTTGTTAAAGGCGCACGGTCTTCCTTAACACGTTTTCAGTGGTTGTCATTGGTGTCACTGTCGGTACTTGGCAAATAAGACGGGGAGAAGGAAATTGTACGGCTATTTTTTGCCTATGAAGAACATTGCAGGGAACGAGGGTTTCACATTTAGAAAGCCAAAGTCTAGAGTGTAGAGCTTCAGAAATGTGCAGGCAAACAAAAAAGTTTGCATCGGGGCGCAGAAATTAATTCTAGAAGTTCACGGGTTTGCTGCTGTAAGTAAAACACTTCTTATCAGGCAATCGGAGAAACTGTGCTTATTTGCTGAACACGCAGGCCCTGGTTCTTGCTGTATGAACTTCTACTGCTGTTAACTGTCAAATAAAGCCTATATAACACAAGCTGAGGGTTCTGGTTGGTTGGCTTTTGCAATAATGTAACCGAAGGCTCTTGCTTTGAAAGATTTCTAGTCTTGAAGGGACCCTGACACAGTTTTTTAAAGTTTTATCAGCGTTTAGGCTAGAGCATAATCAAACCATTTGCACCCCAAATTTAGTGGCACGCTGTGTACCAAGGTCGCTACGGACAATTATATCATACTCTCCTCCAGACCTCTGCCTGGCCACCTCAGCTCATGAGGCACGCTGGTATTGCTGGCGATCGCAGAGCTCTCATGAGTGCACTTGACGATTTGAGCTTTCACCAGTTCTGACCTCAGAGATCACGCGCCAACTGGTTGCGCAGTCTCCTAGGCCATCACATAGTGTGCCCGGCAGGACGCACGACGTCTGGCAACACAGACGAAGATCGCAAGTGGTTCATATCTGCTCCGAAACATGCCGCCATCCTACCAGTCGATCTTACTTCCGCGCGTTTTACAGCCCATGACAGCCAATCAGATCAGCTCTGTGAATGGGCATGTCGCTCTGTGAATGGGCGGTTGAAAACTTGTTTGGCCGAGTCTCAACAATCTGTACCAATCTGCAGTGATTCGCAGCTTTAAGGTGTTGTAATAAATTACAAAGTTTACACAGAGAGCTCAAATTGGTCTCTAAATAACTCTTGCAACTTGGTCTACCGGCCCAATGTGTTTGTAGAAAATCGCCAAAGCATTTTAGGGTCCCTTTAAGTGGTATGAGTGTTGAATATACTGTGGTCATAATACTAAGTATCGGATAAATTAGTCTATTTCACGGCCACATAATTATCCATTGTGGCTTCTAATGTATTAGTTCGCTTGAAAACAGCACGAGCATTGAAAGGAGCAGAGATAGAGTGCAATGTGCTCTGTATCCATCTTCGCAATCTCACTATAGGAAATAACCAATCTTCAGTCACTGCTAGTACGCTGAACAAACATTACTTTCCAAAACTTGTTTGGGTAGTAACTACCGTATGTAATGTGGTCTTTTATGATAGGTTGAGGTTTAAAGACTACTGACTGCCTGGAGGTTTTCATTTGATTGTCCAGGTATAACGACGTTTTTGGCTCCAGTTCACCTGAAGTTCACTAATAGGAGTTGAAAGCATTTCATACTCGTTAAATGTGCCGGTCATAAATCTTGAAAGCACTAGCCTGAGCCACACTTTCTCGCAGTGCCACCTTGTCTCGGATGAAGTCTCTGCACACTGCAAGCAGCAGGTGCACCTTGTGTCATCCATACGGGAGGAATTTGAAAAGTTGCGTCGGGAGTTGGAAACCAGCAATGAGGAGGTCCAGAGGCTCTCCGCTGCAATGGAGGCGAAAAGCACTGAAGCCAAGAAGGTCAGTATCATACCTCCCCGTCGTAATTTTTTCTGTTTTCAGCTCTTGGTGTGGTATTATTTGAGCTTGCTACAAGCGGCAGTTTTTTTTATTGAACTTTTTAAGTTTGATTGCAGGCCGCAGTTCGGTGTGGTGGTGCTAGACACACATTGCTGTCGCTGCCACAGCTGAGCACATATAGGCAGTACATGGGGCCTGCCTGCTGTTGTGGCAACCGGTGGGCGAGGGACAGCTAAAAAACTTCAGGCTTTTGGAAAGCTAGCCACTGCTGCTTGCTTCATGTGCTCGTAGTATGCAGGTTGGCCACTGTAGTCAATGGGGTTGTAGGAAAAGCCGTACCTTGGCTATTAACTTAGTGGGAAAACAACCTGCGTGATCAGCTTAACTTGTTCCGTCAAAACAGAAGCAGTGTGTGGCATTCTTCAGTGATATGTACAGATGTCGGTTTGGCTTTTGCCTCTGCATGCAATTAATCAGGCATTATCCTATGTCGGATATATTGTGCTTTCTGGGCCTGACATACAAATGCACAAACATACACGCATAATGACAGCTGGTTTGATAGTTCACATTGGCTCCACGTTTGTTTTTGTTTCCCCATATTTTAGGACATGGCAGTTTTCAAGCAGCAGTTCGAGAAGTTCTCGCGGTCCTTCTTTGAAATGGAGGCTGATCAACAAGACACCATGGCCAAGGTAATAATTTTTCTTGTCTCATTGTAAGCCTGTCTTAAACTGCTCCCTGTAATTTGTGTGCTTATTATACTCTACCGTGCACATCTTTTCATTCACTTTGTGAAACTTGCATATATTGCTATGTTCCTGTCCACCCTGATTTTCAAATGACTGGACTCTCTGCCACAGTTGCAGAAAGGGGCAAAGTTGTGACATCTGCCACCAAAAGGTAAGCTCGCAAGTTGTAGTCCTCATTTTGAATTGTTCTTAGGTGCATGCCATGAGCTTCACATATTTTGTTAGAGACTCGTTTTTGTTCTTCAAAAGCCTGTGAGACTGCTTGGCCATTAATCTGTAGCCATGACGGAGCGTTTCAAAAACAACAATAGAAAACTCTGTCAAGTGTTGAAAATACTGCGGTCTTGTGGTACTTTTCTGGATGTTGTACACCATTTCTTTGTCGCAAATATTGCAACCCCGGACCAGCACAATTTTTCGGCTACTAAGAAGCTTCTCTTTCTGGAAAATTTGTCCGGATTTCTTTGTGGCTTCGTGCTACAAAACGGGTGGTTGTCTTTTTCTCTTTCTTTAACTATTTCTTTGTCATTTTTAACCCGTGATCCCTAGCAGCCACCTCTAGTCAATAGCTTGTAGTATATGTAGCTCATTGCGATGCTTGTGACCTCTACATGTCTTATATTGAGAAGCTGGAGTGTATGCAGTTAAGAGCAGCTTGGTATATTGCAAATGCTTGCAGTATGGTTATGCCGGTGCTTGCTTATGTCTTTAGAGGGTTCGGAACTGCTTCGGGTTTGCACATTGCACATACTATTTGTGACTGGCCAATTCAATGATGGAGTTGTGAATTCCCATTCCTTTATTTTCAGCAATGCAGAATTGCTGGAAAAGTCCTCTGACGATCTTGTTTCTAGTGTGGCTGCTCTGCACCAAAACAGTGCCAGGACAATACAAGATCGCTTGGCGGGGGTAAGTGGCTTTAACAGCTGTTGCACCTGACAGGTAATTACACATGCATATTTCTTCGATATCCGGTAACGTGGTAGCGTAAAGAAGTATGTATATGTATAAGCTAAAAGCACTATATAGTAACTTATTGTTTCACAATTACCAAATCACCATACTTGCCGCTAGAATAAGCTTGGTAAGCAAGAAAATGCACAAAGAAAATGTGGGTGGTGACACCGCCTTGAAGTTCCTGCGCCAAACCTTGTGTTGCCAGATTTTGATGGCATCTGCTTGGCCCCATGTAGTTCGTGATCTGGAAAAACGAAATACATTGTCCTCTGAGGGGCCGATAGAACTGACATATCAAGTTTCAGAAAATTTCATTGAGCCTGTGTTGCCAAAGTATGAAAAATTTATTTGGAATTTTGTTACTTCACATGTGACAATATCTGCAGGAAGTTTAGAAATGAGTTTTAGCTTTATTTTTCCCTTCGATGGGAAAGTTAACATTGGATTTCATAGAGCACACTTAATCAATCTGAACCAATTCATTGTTTCACTTGAGTGTCCTTTTAAAAGCTTGTCAATTTATCACAACATACACGAGTATGAAAAGATATCGCGAGTATGAAGTAACGATGTAAATGGATCTCGGCAATTTCATTACTGTGTTGCTTCTTTTGTTGAGGGTTGATGCTGGAAGGTTGAAAATGTGACTTAAAGGAAAGAGATATGAAGTGTAGAAACTTGGAAGAAGTTCATACAGTATTCAGTCAAAAAAAAAAAAAAGCTTTACTGTACGATCTTGAGATTGCCTCTTACATAACGAATATGTAGCTATGAAAACCAGGTCTACTGGTTATTACTGTTATAGCGAGGTTGGCTTGCTGTATGCATTCAAAAAACAATGGACTGGTGTTATTATACTTGATTGAGCAGTTGGTGCACTAAGCAAGTTTTTCCAGGAGGGTACAGTTTGGTGTGCCACTTTCATGCAGGCACAAGAGGCTGCGCTTGACCTTTCCAACATACACAAGTTGGTGGAAGAGAGCGTCTCTGATGCGGTGGCATCCACGGGTGAAGTGAGTCTTTGTTTGGGTTGCTTTGTAGGACCCAGCAATGTAGCGTAGTTTTTGTGCATGGCAGTAAACTGATGATGACATATGCATGACCTATATCATTATTTTGTGCCTCAACCATAGATGTCCTTAGAAGCGTAGGCAAACTTTTAATTTGCTATTGATATGGACATGGTTACAACCATTTATTCATTTCTTTTTCAAGTGCCCATTGTTTTCAGTGTAGTAATTCTGATTTAATTATTCCATGCCACTTTTGTACACATTGCTAATTGTTCTGCCAGACAACATAGTAGCTGACTGTAATGAAACTCCAATCATATTAGTATTTGTTTTCTTAAGCAAAGTAAGAACTCAAGCAATTTTAAAAGAAATTTACCTATTGCTTTTTTCTTAATATAACTTGTCAACTTCCCTTACGGTGTAAGAAAATTGACCTCCCCCTTCCAAAAAAAAAAAAGGAAACGAAAATGTCATAAAAGTCTGAGTGCCAAAACTTGAGTGTGAGAGGTTGAATAATGAGACAAGATTTTCATGTATGTGTGATGTGAATACAATGTACTACGAGTTGTGAATGAGCACTTATGTTTTGTAATCCCAAAGCACTTTCATTACTTTTCCAAAATAGCAATGTATATGTCATTACCTTCATCCAGCTGTACTTAGTGATGTAGTTCACAACAGTTCTCTTGTCCTACCTTCTTCTGGTTTCAGTGTTTCGTCGAGCAGAAAAGAGCTGCTGACTATCAAATGGCTGCCTGCACAACTGCCTTGTCGGAAGCTGTCAGGGCAGGAACTGACATCACACGAGGACAAACTGACAAGGCCAAGACATTGGTTGGAAATTTCGACGCCATAGTGTCCAAGAGCTGTGGCGAGTTTTCGTCCACAGGCCGTCATGGCTCTGTAAAGACCGCGCAAGTGCAGGACATTTCCGAAGCTCTTCGTGCAGGCATCTCCAATGACATGGCAAAATGCTCCTCAGTGGTCTCAGACTTCTTCCAGAATGACTTGCAGGAGTATGTGCCCACAGGTAAGAGCGTCTCTTTTTAACAACCATTGTCGATTATTGTCTTCAAATTCTGTTTTGATGTAGCCAATGATGACTATACTCATCCTGTTGATTCCTGATACTAGTGCGTGCGTGTCCATGTAGTGCTTTTTCTCTCGCCTTCTGTTATATTGCAGCCTCTGGGAGTCTCGCATGTCATGTGGCTAGGTACCTTGCTATGATGGGTTGAAAGCACATAAGTGTTTTTACTGCAGTGTAGATTTTGCATCTCATAACATTGCATACCATGCCCCTGCAAAATGCTTCCTTGCGAGACACTAAGGCTATGCAGTGAAGCTTTCTCAATTAGCTCATGCATTTTTTTAAAAATAAAGGAACCTTGGTGGATTGAAATAACACTGCCATATTGTAGGACATGCTGAAAAAGAAAATGGACTTCGCTGCTCTATTCCATATTTTGTCTTCATTTAGTGCCGAAAGTGTATTATAGACGAAGGGGTAGCATGTTTATTTGCACTGTCCAACATATACAAAATTGGTCATGCACGATGTGTTTATGGGAAAGTTTCATCATGTATAATTGTTATGTGTACATTGCTCTTTTTTTCTTTTCTTTCCAAATTTTTTTTTTCAAACAAATGAACATATCTAATCGACGCTCAGCTCCCTATCGATAAATTTATATTTTGAATGAAGGAGATGGGTTCCTTCAGTTCTCTAGAACCTACCCTAATAGCTTTTTCACTTTTGTGTTTATTATGGGAGCTTTGTATGCAATGCTTCCTTTCATTCTATTGAAACGTTTCAATTGATGTCTCCAGTCTTTCTGCTGAGGGTTCTGCTATGTGCAAGTTTTCTTTTTCCTTATTCTTTCTTTTAATTTTTTAGGCTGTACTCCCCAGAGACGAGAATACAGGTTCCCGACGCAGCTGGCACAAACAGTCGCCACATGAGCGGATTCTAAAGAGACTGAGGACAGCAGTGGATTTTAACGCTGCAGCACAACTAGAGCTTCCCTCATCTGACGAGGTAAGTGTACCAGTGTATGTGACGTAGGAGCGTCATTGGACTTCATATACTTTGCCATATGGCAAGTCGTCTTTTTATGATTGTAGCTTCTGTGCTTTGACTGGAGCATTGACAATATTGAAGACAACATAGCTCTAAAGACAGAATTGTCTGCACACATGCACACAATCATTCACAGTATGTATATCAATTTTATTATAAAAAGACAGGGCATGCAAGCACTAACGCAATAAGAAAGTTAGGACACTGCAAGTGCCAGTATATCAGTGTGCAGTAATAAATCGTTAACTCGAAGTCGTTAAGCTCGGGGCAAGTTTCGAAATAAGCAAAGTTGCGTTATTCGCGGGGACAATGAGCGTCTTTCAAAAAATTAATAGTACTTACCGGCTTTTCAGCTGCAGTTTCTAATCTTTCTTCTTGTGCAGGTTTAAAAGAAAAAAAAAATAACATACAAGAGATTTTAACCGGCTGGGTTTTGCCGCACTGCTTTGCCTGCTTTGCGGTCGTACTCAGGCCTAGGAAGGCGTCCTCCAGCTGCTTGACACATCGCGTCAGTCGATCTTTTCCGCTGCTGCACTCGACCTTATTTCAAATCCATACCATCAACATCGCTTCATCTGGGAACTTCGACCCTCGAACCCGCTTCCGCTGGCTGAAGAAGCTCTGTTAAAATCCATCCAGCACCTTTTGCTTGTTTCTCAACACCATCGAAAGCATAGGCAAAGGGATTCTGAATTCCTGCGTGACGCTCGATTTTGTTCGGCCTCTTTACTCCACTTTCTTAATTAGGGCAACCTTTTCTTCTAGCGTTAGCAACTTGCCTTGCTCTGATGTCATGCTTGCTGCACTCGTGCTAAGTTGCCGCTCCTCACAGCGAAAAATTCATACCGCTCAGTATGCGCAGATGAACGGAAATCACACCTCGGGAAAAATCACGAGCACTGCACTCACGGACTTCATGTGTCACAGCATCGCGCAAATCTTGTGAAATGGTTTGGCGGCGGAGTTTTGGCTCTCCTCCCAGTAAATATTTCGAGTTATCTGCAATCCGACGCAAAAATACTTCTAGGTAAAGGAAAAAATATACAAAGGATGTATAGAAAAATGTACAGTGCCACAGAAAATTTCAACTTAGCCAATTTTTCGAGATATGCGAGCTTGAGTTTACGAGGTATTGCTTTAAATAAACCCCTTCTCTTCTCTGGCTACGCCAATGCCGTCCATCCTTATTGAACGCACCTTGCAAATGAATTGGTGTCAAATTGACAGAACTTGATTATGCGTGAATGTATAACTTTATATGCATGCTGGTAATCGCTGCCTGTGATCTGATTCATCTGTGAAATATGGGTGTTATTCAGTAAAATGAAAATTCTTCTACTGTTGAATTACTTGTGTTGTTTTGTGCTAAAAAGCTGACATAAGATGATATTTAATAATTCATAATGACCTGGGTTTTGACTATGGCCCATCGTTTACAAAATTCTCTTTGTTTTCAGGGTGGCCTGAATCCACCACTCACCAAATCGCTTCAGTCTTCTTCTGGATCATCGACGGAGTCTCTGTCATTCAATCCTGCGGTATTCTATAACTTTATCAATTTAAAAGATTAAAAGTGCTTAATAAGTAAAAATGTCACTGAAACATGCAGGTGATAATTTTGAATAGGTGTGCTATGGAGCTGTTGATATTTGAATATGGCTGAAGTAGTCTTGTTGTCTCCTCCTCGGGGACGCAAGCCTCCTTTCTGCCTTCTTCACCTTGCTCTTGTGTTAGTTGCAATACACTCAAACCATGATATAATGAACCCTGATGTAACGAATGATCATAAATACAGTGTTAAGAATATATGCTTATAACAAATTTTTGGATATAACAATTTTTTTGTGGCAGATGACTTTATTATAATGAGGTTTGAGTGTAGTTTGACTCATCCCAACAAAGACCTCTTTGCAACTGTATTCCTCTTTATATTTTCCGCTTCTCTTCACTTGGCCAAACCTAATGGCAGTGAAACCTTGCTTAATCAGCCCTCATTAATTCCAAAAATTGCATAATTTGAATCCATCCTCTGATTCTGGCAAGCATAGGTATTTAATATCTTCAAATTTGTTTATTGCCACCTATTTACCCAAATCTATATTTTTTCGGATGGTTTGTCGAGTGTGTGGTGCCACAAATGTGTGAAATGAAAAATGGTGGTAGCGTCCAAGGAAAGGAAGTGATGTATTCCGCATCAACATACTAGCCATTATTGCGAACTTTATGGCAATGATAGGAAAGCCGCAGCACTTCATCTTGTACAGCTGCTTGGTCACCGTTTGTGACACCTTAGTCAGAACTGTGGATGGAACCTAGCTCAGTAGCGGTAATTTTATTTTGACACTGTGCACTTGGGCTCATCGTGTGGCAATTGGAAATGCCTGGATACTATCATGATCGTATAAGTGCATTGTAGTGGCGGCGTGTGCCGCCGATGAATGAATGACTAGACAGCTTGAGTGCCTATCGGAACAAAAGCCCCTTCATTCCAACTTGCGCATGCTTATATACCGTAATTACTCGAATCTAACGCGCACCTTTTTTCGGTTAAGCGAGTTCATAAATCGCATGCGCGTTAGAATCGAGTACGAACGAAAAAATTACGGTCAACCTATTGCCATCGGCAAATCTAAAATGGCCGCCCCCTACGTGCGTCGGCATGGCGCGTCGGCCATTTCTGCCTATGTGTTTCCCATGTGCGGCACTTCGTACGTGTGCTGAGGAGTTAGTCATCCAGTAGTGCATTAGCATGGACGGCGTGGAAGGGCCGACTCCAAAAACTCGAGGACACCACGATGCCGCTTTTAAAAGAAAAGTCATCGCGTGTGCAGAAACGGACGGAAATCGGGCCGCATCGCGGTCGTTCGGAGTTCTCGAAACGTGCGCACGGGACCGGCGGAAACAAAAGCAGAAGATTGTCGACAGCAAAGCTTCACGCAAAAGCTTCAGTGGACCACAGCAGGGTCGGTTTCCGCAAATTAAAGAGCTGCTTGGCGAGTAGGTGCTTGAGCAGCGAGCGGCACAGCGGCCCGTGACGACAGAACTGCTCCAAGTGCGGGCTATGCAATTAGTCTTAGAAAAAGGTCTAATGCGGAGCCAGTTTAAAGCGAGCAGGTGCTGGCTAACTAACTTTATGAAGAGGAAAGGCTTTTCCCTCCGAAGGGGAACATGCATATGCGAAAAGTTTTGCGGAGGAGTACGATGAAAAGCTTCACAGTTTTCAGAGGTTCGTCCTAAACTTGCGGCGCAACAACGGCTACCTGCTTGGGCAAATCGGGAATGCCGATCAGACGCCTCTTTACTTCGACATGCCTGGCACCACAACCGTCGAGAAGAAGGGGGCGAAGCAAGTTCACGTGCTGACATCGGTCCACGGTAAAACTACAGTGACGGCAATGCTCTGTTACACGTCTGATGGGCACAAGCTTCGCCCGTACCTCATATTTAAATAAAAGATGCTCCCGAAAGGAGTCGTTTTTTCGAGTGGTGTGATCGTGCGGGCCAGCGAGAAAAATGGGTGCGCGTTGCAATCGATGTCTTACGTTGTTTTTATTTTTTTCGCTGTGGAAATCGGGTGCGCGTTACAATCGAGGGCGCGGTAGAATCGAGTAAATACGGTACATAAACAACACTGGCGCCACCTGCGGCAGTGATCGCGGAACCGAAACGAAATAGACAAATATACAACACATTCCCTTCCTTAAAAACAGCTTTATGGATTAGGGATTTATTAGGTTAATATGTTAGCACATATACAAAAACACTATACAAAAATACAAACTGTACAATGAACGTAACTTTTTTTAGTAGAAAATGAATCCACCACACTGGATGGGTCCGTTTCATTCGCTTTAGCACAACTTCTCTTGCTACACCTTGTAGCCATAACGCTCTGGTGGTAGTCTTTCTTGGAGGTTGCACCCTGCGTTGCTGTGTGACTACTCCTGGAGACTTGGCTGACTGTGTCGCAGCAGGCGACCTGTGCGCCTGCGCAGCGGAAGGAGACGTGGGTGCCTGCGCAGCCGAAGGTGCAGCAGCTGAAGTCCTCGTAGTTATCTCTCGGGTGGGGCCCCCGCATGTAGGCAGAGATCCTCCTCCCCTAGCTGTACAGTTTCCTCCCCACGTATAAAGGGCGGCAGGAGGCTCGTGGCACCTTCGAAAACGTGGATGCATTCCATGTTTTGCCGTCAACCAGGCGAAAAGAAGACTGTCCCTTCCTGCTGATCACTTCTCTTGGGCGGCTGAATTCCAGGTCGCCTTTAAATCTAATTGTGGGTTTCTTCACTCTGATGAAGTCACCAACGTCTACTCTGGTTTCTCTTGCAGCCCTCCGAGCGTCCGTGTATCGTTTGCTGCTCTGTTGCTTTTGCTTTACCTGCTCACGTACACGCCGGAGTTCAGAGTTAGGGTCATCAAAGAAGGTTACCGACGAATGCCCGACAACATCCAACCGAGTTCTTGGCAGCCGCCCGTGTAGCAGAAGAGCTGGAGCCCTTGCCGTTGTAGCATGCGACTGTGCATCGGTAAACACCCAGGTACTCTGTTACCGCCTGGCGCAAGGTCGATGCTCAAGAACCGCCACTTGCATGAAGCTTTTTATTACTCTGTTAAAGCGCTCCACTTGGCCGTTTGCTTGTGGATAGTATACTGACGAATGTTTGACCTGGATGCCGCGATCTTGAAGAAATGCCTCCAACTCCCGAGATGCAAACTGTGGACCGTTATCGCAAATAACCTCTTCTGAACAGCTTTCAGCGCGCGAACACAGAGACCAAAAAGCGTATTACTGTGCTGGTTGTCGTCTCACTACAGAAATGCACTTCGGGCCATTTGGAATAATAATCTACAAGTGTGATTGCATATCTGCAATCGTAGGGCGCCCTCTCAAATGGGCCTACAATATCCATGCTGAGTTTGAGCCACAGCTGCTCTGGAAAGGGACCTGTTGCAAGGGTGTAGCTCGCACCTTGACGCTCTTGTCTGCTTCCTGTCATATGCTACACATCTGGATAGCTAGCTCGACTTGGCGGTTCGTGCCCGGCCACCAATACTTTTCTCAGCAGCCGTGCTTTTGTTCGCACCACTCCATATGCAACTCATGTGCTGCTGCGATTACCTGCTGCGTGAGTGACGTGGGAACCACAAGCCGCTACCATTGCGGGTAGCGCGATGGACAGAGCGCTTACTACGGTACTACGCCTACTACTCCTGTTCCTTGGGTTGAAAGCAATGCCACCAAGGCTTAATGATCAGTGAGCAACGTGAAGTGGCACCCCCACAAGTACACGTGCCACAACTCGCACGCCCAAACACAGGCCAATGCTTCCCATTCTCCTACCGAATATTTTCTCTCAACTGGCAAAAGAACTCGAGACACGAAAGCGACAGTGTGCAGTTTATGTCCATCCGCCTGCTGTAGGACCGCGCCAACTTCACACTCTGATGCATCCGTCGACACTAAGACTGGAAGAGATTCATCGAACATTCTCAGTATAGAGCTAGATGCCAGCATGTCTTTGGTCTTTCTGAAACTAGCGTCTATCTCGTCAGACCAAATGAATCACTGCCCCTTTCTTAGCAGGACACGCATTGGTTCAACTATGTCAGCGAAATTGGGAATAAACCTAGAATAATATTCGACCAATCCCAGAAATGATCGAAGGCTGGCTGGATTCGTAGGCGCTGGAGTGTCTCGGATGAAAGCAACCTTTCCTTCAACGGTACAATACCGTTTGCGGTGATCCTGTGGCCCAAGAACGCAAGCTCCGGCGTATCGATAACGCATTTCGTGTTTAATTTGAGTCCTGCCTCTTTTATGCACCTCAGCACTGCGGTAAGATTTGCCTATGTGCTCCTCTCTGCTCTTCCCAAACACTATGATGTCATCGATATAGAACAGGACGCCGCTGCAGAATTTTCGACCTCATACTCTGAAAAGCAGATGGTGCCGATGCCAGCCCAAAACACATGCGCTTAAAACGAAAGAGGCCGTCGTGTGTTATAAAAGCCGAAGAATCGCGGCTTTCGGGGTGAAGCATGACCTTATGGTAAGCTGATGCAAGATCAAGCTTGGAAAAGTGGGTTGCCCCTACTAGACTGCATAATAGCTCTTCTGTATGAGGGAGGGGAAAGCTATCTGCTACGACGGCTTTGTTTACCTGTCGAAGATCTACACAAAGGCTGATACCTCCATCTTTCTTTTCAACCACAGCAATGGGCTACACCCACTCGGATGCCTCTATTGGCTCTATCACGTCCATTTTTTCCAAGCGGCGCAGTTCTTCCGAGGCTCTTGGCCGCAGTTAGAGCGGAAGGCTTCGAGTTTTGAAGCAACTGGCTGAATTGTCTATAGTGTTTTGACGAGATGAACAAAACCCCTTGCGATGCCATGTACTGGATCGAAAATGGCACCAAACTCTTCGACTAATTCTGATGGAAGATGAATGGACTCCTCCGCCTCTGTCTTGACCGCAGTGTGCTCCGTTCGAGCACTAGTACGCACCGTTGTCGTTTCAAGGCATTGTAGTGTCAACCCATCAATCTGCAGACTGAACACCCTAATTGCATCAATACCCAAAAGCAAGGTGCCTTGTTCAACGACACAAAAAAGAAGCATTGTTGTGCAGTTATTGTACGTGACATTTAGCAAAGAAGTAACCACACGCTGAAATGGGTTTCTTCGAATAGTTCAGTAGTCTAATTCGAGCAGCTGAAAGCTGCTGACCTTCAAAATGCTGCCTAAATAGGTCATACGTCAAAATCGATACTCATGATCCTGAATCCACGAGAAAAGTTAACTTTGTTTCACCAACTGCTACTGATAGGTAGATTGCGGGACGAGTGGATGTCTTCACGGCAAGAATGCTCAATACTTCATTTATCGAACTTTAGTCGTCTAGTTCACGAACAGGAGCGGCGTTTTTGTTGCAGACCGAGCGAAAATGACCCATAATACCGCAACCATGACACCGCTTGTTTTTGGTGGGGCAGCGGAATACAGGTGCATTGTGCCGAGGTGAACCGCAGCGGTAACACTGGCCCTGTTGGCTGCGTGACAGTTTCGAGGGGTCGCCCGAAGAAGATGCGGGCGGAGGGGCGTTTCCGTGAGCATTTATGCTCTGGACATCTGCAGTAGCGAATTCTTTGCAATCATTGGTTGCCTGCTCAAACTGCGTTCGCAGTTTTTTGTTCGCTCGAGCTGTACTAATAGCGATTACTACAGCTTAAGCGAACGAAAGAGAATACCCTTCAAGCAGCAACTGCTCGCTCAAGTTCCGAGATAATAGGCCCGCAACGAACTTGTCACACAAGGAATCTTCTTGAGAAGGAAAAGAGCACGTAGCAGAAACCTCATGTAACGCGGTAATGTACTCATTGATTGCTTCACCGACTTGCTGCATGCGCCTACCGAACCGGTGTCGTTCGACCACAACATTGGTTGTTGTCGTGAAGTGCGCATGCAGCGCTGCGACAGCGGTATCATACGACGATGCTTCATGCTCTGTCTGAGAAGTGTCCTTGACACCTCCCAAATCTGTATCAGTAGTTGGACTATCACTGGACATTGCGTTGGGCGAAGATTGAAGCGGTAGTGTGTGAAATATGCGCTGGCCTTCTACGCCGAGGCTGTGGATTAGAAGAGCCTTTCGACGGTCCGGCGCACAGTCCGAAACACCAGATGCGAGCAGGAAATTCTCGAAGATGCGGATCCATTGCGGCCAGGCAACAGCAGGGCGGCCAGGCATGGGCAGGAACGGGGGCGGTGGTGCCAGTCCGAAAACACTCATGGCACGGGAAACAGTCGGCGAAAATGACGAAAATCACACCCCCTCCTAAACGAGCACCCTCATCGCCAATGTAGTGGCGGCATGTGCCGCCGATGAATGAAGCACTAGACAACTTGAGTGCCTATCGGAACAAAAGCGCCTTTATTCCAACTTGCGCATGCTTATATACATAAACAACACTGGCGCCACCTGCGGCAGTGATCGCGGAACCGAAACCAAATAGACAAATATACAACATACATGTACATGTAAATGTTTTTGCATGGCATTTACAATTTTTGGTATGTTCATTGCATAAAGATAGTACTTAGCTTTGACTGTATAAACACAAAGGAATAAGGCATTGTGCGTATGATAAGCCATAAAAGTATCTCTTTTCATGATATTTTGATAATCTGCAAGACCTTTAAAGTATAGGACTGGCGAATGCACACATTATAACTTTTTTTAATCTCACATGTTTCTCTGCCATTTGACACTGCTCCTTGGCCTTCATACTTTAGTGCAAGTGAACCCTTGTTGTTCCTTTTGCAACACTTTCTCTTCATTAGTTTTCATTCAATTTCTTTGCAGCATCAGTCTATTTAAACAGTCAACAGATTTTGAAGGCTATCAATCCTTGTGTGAACATTGCTTGTTGTGTTGTAGTTACAAGTAAATGCAAATTTGAACTGCTAGCTGAAGACATTTACCAGATAAACTAATTCATTCATCTTCTGTCCCACTGATTTTGTTCAGTAACGTCACTGTTGCTTAAATATTGGGTGAATGCTCAGTTCTTTTTTAATTTAAAGTTTATTTGCAAGAAACAGCTAATATTGTCTTATATTTTCATTTGATTTTGCAGCTGGAAAACAAAGAAAACTCCAAGCGGACTACCAAGACAAAGAAACTGCCGAGAATAACATCGAAAAAGCAACTGACTCAGCGAAATGCTTAGTGCATTTTAACACTGTGAACTGTGCATTTTGTTTCTGTGTGTATTTTATGTGCATATAAACTTTTACTTTTTATTTTTTGACTATGACAATATGTACAGTACTGAAACTTTTGAAACATTGCACTTTCATGGCACTTTCGTTTATTGTCTACGCTGTCATGGTACTGTCTTGCGGCTTAGTGTCCCCTAAAAAAAATGAGTGGAAAAGCAGTGGCCAAAAAGGACAAAAGTCATAGTGCCTGCCAATATTACTTGAGTTTAGGTTTTTCTGATAGAGATGCTGAAAACCAGGGGTCAAAATAAGAAATTAAGTGTGAGCTCATTTAAAATGAGCTCCATGCATGTAGCAGGTCCTACTTTCAAGTAAACGTTCAAGGCCATGTACTCATTTATGTTGCCTCTGTTCATCTATCCGATTTGCAATTGTTTCTAATGCAGTGCTGTGTATATAGATTTACGTTGTTTCGCTCATTCATTTCACTTTCATTGCGTAGTCTCGTCTTTAGTACAAATTACAATTACTGCCCCATGTTCGTGTGTTTTAAAATAAACTTGTATTTTTTATGTGCATGTTGCATCGCTGCGTGCAAGCCTAGTGCAAAGGGCATTGCCCCACTGTGCTTCACGGCTGAAAGTGAGACCTTGCACCATCACGTGCAAACACTCTCTTGAGATCACTCTTGAATGTAGCAACAAAGAAAAAGTGACCATAAGGAGACACTTCCTTGCTCAGCCTTGTTGAATGCCATCTTTTTTAAGGGTGTGTAAATAGCAAAATTTCATCTCGAATCAAATAGTGTTGAAGAGTAGCCAAAAATAATGTATACAAAAGATTTATTTGGACATGGAAAGAAAGAAAACTCAAATCTGCTCATGTCCTCGACCAACTAACATAGTGAGTGACTGTTACATAAAAAGGCCTGTATTCACAAACCACCCTCAGCTTTACCTCGAGTTTTCTGTATCAATTTTAATGTTGGTTGTGACCGAAAAATCAAGAAAGATGCAAATTCTGGGTCCGAGTGGGCATTGAACCCGGGTCGTTCGGGTGGAAAGCAGGTGTTCTACCACAGAGCCATGTGTCTACTTAGAAATGAAGTGAAAATAACTTCCTCTGCTTTGAAATGCAGTGAAAGTAATTTGCATGCTTTACAAATGCACGTGTACTGTATACATGCCTCGCATTGTAACACACAATATCGCAGTAGTAATGTGTTGTACACGCATACATTGGGATTGGGCTTTGGTACATGCAATCGTGCCTTCATGGTTTGAATCGGGCCACCCACTACAAAAAACACACATGTTGCTCTGCCTTTTCACTCGCTCATTCCTAGACATGTGCGACTCGTTCGACTAGTTTGGGTACCAGGCCCTAGAGGTTTAGCTCTGAATGAGCATGCAGATGCACTAGCTGTATCTTCCCTTGATTGCTCTGTTTTCTTATTTTGCCTACTTCTGAATATATCACAGCAGCACGCTTTGAAAAACGTGCAACGGCCAATCACTTTGAAAAATCTCTTTTGTTTGTATCAGACTACCCACAGCTAAAGTTCTCTTGGAAGAACAAGTGGTGTTCATCAAGAAAGGAAGAAATAGTAATTACCAGGCTGCGTTGTTGAGTCCCTTCATTACACTTTTACCTTCACAGGTCGGGACTGGCACAGTCGCCTTTGTGCCTTTATTGTAATGAAAGGGAATCTGTGGTTGGAGCACTTCTTTTTGTCATGCCGAAAATTCAAAAGTCAAAGGAAAAATCTACTAGAAGAACTTCTACGAAAGTTGGACTTAAACTTGACACTTCCGGCGTTTCTTTCATTTGGCACAGTTGTATTTGGATTCAGCCACAGGAGTGGTTTTACAGCTGTTACAAATTTCTGGTTGTTTTTATCTATAAAATTTCTTTCTTTTTTGTGTGTTTATTTTGTTTTTCTTTTCAAGGTTTTTGTTGTTTAGAAATCTCACACCTTTATAATATTACCTAATTAATCCAACCCTCCCTTTCGAGAAGTGAATTAATAATAAAAAGTCCCATTTTGGCCTATCCCCCTAGGTGGCTTGTGCCAAGGTGTTGAGGAACCAACTAACCAACCGTAAAAGCCACGTAGGGGATGCATAGCAAACTCTAAAGGATTTCAAGCACCCAATTGCTCGTGGGTCAAAGTATGATACCCATTAAACTAAATGCACCCATATGTAAAAGCTTCACTAACACAAGCCATTTTGAACTCTGTACGCACTTGGGACAGGATATCGCTATTGCGTTCATTTTTTAAAGACTTAGCTTAGTCTCCCAATTTTCAAGCATTCATCGCTGCTTGATAAGTATGCCAGTAATTATTGACAAATCTTGTTATCTTTTACCTTGTTACAATTTTTGCGCCGTTTTAATGCATGTAGAGAGAGAAACTTGAGGAAAACAAGAGGTAAGGCCAAGATTGCTTTGTGAATGTGGGCCTAAAGGCAACAAATTGTCATTTATGGTGTTTCTTGGGATTGCAAACGTGTGCACTGGGCACTTCAGTAGCAAGGGCTAGGTGTTGCAAAGGAATTTTGGCAATATATGCTTAAAATTGAGCTCAATGTTTTTCCTTCATTTCCAAAAATCATCCTTTTCTGGAAACGGGTTCATTAAAATATTTTTGAACTTTTTCAGTAATTGTCTGAGCTCAGTTTGCTGGTTATTTCTTAAATGCTAGTATTTTGACACTCTCAGACCGTTCGTTCCCTATAATCCTTTGCCGGAGCCACAATGAGCGGAAATGACGATTTCCTTTGAAATAGACATACTGTTTCTTCTTTTTTTTTTAAATCCAGGATATCAGCAAAGTTTTAACAAAACTCCTGCTGTAACAATGTTTTCGCACCATTGGCTCTTACTGTGCTTTAAATGATTTGTAGAATGGATAGGGGGCAATTAGCTGTGCCTGCAAAAGACGAGGAAGAGGGCCGTGGTTCGCGCTCGTGATAGCTCTGATTCGGATCGCTGAGCGCTTGACCTGTGTTCGTTTTTTGATAAACGCGTACTACCAATTTGTCCTTTTAAATTATTCAAGTAGTATTATTCACATCGGTACTGTACGACTAGGAACTTCAATATTTGCACATGCCTAATCTTTTGTTTATTTCCATGTTACATAAATTTGCCCAGGGTGTGCAGGTTTGCAAGCGAATACAAAAATTTTGATTTCGCCTTTGCGTGTGCGTGCGAGAGTGCACTTGCTCAAATATTTTGAGGCTAGATATGGAGGTATCCTCATGCAAACATTTACTGGCACGAATGTTGTGCTAATTTCGTCGCATTTACAAGTGCGCTTTTGGGCGACTTCGGTTAAATGTGAAAGCATTGAATGTTGTAGCTGGAAACAATCTAGAAACAAAAATAAATTGCTTGCGTAGGTCCAGTTGACCGCTCATACGCAACCCGTTTTTGTAGGGGTGGTTTTTGGAGAAAGCAACTGGAGGAAATTCTAAACCCTCTTTCATCTTGCAGCTTCTTCCCCCCTGACGAATGAGCATTTGTGTGGCAGCTCTGCGGTTCAATAACTAATGAGCACAAATTTATGCATAAGAAAATATCGAATTCTCTGTTACTAAACTTTCAATTAGAAATTGCGCAGCACGAATCCCTCGGAAGATAAAGCTTCAGTTCCGGGTAACGCGAATGTTTTTCTTTGCGGCACCTCGTAACAAGCACGATTTCAACGCGAGACGTATTGGCTCTGTGAACGCCACAAATTATAATAGGCGATGTGGTTAGGAGTGGCGAGTGCGAGGGTTTTGTCGCACACACACACACACATGGATGGGAGTCTGGCAACTCTGGGGCTCGTAGTTCGCGCGGTTTGTCGGTGCAGCGCGCACGTGGGTGGAAAAAAAGTTTTCGCAGCTCTTTCCGAAAGTAGTTTTGGTTTCCGGAATTAATTCATCCCGAAGATGAGCACGAAGCGCAAGGCGGGCGCCGAAAAACACGGCAGGAGAAAGAAGACTCACACCAACACCTGGTAAGTCAACAGGAGCTGTCGGAAGCGAGTTCGACTGCTAGCGAGTCGTACTCTGTTGCACGTTATTCGGTTTGCTTGACGATGATCCTCAGGGCGGATCAAGAAGCCACATCTTTCGCGGACCTTTTACCTTGCGCTGCGCGGGCTCTCTAAACCGCGGGGTTTCACCTTAATCTCGTTTGTTGCGCGTCATACGACTGCGGTGTTTTGGCGACCGCATAAATACGCTGCCACTCGCAATCGCCGGCGCAGTACGCATCACGACAGGCATGTGAGACGCCTGTCACTGCGTACACACACGTTCGCTATGGCGTTTTTCCTATTTCTGTGTCTCGTCGTCGCTGTGAAAGTGTACAAGAAGGTCTCGCCCAACGGTAAGCTCACCGTCTACATCGGCAAGCGGGACTTTGCGCAGCGGGGTGACGCCTGCGATCCTGTTGAAGGCGTCGTCATGGTTGACAGCGACTACCTCAAGGGTCGTAAAGTCTACGGCCAGGTGATCACCACTTTCCGCTATGGCCGAGAAGAGGACGAGATGATGGGACTGCACTTCTACCGACAGTTGTTCCTCGCCCACGACCAGATAGTGCCCGAGCGCAACCAGGTCACTCAGGTGTCCGATCTCCAACAGCGCTTGCTTCGAAAACTGGGCACCAGCGCGTACTCATTCTGTTTCAGCCTCCCGGCGAATGCGCCCATGTCCGTCACGCTCCAGCCTGGCCCCAGCGACCGCGGTAAACCGCTGGGTGTGGAGTACGAACTGCGTGTGTACGTCGCTGACGACGACCAGCAGAAACCTCACCGTCGCAGCACCGTAAGCATGGCCATCCGCAAGGTGCAATACGCGCCTCTGACGATGAGCGAGCGCCAGCCGACAACCGTCGTCTGCAAGGGCTTCACGCTCAGTCCCGGAAAAGTGGAACTCGAGGTCGTCCTCGACAAGGAGATCTACTTCCACGACGACAAGATAAACGCTCACGTGTCCGTCTCCAATTACTCCAAGAAAAACGTCCGAAACATCAAGGTCCTGGTGCTGCAAAATACCGAGGTGACGCTTGGTGCACGGTCATTACTCGAAGGTGGTGGCTTCGGTTGACTGCAGCGAAAACTGCCCGATTCTTCCCGGCGCTGCTTTCTCCAAAGTGTTCCACCTTCTGCCGTTGGCGTCGGAGAACCGAGACCGGAGAGGCATTGCGTTGGACGGTCTGCTGAAGGAGACCGATGCCTGCCTGGCTTCCTCCACGCTGAACCACGAGGATGCGATCGGCATTATAATTTCCTATGTTCTCAGAGTGCAGCTTTATCTGGGACCTATGTCCTGGAGACCTGATTGCCGACGTTCCTTTCAAGCTTGCAAAGACCGAGCCCGAAGAGGTCTATCCAAAACTGCCAGGAGAAGAGAATCGTTGACCGATCAAAGTTAAAGAAGCAGCTGACCAGGGAAATGAGTACGAATCTTGTGTTTGAGGACTTTCAGTGGCACAGGCAAATCAGTGAAGATGGAGAATAGCTGTGAAATTTGTTCTTTTAATAGCTTACCTTTTGCTGCTTTTGTTCACTGCATCTTTTATCAATCGGTTTCTTCATTTAGTTGCATGTCAACAATTGGAACATTCTGGCACTTATTATTGGTAGTACATGTTTGTATGTATGACTTCATGTTAATAAAGGATAACCTAATTTGCTCGACCTTTCTGCTTCATGTGTCTGATCAATTCTATTAAGAAGCAATTAAGTTAATGAAGTCGCTGATGTGTGACATGCTAATAGTGGGCTCATCGCTAACATAAAAGGTATGACAGCAGAAAATGTGCTCCACAAGGTAAGGCGACTACTGACAGAGCTTGGGAGCTGTTGTGAAGAATTTAATAGAAAGAACAGTGGCCAAACTACCTCCTTGCAGACTATAATTGGGCACATGTACTGGTTTACTTGCAGGACATGCATTTCTCTCCTGTACTGATTAAATGTTCATTTCCTTGTATCTGTATAATATCTTTAATAAATGCAGGATGATGTATTGGAACATCTGGAGCTGTTGAAGGAAAGTTCTCAAAAAAGTTCTGAAGCAGGGCTTGTGGATGCTTCTGATGGGATAATATCTGCATAGATAGAAGATTTATAATGAATAATTTGGTGCATATGCCGTGTGTACACGCCTATGTGGCATAGTCTCTAGGATGTGCAGTGTCAATTTTTATGAAAGGGAACATGCGAATGCGTGGCTCGCACACTCCAGCGGATGCTTGTAGAGCGTTCAAGCAGGTAGCGATAGCAACCACAGTCTGCATTGCAGTCATCTAGTAGCGAGCTAAACAAGCAGTCATTGGTGATATGAAACCGGCGGCAAGGCAGTAACTGCCTCCCCTTAAACGCGATTACGTAAGAGGCCGGGCGTAATCATTTCGCCGGTTCAATATCACCAACAATCGGTTGCTTTGCTCGCCACTAGATGACAGGAATAGAGGCTATGGTTGCTATCGCTCCTGCTTGAACGCGCTACAAGCAGCCGTTGAAACGTGCAGGCCATGCGTTCGCGTGTTCTCTTTCATAAAAATTGACAATGTACATTCGGCATCAAATGAAACACGAATGGCGGAGCATGTGCCTTGAGCATTACAGAAGATGTAATGTGTGACTTCCAGTCATCACCACGAACAGGTTTGCTTTGCACATTCAGTCTCGTAGCACTGCACAATTCCCTTACAGTATGATATTTTTGCTTTTATTCTAGTTCGGATGTTCAGAAGGAAGGAGCTAAATATAAAATAGAAGTGAAACTACAAAAGCATTTCACATGCCTGCATTAGCCCCTATCATCACCACATCAGAACTAGAACGCAAGCAATAATATTATTGCATTAGAAAGGGATGGTGCAGTACTGCCGAACCGGATGTGCGCACTTGTCAGTGCTCATGGCAGGACAGAGTGCACTATACCATTGCTAATGCTTAGGTCATGTGCTCTGCTGTTCGTGTTTAATTTGATGCGGATAGCAATGCCAGTCATGAGGGTACGATTTTGGCCATAGGCCACATCCCAAAGGGGTTGATGCAAAACACCTGTGTCTTTGGATTTAGGTTCATGTTGAAAAATACCAGCCAGTTAGAAGTTAGATTCCGAGTTCTTATCGGGGTTTTAACTTATAAAGCCCCCATATTTTAGTGGACTGTGTTATATAACATCATCGGTTGGTGCCAAACCTACAATGATTGAAGGAATACAGACATTTTCTCTCCCACTTACTGCTTCTAATATGCTTGCAAACACTATTTGCTCGTGCTCATTTAGGTTCGGCCACTGTTCGTCTGCTCAACATTTTTTGAAGTTCACCTGTCTTATGTTGCCTTGTTTAATATCAACCACTTGAAGATTTCTTTCATACGTTCGAGCTTTCATTTTACAAAACCTAATTTAATGGATATATTATTTAATCAGCATGATCCAATTCTCGAAATATTTGTCATCAGGTTGAATGTACTTAGAAATACAATCGTGAAGGTAAGGGGACTTCACTTCAGATTTAAACAAAAAAAAATGTGGAAAAATGTGTACAAGTGCTGCAGGAAGAGCTACGTGTGCATAGTAGTAAAAAAAAAGAATTGGATGGCACTGACGTTTCCATAAAATTAGTTAATGTAGAAGTGTTAGAAGATGATGACAGCAGTTGCAAAAAAGGGCGGAAATGCTGATCCACTTGAAGGATTTTTCTCTCACGTGGATGATGATTTGAGCAGTTCCAGTTTTGAAAACAATGCGTGAACATTACTCATTTTAGCCATTTAGGGGGATATTTTATTTATTTCTTTCAGCACCAACAGTGCCGTTAGTGTCCTGACCCATGAATACGAGACACCGCCTCAACTTCTGGAGTTTCTGCTGGCGCCATTGTCACTAGAGGTTTTCATGTCGAAGCACTGGGAGCAAGAGCCCTTTGTTTCACAGAATCGTCCCAGCCAGGCAAAATATTGGTCACCGCTTTTTGGCAAGGACCGTTTCTTTGATTTGCTGAAAGAGAAACAAATCTACTTTGCGAAGGATGTCGCTGTGTGCAAGTACGAAGATGGGAAGAGGACAAACTTTGAGAGGCATGGTCGAGTCACAGAAGCTAAGATGAAGAAGTTGTTTGAAGGCGACAAAGCCACCTTGCAAATCCACCAGCCACAACGATGGGTGGTAAAACGCTTATCTTTCTAACTTGCCTTGTCTGTTGCTTCATTTCATTTGTGCCACACATAATTTAGTAAACCTATTTACAGAAAAGCTTGACTTATGGCTTTAGGCTTCAAATTGAAATGACACATAACAGTGAAATAGCTATCATCTCACCAAATGCCTTTTACGTGGTTTTACTTGGTTATCGTAACGATCAATACTAACGTTTTGCTATTTACTCCTGGGCTAGTCGACAAGTTAATTGCTGCCTGTCAGTTTTTTTTTGTTGTTTGAATGCCAGGACATTTTACATGAAGCAGCAGTACAAACATGGTATTTATGAATGTGTAAAGATGCTATCAGGTGACCTTGTAATAGAGGCCCAATTCTGTTGATCCAAATCTTGTTGCTATAGAGACGTAATCTGGGGCAGTGTACAAACAGACAATACATGAAAAATGAAATAGGAAAGTGTTGCCATTTCCTTTCTAGTCCTATTTTCTTTCTCGGCTATCGTGAGCTTGTGCACTACCCAAGGGTGGATAAGTTTCTATGCACACGCTTAACAGTCTACTAAAGCCCTAGTATCCCCTTTCAGGGCTTACACTGTAGTTCAGTGGTGCCTTGTTGCACTATGAAAGCTACAGGCTGCTGTAACAAATCAGGATAACAAGCGCAACCTTGAATCTATGTATTTGCTTTTTTTGGTGTCTGTTCTGCCTACGCACACTGGGCAACTATCATTCTAGATTGGATGACTTGGCCGTTTCCATGTGTTCTGGGGGTTGCCATTGCTGGCTGTATGCCAGGTGGCCAGTTCCACTAATACTAAGCAGATTTAGACTACTTTTGCTGAGTTGCATGTAAAGCTTTCCAGTTGCTTGTTGTGGTTTTTTCAGCTTGTACACATTTTTTCAGCAAATAGTTATTTCAGTGATCATCACATTCACCAAAAGCAGGTCTGTCGATAACCTTGTGTAGTTGAGTATTGAAGTAAAACATACGGTGGAGGAATCAACAGATGACACTAATCATTATGGACTGACAAAGGTGCACTCAACTGAATGGAGACTACACAGGATACAATGTTACAAGCAAATATGGGCTTACTCACTGCTTAGTTCTACAGGCATGTGCAGGGTTTCCCTCAAAGGGGGGGGGGGGGGGGGGCAAAGGCTTGTCACAGTGTGCTCCTCCCTTTTATGTCAATTTATGGGGCTTATTTTGTGCCCCCCTCCCCCCGAGTCACTGTTCCCCCTCCTTATGATACAAATTTTTAAGGTTGACTTTTGCACCCTCCCTTAAGTTACTAGCGGGCGGGGGGGGGGGGGCGCCCACTATTTCCCCCTTGTGCGCACACCTATGATTAGTTCATAGCTACTCATATTTTTGCCATGAAAAATAATTACAATCACCCTTCATATGTGAGTGACATGTCTTTATTATGTTTAAAAATATCTTTAGGAATGGAAATATTCATTGAATTTGCCCTTCTTTAAAGCCCTGCAAAAGCAGTGCCTCTTTTTCGGGCTTGTTATCTTCGTAGCATCTGGCAACTACTCTACTGCATGCTAACTTTTAAGTAAAAATTGTGTCCTAAAGTTTCCTGAAGTGTTGTGTGACTGCACTTATTTTTAATGCTATTGGTTACTGAAATAAATGGAAAATGGTTGTTGTATTAGAGTGAACAGATGCCAGTTTTATTTGGATAAAAATGTAAAATTACGTAAATCACCACAACTTTGAGGCTCGAAAGACTTTATTGTATCTCATTGCTCATTAGTCTGGCGACCCACCGCCCTTGCGCATTTTATATCTTGAGACGTCAGAGTTCATGCCTCCAGGCTTTATGGTTTTGCCTTTGCTGCAAGTAACTTCTAAATCTTGATACATACAAGTGGTACAAGGACTCAGCGTTTTGCTTAACTACCTGTCTACCAGTGACAAACATATAGCACAACTTCTGAAGGTATGGTGGAGTGACTTTGCCGTATAACTGCTAAAACCCAGATTATTCTATTTACAAGTACCCTGTGCTTATTCAAATACTGGTGACACCTAGAGCCTTTGTTTTAATTTGTACTTGCTGAAGATGAAGCAAGCATTCATGAAAATTTATAAAAGTTCAATGGGAAATTTTTCTCCTAATTTCTTTTGCAGATTTTTTACTAGTTTGTTTTGTTGATCATGTGACATCGGTCTGGAGAAATAGGTGCTGTTTACTTTCCCCCCTTTTCACCTCTGAAATTTCTTAATGGGGGAACTTAAGTGTGCTACATCTTTCTACAGGATGGCTTCTGGGAAGTGCTAGAGAAACTGGAGTGCTTCTTTGGCTGTCTTGTCGGCTGTAATGTCTACATCACTCCTCCATCTGCACAAGGTTTGGCTCCTCATTATGATGATGTTGAGGCAAGTTTTAGTTGGCCCTCCATTAGGAGTCACAGTTACATTTATGCAAAATTCTGAAAGATCTGTCTGAAAAATTGTTTTGAAAATCTTAAATCAGTACTTCCTTTAGGCACACCAAAGTATTGAAACACATGAGACATTGTTTGTACTTAACATTGAACATTAGTTCACAATTAACAAATAAGGGGCACAAAAGTATGGATCATGCCCTTAACATAGCATGTACTTGTGAATTCATTGTTGTACATTAAGAACTTGTGCGAAATGAAAAATGGGTGTTTGTATGTTCTTTCACTTCACAACATTCTATATCGTAGTTCTTAATTAGTTCTAAATTGAGTGGTAATATTGGCTTCCATATTTTAATTTGATAATTCGAGAATATATCTAGAGTTTCTTATATTTCCTAAAACCACTGTAAATGCAGACTTGCTTTTATAGTGCATTTTGTTTTGAAAGTGGGACTGATAAAAGATCAATGAACTGGGTCCTAAATCTAATATTGGAGTAGACAATATTATATTTTTTTCTGGTTATTTCCAACCTAAATTGCATCTTTGGTTTCAGTAAGGTTGTTTGAAAACTGAAAAATATTCTTTGTTGATTCAGGGAATGGAATTGAACAAGAAAAAAAGAGAGCTTTGGTGTCATTGTGCTTTTGGGGAGGAAGAGAGGGAGAGAGCAATAAATTTCATTTTACTCTTGGAAAATAACACAAGCTGGCTTCTCTCGCCTTGCCCACACTGGGGAATGGGTGGGGGTGAGCTACTAGTATTTTAAAAATGAAACTTTGTTTCATCGTGTAAATTTTACTGTTCATTGAAACATGCTGTTACCATCCTATAATCTTAGAATATGCATATATAATACGTTCTTTAATGACATTTTCTGTAGGTATTTATTGTTCAATTGGAAGGTGAGAAATGCTGGAAGCTTTACAAGCCACCTGTAGAGTTGCCTCGCACCTACAGCAAGGATTTCAATGCAGATGAAATTGGCCAGCCAACTCATGAGTTTACGCTCAAGGTTAGTAGGCTGCTTCTTTTCTTTTTTATTTCTTTTTCTCTCCTCTCTCACACATAATTACATGATAGCCGTTCAAATAATACTCTTGCCATTCTACTATGTAAGCCTGTTAATGCTGTGTAACTAAGTCATGTAAACAGTATTGAAGTTCGAAGTTTCCCTTGGGTAAATATGAGCCTTTAAGTGCGAAACGAGGTGGTAACGAATAATATGTAATATTGAATAATTTGGAAGCAGACAGTTGTAATTGTGTAATTTGCATAAAATGTTAATAAAAGGGTCTATTTTGCACTTACTTTAAAAATATTTTCCCCTTCCCTTGCTTTGCAAAATATATACGGATCTTCTCATGAAGCCATTAAGTATTGTTATTTAGAAAAATAACCAGTTGTAGTGTAGGTTATATGCAACAAAATGTATTAGGTTTTACAGAGTGCCACTGTTGGTACATATAGCCCACCCTTAAACACACACAACAAATAAGCAAATAAAGTAGTCACAGGGAATAGGTATGCTTTTTGTTAAGAAGGCCTCATGCCCCGATGCTGTGAAGCCTCCTTTTAAGGCTGGTCTTTTACAACAAGAGAAAAATAATGCAACTTCTTAGTGAGTCAAATACTTTAACCAGATATAAAAATTTGTGTGATTTTTTTTTTTACTTGCTCTGTGTGGTAAATAACTTTAATTGGGTTATGGTTTTATTTTTTGGATTAGAGGCAAAAAAAACATTTCATGCTTAAATTTCATGACTTGAACTCATCTTCGATTTTGTTAATATTGTTAGAAGAGTATTTCAAGCTGAAGAAGCTAGAGAGACAGTGGGAAAGACGACATGATTTTGGGATGCTGGGCACGCTCTCTTGCCATCTCCGCTTACGCTTGGCGTCATGAAATATATCGCAACTATCGCCTCATTTCCCTATGTGCTTTTCCATAACAATATTCTCTTTTTTTCTGCACCTAATGTACAGCTGTGGCAGTAGTAGTGCCTGCAACCTTACCTTTTCTTTTTTTTTTTCAAAGCCAGGAGACTTGCTGTACATGCCACGGGGGACCATCCACCAGGCTTTGACACCAGAGTCTTCAGGCACTCACTCCACACATGTCACCATAAGCACCTACCAGAACCAGTGAATAACTTTCAATTTCACTTAGTTCACAGAGACATGTGCATGATCGATACAATTCAGTGATGACACTTAACAATCATATGCCTGTGCATCAGGTTGCGTACGGGACACCAAAGAGGTGCACTCATGAACCACTATTGTCAGTAAGAAAAAAAAATCATTCTTCATCTCTTCTAGCTTACCAGAACTCTGCCTATAGTGCTTTAGGGCTTAAATTCCCAAAAGTAACATTTCTTATTAGCACCTCTTTATGCTGACATTGCCGAACTGTGCATTGGTGTGTACAGTTCCTTTTATCTATTCATGTAAAATTCTGTCCTGTTTCGGTTACTTGTAAGTTGCAGTTCTTTCCTTTTATTCTCAGAGGTTTCATTTCATATTTTTTTTTACAGCACAATGGGCGATTGTCTTAAGAGTCTAGCACCAGATTTAATTGATGCTGCTCAGGACTCCTGCCTACAACTTAGAAGAGGTCTTCCCATGCAATTTCTTCCGCATTCGAGACTAACCAAGGTAATAAAACAACTGCATTCCTATCCACTCTTTTCACCTTCTCATTCTCAAAAACAGGAAAGTTTACGATGTTTATCATGTATGCTAGCACTGGCTGCCAGAACGTTAATAAGAAATTACGAAGGCCTTGTCAAAGAAAGTAACTTTTTGGGATGGTGTTCCACAGTCAATTTGTGTCAATTGCACTCTCTTGCCTTTTCTTTAACATGCTTAAGACTAATTGTAATCACTGCATGTTGAAATTCTGTCCACATTGTTGAATTTTTTTTTAGCAAAAAATAAAGCAAAGGCTTGCACGCCAACACATAACTACGGATAAGGGTGACATGTGCATTTCACTGAAGATTTTCTTGAGGGAATTGCAGTGTTCACTGTGAGAAACTTGCTCTGGCAGTGAGCAAGTCAAGTCAGAGTCAGGTGGGATGTCGAAGTCTGTTTTTATTGACTACTTAAGCGAGCTGTTGAAACATGCTGTTACAATTGTTATGTCCACAATATATTTAAGTCGGGGTCATGTCATAACTAGTCATTCTAAACTTCTCGTTTAAGGCCGACGTGGAGGCTGCCCTCGAGGCCGTTTTGAAGCACGTCAAAAACATCGACGGTCCAATGCCTGTAGCTGAAGATCTTGTTCATGACTTCATGCGTACACGGCTGCCTCCTTTTGGTGTGGACCGTCTGGCCATCTCAGAGGCGACACCAGATGGAGAGGCACCGGGGCTGAATGATCGCATCAGGTTTCGTTACCCAAGCCACGTGACTTACACAGTGGAGGGTGACCTGAGTGAAGGTGACGATATTGCCAGTGAGTCTTCATACTCACTTGCTGAGCAGCCACAACAGCAGAATCATGGTGAGGCAGGGATATTAGTGTTTTGATCTCATTCAGTTCTTTTTCTTTTTTTTTGTGTGTGTGTCTGTGCTTATCAACATTTAAGTTGTCTCATTTTGTCCAACAGCCAAGAAAATGGTGCTGCTTCTTACATCAGTGTTTAACAACAGGGAAAAGCACATGGTTTCTGCGAGTGAAGAAGATGAAGAGGAGGAGGAGGTAAGTGGGCCATGCAATTTTGAAAGGGCTGTTTTAAGCAGTCTTATAGACCCAAGCGAATTTGAACGTGGCATGTCAAATAAGCAAGCGTTATCTTTGGATTGAAGCAGCTGTGTTGCTGTCATCTATTTATTGTAATCATTTCTACTGCACCCACCATTTGAACTAGGTTACCTGTTCTTGGACAAATATTGCAGTAGACTCTCAGTAAACGTAAATTTTTAAAATGGAACTGCTGCTGAAATGGGGCAAGTGCTTCTGACAAGATTGGTTTCATACTTGCATTCTGCTACCTTGTTCATCTTTCATTAAGTGGAACTCCTTTTCAATGTAACACATCTTCCTGGTCCCATCAGGTTCCATTTAATGAGAGTCTACCGCACTTAGAATGCAGGCCAGGGAGCTAAATGATGTATACCTACCTTTAAAAGCCATTCAAGCAGCTGTTTCTTGTGAGCTAGGTCATTGAATATACTTCTCTTTTATTAAAACCTGGATGTATAGTTGTAAAGATGGTTTTAGCAGATTGTTGGATGGACTAAACGTCGAATCAGTCAATTACTTTTTCCACTAATACGAATTCAATAGAAGTTGCTGCTGGGCTAGTTTGGGCAAGGAAAAGATTGTTGCCCGCAAACTAGAACAAGGACACAGAAGGCATAGACGAGCCAGTTTCTTTTTTTTGTAATCATTTTATATTGATATATTTATATATAGTGTGTTGATTATAATGATTGTGCTTGTCCATGTCTGTGTCCTTGTTCTAGTTTGCACACAATCTTCTTTTTCTTGCACCGATATGAGCATGTATATATTCATAATAAATATTGTGTGTCCATCTGCTGGTACGAAAGACTCGAATTTAGTCCTGGTTGCAGTAACCGCGTTTAGATGGAGGCAAAAAGCTAGAAGCCTTTCTGCTTTGCAATGGCAGCGCACATTAAAAAATCCATCTCGTCAAAATTATTCTCGACCCCTCACTATGAAGTGCCTTATAACTATATTATGATTATTTCAGCAGGTAAAACATTGCCAAGTATGCTACAAATAATATTGTATGTGACAAAGGTATCTGTGTTTGATGTGATTTGGTCATAAGGAGGTACTCTGTGTACGCTTATTACTTAGATACAGTGGAGCAATATTCACAATGCAGAAGTATTGAATAAAATTTGTTTTCTTTCTTTTATATTGGGGTTACTTTTTGCAGCCAGCAGAAAGCTTCAGAAGAGTATGAAGGATAACCTTTCATAAACACTCAGATCATCTGTTTTAGTGTTCTTAAAGCTCTGTACTGCAATACAAGCGATAGGCAAATAACTTAGCATGTGGGGGATAATATACCAACAGCCAAGACAAGTATTGTACAGAGGTGTTTATTTGGTGCATTTGTGTGGAGCCCTTCTCAAAGGAACCCCACAACACTTGTCCAAGTAATCATACAATGGTTTCATTCAAACACATATCGAATCGCAAATTGGCTGCCAGAAAAATTTTAAAAACCTATTAAATATGAGTGGAGATACAAAGATTCATTGCATACTTCGTGTGCTTTCTCTTTCCTTTTGTACCAGTTAGGGTGCTGAAAGCTACACTGGAAGGGTTCAAGAAGACTCATCCTTTTGTTAGTACGCGTCACCACCATAAGCACTTTCTTTTCTGAATTTTTCTTTGGACGCCTGGCTTACTTCCAGTGTGATCGCGAGCACGCAGGCATGTGGTAGCATCTTGTGGCAGCTGCAGTCACTATGCAGTTCATTATCTTTAAACGAGTCATAGTCGTGGGATTTGGTTTTATTGAACTGTCATTTGTGTTTATGATGCCATTTTTTGAGAGAAGAGGGAACAATTTCCAGCTTACTTTGAGAATGAATGTCGAATTTCAGGCCGCGTGCTGCATTATATCGTTCGGCTTGCGTGTTTTCAAGATTCTCGAGTGTTCATCGGCAGTGTTTTCTGACCATGCCGAAAAAGTGTTGTGGGCCCCTTTAAATTATATTGCTTGGACAGCTTGCATGCTTTTTTTTTCTAAAGGTATAATGCTTTTGTATTGAAAAGTTTTCCACTATAGAGTTGAAGTTACTGACTGCAAAAGTAAGAATCTTGCATACTCTTGAGCACCTATGATTAAGGCATAATAGGTATCAAATATAAAGATGATTGTTGTCACATGTATTGTACTTGGGTAACAGTGGTGCCTCGGATGTTTTCATTTCTACCATGTTCATTTGTCAGCTCTGCCATCAAATGTAGTATGACAAATTCGCGACAAATTTGCTGTGGCTTTGGTTCAACAGCCTGTTTGGTCTAGATAGAGGAATCCCTATTTCAAACCTGCAAGAGGTGTCGGCAAGAGGGCAGCGGTAGGACTATTGAGAGTTCACCTTTTGTTGCACAATTGCAAGTGAAAAAAAAAATATTGAAAAACAGAATAGCCTGCCGTAATTATTGCTAAGATTTGTGTTTCTTTGGTGTAATATTTGTGTCTTCATGCAGGACCTCGAGATAGCCAAGTTTCCTCTGCACTTTCTCGATGCTATTAAAAAATTGTGTGGCAGTGACGATTTCATACACTGTAAGGACCTCAGCTTACCGTCTGATGAAGACAAGCTTCTGCTGCTTACAACCTTGTGGTCCCTACATTTGTTGGATGTTCAGGTGTTAGCAATGTAGAATAATAAAGCTTTTAGTCATGTCATAAATTGCGCATGTGCATTACCAACCTCATTTTGTTACTAGTTGTGGTTGTGAGTCACCAATACTATGCAGTCTAGTGAAATGTGCTATTTCTAAAATTAGCTGCATTGTTCCTTGTAATGTACATTGCATCATGGGGAAGTATAAAGTGCTAAATTAAACCTAAAACATGGCAGAGTATGCCTCATTTCCTGCACATGATATTGCATACATTAGTAAAACCACATAAACAGCCAATTTTCTCTTTATTTTATACAGTAGTGCCAGCTTAGGAGAATTTATTCAATTAATGATTTCTCAACAAGAACTAAATTTGTGTTTATAACCCACAAATTTAACTGCATCTTAGTGATTCTGGCCGCTCAACCTAGGGCTGCGCTCTAAAGCTAGTGGAAGGGGAAGCCATTCTTTAAGGTAGCCTTTCAAAGAGTATCGCTGATTGCAAAATACTTGGGAAATTAAGGGCTGTACAGCAATCATAATCCAACGAAGAATGAAAGGTACAACATTGAAAGGCCTTTCACGAGGCCCCATCATGACTGTATATACTTGTGGCTGCAACCAGAACTTAAAGAATTTCCCCAAGAGTATATATAAAATTTACTTGTGTATATGCCACACCCTTAACTTTTTAGAAGGTTAGCAGTGGTATTTAGTGTGGTATAAGGATTCCGAAGCCTCTTTTTTTTTTTCTCTCTTTCTTTTCCTGGGAATATACAAGGTTTCTGTGCTGAGTTTTTTTGTACTAGCAATTATATGGACACTCTCGGCTGGAATGGACTTCCGGCATCCACGTGGGCGTATCTATAGTAATAAAAACACAAGGATAAAAATTAATGCAGAAAAATACTTCGGCACGTGGAATCGAACATCCAACCTCTGAATGGTGAGTGCGAGGGGTTAGCCACTGGGCCACGAAGGAGCACCTCCTTCAACAGAACGGCAAGCTATTTATATTTACCACTTACCGCTGGCGATAGGCATCTCGGCGGAACTATTGTGTTTTCAGCATTACCAACAAGGTGGTGCTATGAGCACGCGTCACCAGATTGTCACGACGCGGCGGTGCACACTCATCATCTCCCATGCATACTTTGCACCGGGGAGAGGGGACGCTCACGTGTGCGCTCGCTTATCTTGCGGTGGGGACAATCGTACGCCTCGGGCTTTCGCTGAAAACGATTCTGTTGTATTTGCTGGGCGCACAAAGGTCACGGCACTCGTTGCACAGTCTCCGTTTGAAAAAAGGGCGTGCTTTTCAGACACAGCCAAGTAACAACTGAGATGCTTACTCACGTTCTTCTGTACCTGTGAGTATGTTTCGTGCGTGATTTGTGCGTGAGAAATGCGGGGCACGTTTCGATCTGCTTGTCATTCTTCGCGTGACCTTCCAACTCGTTGCTATCGCATTCATTACTTCGCCCTTGTGGCAAAGCTGCGACTTTTTTTGGCACCTCCAGGTTGCGAAGCCACAGCCTCCGCGATTCAACAGCTGCCTCTGAGCCTTTGCTGTCCACCAAACAACACCAACTGGACGGCTGACGAAGGCATTCCTAGTGAATGTGTTAATTTTGGAAGCCCGGGGTGGAATTTTTTTCGAGATGATGAAAAAAAGCTTAGAGTTTGTAAGAACCTCGCACAATTTTGATCGAACAAAAAATGACTAGACAAATTATGCAATGCAACAATATATTTATTTAAACATTCTGGGGTCAAGCATTTTTAAAAAGCATATAACAGCAGGTGACAGAACATTCTATTGTAAGTGGTCGGCAATATCGTGGTGAAAGCTAGCAACCGATGGTTTTAATATTTTGTTGGAAACTGTAGGCATATTTTAGTTTTAAAAAAGTTGAAAAGCCCTTTAGTAGATGTTTACCTAACTAGGTAATTCAGAAAGACATGCTGATTGATTTTAAGGAATATAGTATGTTTTTATTGTGCATTTAAAGCATGCCACTTTGCAATACTATCTCCTAAAAAAATTTTGTTACGCAATTGTATATTAGAATATCGTTTGGCAATGTTTTGCTTCTGTAATGCCTTCACTCAATGTGACAGATGGTCGCTGTGTCGTTTGCTTGTTTGTAACCCCTCCTCCTTCAGTTTGACATAAAACAGAGTTTCATAGAAGTCGGGTCGATGGTATGCAATATCTGCCAGTATGATGTATAGTCGTGTTTGAAAACTTTTGACAATATTGGAAAATCACAGGCCTTAAGTCACCAACATGCATGAACTAACAGAGTGTAAATCAGTGATGCATAGGCAATTCTACTTCTATAATGTGAAATTTTTACTTCTTCACTTTTTTAAAATATTTTTTATATTGTGGCATCGTAACAATGCCATATTTTCTCCCTAATAATTTATGAAAAACTGCATCTCTTTTGCTATGTTTAGAAGTGAGTAACATTACATATTAAAAGTCATAATAATAAAGATTTGGTCCCTGAACCAGGCATGATGTTGAGAAGCTAGCATTTCAATGCCTTCGCACACTCGTACAAAAAGTAATTTAATGGAGTACACCTTTTCTATGTAACTTAGCATATGTGCATGAAAAGAAAGTGGAATCGTATTGGCTGACTGCATTGCAAGGGCATTTCACGTGGTAATAATTAGCGAGGAAATTCTATCAATAGGTTTTAGTGTGTTTGCATATGGGGGGATGGTGTTCTAAGCAGGTTGAATTTGTCTATGCCCAGTTATTTGAGAGTACATGGAGGAATACTCAACACCCATATAGTGAGAGGGATGCATTCGTCACACATATGTTATTAGGTTCTGGAACTAGCAAAGGCGAGGGAATGTATGGGAATAGGCAGGAAGGGCTCACATATGTGAGCACTTGGCTGTAGTAGCAGCTTTGGGCTTATACTCTACTATATGGTATATGCACATTCATAGCGTGCGCAGGGTTTCGCCGTCACGGGGGAAAAGGTTCGTCGCAGTGCCGCCGCTCCCCATTAAGTCAATGTGTAGGGGGCAGACTTTACCCCCTCCCCCCATTCCCTGCGCCCATTGCTGGAGCATAACATTTTGCATATTGTGTGGCCATGTACATTGTGTAAATGTGGAGCACTTTGTGCTGGCAAGCTAGGCCAATGTTGGTTCGACAGGAGCAAGCGGGCATTGTTTAAGGGGCCATGACACTCAATTTTTGCTCACGATCTCGGTTATGTGGCTTAATCCTCACTTGTTTGCGAGTAAGCTGGCTAAGTTTCAGCACATTTGGTGGGAAACCTAATTTATAATGAGCATTTTCATAAATGCACAAGCGTCCTCAGAGTCTAACAACACTGGCAAACTCGCGAGCCGTAATGCTTTGCAAGCATGTGTATTTTAGCCAATGATTTTGTTTCATGGTCAGTCACAGGTACAATCAAGCTATTACAGCTATCTTAAGTTTGGCTCTGAAAATAGCACGACTTGCAGCGTTTGAAACTTAAATAGAAGGTGACGGTGCCACTACATGAAGCACATGACGTCACGTACACCATGGCAAAATGACGGTCACCCGTTGTGCACGGGGTTTACAGCTGGCAACTTCTAGGGCTCATTTTGCAATGAAATATTGTTTTACAGTTCACATTGAAACGCATATACCGTTCGCATTCATATTGAACGCAAACCAACTGACCCAACTCTCCCTTTTGCTGCAGTTTGCAGTTAATTCTTTTACGGTCCATTTTTATATATGGACAGTCACAATAGAGCCTCTACTGTTATTTCTTGCTGTAAGCTGCAATTTGGTGGTAGTCATGTCATGGCCCCTTAACTCAATAATAAAATTGTGAAGCAGTTCTTCGGTTCAGCTAAAGACGTTTTCACTGTTAAGTGTGAAAAAAAAAGCACTAGTGAAGCTAAGTAGGACAGATGCTATCATTGAATTATAATAAAACTTCAAAATGAATTAGTTTTGAAGGAATAGTTATTTACAAAGCCATCACAGATTTTAAGTGACGAGTGAGCAGCCTCCGATTGTGTAATATTGGTGCCGGTTAATGTTAGCGATTGTTGGTTACAGTATACTTGTTCTTATAAGAATGAAATAAGATGAGGGCATCACAATGCCTTGTTGAAAACTATGCAGTAGCTTTGTTTAATATGCCATGTTTATATCATGTACAGCGTGCACTTAGCAGTTACATTGTTGTAGATATGCAGGAACACCACAGCTACTGCACTTCATAGAACGTAAGAACCCAACTTCAACTGTGTACTAGATGCCTTATTTAAAACGGCCGCTGTAATGCTGCTGCCACTGGTTGTCAAAAATAATTTGCATCTTTTTCGCTACACATATAGCTCCGTAGCCACGCTTAACATTGCCGACCAAATCATTATAGGAGAAGCAATCTGTGGTGTTGGGTCACGAAAAAGCAAGAAGTGTGACAGGAGAATCCCAAAGGCTTGTGAGGAATGTAGATATGTTTGACTTGATCAATTGATGAGCTTCCTTTTTGGCGACATGGTCATCCACGCCACCACGCCAACGGTCAGGACTGTCTCAAGCAGATTGCCACTTGTCCTGAAATAGCTGGCACACGTGTACAACGTCTTTAGTGAGGCCGCTAGCAGGAAAGCAAAATGTAGAAGCAATGGCAAACTCGTCCTTCCTACCAGTTTATGTTGGCCGACTTTTTTTTTTTGGCAGTATTGTCCCCAATATTGTCCCATTCTTTCCCAGAAAAACGGCAGCTCTTTAGGTAAAGTCGGACCATGTTCTCGCATGCCCTTGTTCCTTAAGTTAAGGCTGAATGAATTTCTTGTGCAAATCAGTTGCTACTAGAACAGCAGCTATAAGAACAAATCAGAAAAAAGTTAGCATGCATGATTACACACAGCACAAGACAGATTGCAAATGACAGGCATGGCATTGAACTAGCATATGAAAGCACATAAATATACATCTCTCATTTTTCAATAAACTAGCAGTTTCTAGTTCAGTGCCTTCTTTGTCTTCCACTCTTTGCCATTGCACCTTTCATGCGTCTGTGGATCATGGTGCCCAAATTTGCTCATTGTGGGGATCGAATGTCGCCAAGCTCCTTTGCATGGGCACAACAAAGACAAAAGGACTGTCTCGTTTGGCTTTAAGCCTACAGCTCATAATTCCCACTGCTACATTAAAAACGGTATTATTCAAATCTTTCTGACTGCTTGAAGTGCTTTTTGACATAATGTTACAATACATTATACTCGATCATAACAAAAAATGCAACGACTTACCTTGAGGCAAGCTCATTCCAAAATAGTGGGCTTTCCTGATGTTTTTCACGGTACTTCAGTTCTTCCTGTAACAAAAACATTGTTTGATACACTGTAGTTGGAAATACATGTTCATACCTTGTTTCTTATTTCAAGCAGATAAAATGAAAGAAATGCATAAAACCTGTTAGTGCGATTTCTTCTTTTTTAGACAAATTAGTTGGAGATGCTATTACTTTAACAACAAATTGAAATTTCCTCATGAATAATATAATTAAAAATCACTAGTTGTAATTATCTGTGTTGGGATACATCTTAAAAGTGTTGAACTAAGGCCAAGCTTGGCTAACAGTTCTGGTTAAAGACCCCTGTTTTAAAACTCTTCATAGTAAACCTTGCTGTTAAGATATCGTAATCTAATTGATTTCATTGCTTAAATGACATACACCAAATGTCAGTTTATTATATTGCTGCAATCGCCCCTATCGGACTGATTCCTAAAGTAGAACTTTTTATTTCAGGCAATATACCCAGTAAAATATGCCCACTAAAAGAAAGACACTGATTCACTAGACTATACAGCAATGCAAAGTAATGTTTCATACATGCACATTCATTCCTCGGTAACTGAGTTCCACTAGTTTTCAACACTGCCAGGATTTTATATGCATTTGACTAGCCCCCTAACAAAATAATATGGATAAGAAAACAAAATAATACTATAGAGAAATTACCCATTCACTAAAGTCTGCCTGATGAACAGTCTGGAACATTCTTCTTGGTGAATGGGGAGCTGTTTTTAGGAGATTTCGTGTGGTAGTCGCGTCATGGCGACTATTGGATACAGCATGATGAGTGTCCCTCTTGTTAATTTGCCTTTGTTCAAAACTGTATCGCTCGGTTCTGGTGCGAGATGACCGCGCATATTCTGGACTGTTTTGGTAAATATCACCTGCTTCCCTGCTGTTTTGTGTTGACCTCGTTGTGACAGAAATGGTCTCATTTGTGCTCATCTTTAGACAGCTGTGCACACTTGCAGACCTTTGTGATCTCTCATAATTGATGTTCTCACGAACATGTCTAGCATTCCGCATTCTTGCAAATCCTAGCCAGTCTTCATCTGAGGTCCGTCTTGTTTCCACTGCAGCTCTTTTACGAAGAGATTCAACAGAGCGTATTTGATCATCGCTGCTGTCGTGATGATATTTTTGGCACCTCTCCACACGCTCTGCATACTTAAAATGCGTGCCACTTGCAGGTGTCCTTGTCCTCCTTTCTGCAGTGATGCTTTGCTCCAAGACCATTTCATTAACGCTTCGCTTAGGCAAACTTGCCGGAAAGCCCACTGGCATAGGAACCTCGTTGTCATTACGCGCTTGGCAGCCTGGTGCGGTACACTTGAAGTGATGTCTGCCTTGTGTTGATCCAGTCGGACCTTGCATTATCAACACCCAGCTGCCTGCGAACTGCACTGACACTTCGCGCTCTCATTTGCTGTTCTGAATGCCTTTTGTTCAGAATGTAACTGTTACGTTTTTCACTGTTGTCCATTGATCGTACATTGATCCTGGAGTCATGTTGCCTAAAGCTACGGTTGCGCCTTTGTTGGTGTTTATCTGACAGGTTTGGCACTGTGCGTTCAGCTACAATGTGAACTGATGTGCGCTCATTCGAAGCTCTGATACCATTTTGTTTGTTTATGCCAGTATGTCTTACTTGACGATGATTGATGTCATGTAGAGATGGAATAGATCCACTTGTTCTTTCAGTAAGTTTATCACGCCGCACTGCTTTGGGCCTGGTCTCTTCCTTCTCTGTTATTGTGTGTTTGTACAGTTGATGTCGTTCTAGAGGACATTATGCTCATGCATGGGAAGCCCAGATAATTTACTTACTATCCTTTCATTGCGAGTGCGACTGTCTACCCTGACCCTTTCAGAGTTTATTTGTAGTGGCAGTGTCATTCTGCGTCTCTGTTGAGCCATTTTATGATGCTGTGTAAATATGTTTCTGGAAGACTGGGTTTTTAATATGAAAGATGCTTTCTTCGCAATATCATGTCGATCGTTACGTTGGTTCATGATCTGGCGGCTTTGGTACGTGGCGTCTCGAGTGCGGTGGTTGCGGCTAACTTGATCATTTACTTGGCGTCTTGAGTCTTCACGCACAGCGCCAACCCTTGATGCATGGTTGACCTCCTCTTCCCTGCGACTGGCTCTAAACCTTGTGACTAACTCGCGGCCTTGAGCTCTAGGTTCAGTGAGCCTTGATACCGGTTTCGAAGCTCGACGCCCGCCGATCAATCGCTGTCTGACGTTCGATGCGTTCCGCTGATACTGCGTTTTGACGAATGACAGATGCGCCATCGTCGTAGTGCATCGTGCGACTAATCTTTTCTCGGTAAGGTCGAACTAAGTATATCGCGATCGGTAGGCCTCACCCTTCTTCTCGAGTCTTCTTCACCCACGTTGGCACGTCTGCAGTATGTCTTCGCCGCTCGTCCTCCGTCCTGTAAGAGCCCTTGCCATTTGTGGAAGAATGCGTACGCCTTGTCTCACGTTCTTGCCTGCGCACATCCAACATTCTCGGGGTGTCTCTCTCCGTGCGGCTCATACGCACTGTTGCTTCATCGAGCCTTTCTCGTTTGCCTACCCTTTCGAGATTCGATAAAATGCGGCGGACGCTTCGCTCCGCAATATCAGGCTTTCTCGCGCTGTCGCTGCGAAAGTGAAGGATCTCCCCGTCCCTTACTCGGGTCGAGTGCGTGTGCCGCACCATCAGCGGTTTGGCCTCGGACCTGCGCAGGTCTCGGCCTGCTGAGCGTTTGTCGGGTTCGTTGTACGATTTGTTGTGCGAGTGCGTGTCGGCGATCCTGCACGGACGCCTTGAAGTCTTCTCGCCCCGCGCCGTCGACCGTGGGACTGAATCCCGTCCAGTGCTGGTCAAGGAGCACCCGGTCGTCCAGGTACGCCTGACACGGAATGGCGATCGCCACCAGGATGAACCACACCGGCGTCAGCATTCAGAGTTGGAGCCCGTCTGAAACGGCCACAATTTTCAGTATCAGTGTTCTGTTTTTCGCACAGTGACCAGCACCATAATAAGAACATCGAAAACCAAGTTCCCTGCCCTTGCGTGACGAACTCCACAAACTCATACGTTTTTGTTTGGTTAATCACGACCTTAGTGGTTTGGTTACCGCATATGCTACAGTTGCCTGGACAAACGGGCATGTAATTTTACTCGGGTAGTAACTGTTCGAGGTCACATTTTCTGGAAGGTGAGGGCCGGTTCCGCACGAGTGCGACAGTTAGTGCGAGAAGGCTGGTGCCTGCGAAGCTTGCTGTCGCGCGCTTTAATTGTGCTGGAGGTCACGTGCACTGCCGAGCAGCATTGTTACAGCATGCGGACTCAGACACAAAGTGAACTTGGTGTTGGCCTTTGGGAACATGATAGCTGAATTCGTATCGCTGTCACCGCTTCGCCACGTAGGCTACAATATTTTTGTTGTATTTAAGGTTCAAAGTGTACTAAAGTAACAACTATGTTACTCTTTTTTTTTTTGCATGATTAATATATTGCCCTCTTAAAACCAATAGCATGCGTGCATTTGTGCGCTTCTATTGAAGTATGAAGGAAAAGTTCGGGCAGCGCTCGTGGCGTGCCATTAAATAATCACAGCCTATCCACGGAGTGAATGATGAGCGGGGCGAATTGAGCGTCCGTCCGGACGCAAGGACGGACTGGTGGACGCTTCGTCCCACTCATCATTCACTCCGTGGATATGCTGTAACACTGTTTTTATTGACATGCAATGCAATTTTATGACCTTGAAAAGTGGCTACTACGACGACGACACGGGACGTTACGACCCACGGCGTAAGGAGTTTCGCTTCGAACAGTGTCTAGAATAGGTATTCTAGGCACTGTATTAATAAGGTGTAAAGTAGCAGTATCCATGTTAGCTGTAAGTGCCCCCAGACTTTATCTGTTAGCTTGTCTTTTACTGCTTTCGGTGATAAACTCTCCGCAGTAAGCTGTCAAATAGTTACCGCTTGGCTATGAAGACGAGCGTTCATTGCTATTTCATCTCTCACTAAAATGCTTTTTTTTTTCGCGCTTGCCCACAATGGAAAAGGCGGGCGGCAGTTTTAAGCGGCGTAAATTCGATCAATTCCCCAAGGTGAAGTTTTGCGACTGGTCAAATCCTGATCCAGTCGAGAAAGCTCGCAGGTATGACGTCATGGACGCACAACGTGGCTCCAGCATGGCGGCTTAGATGTCGTCCATGCAGTATAATTACGCGGCGATTAACCTGATTCAGTGTAACAACGACGTCGCTGTATTGTTATCGGGCCTCTCTGCAATATGAATAGGAAGTTTTCGAATAAGGGCCCCAAGCCCTATGCGTGTGCTTGCTCTCAATCAGGCAGGAGCTGAGAGTTTTCAAATAGGGCCTGGGAAGCTTTGGCTATTTTAGGTCTTGGTCGAGAGCCGTGGGTGTTTTCATGTTTCGTCGTACTCAAATCTTTTGGGTCACGCTTTGGGACTCCCGCTAGATTCTAGAAATAGCGTCCCCAACGCAAAACCAAAAATTAGGGGACCCTAAAGAATTCGCCTTTGGGAATCGATCGTGATAGCGACATCCTGTTCCTAGTGCGTACTTCAAGCAGTGCGTGAAACCTTTCCGAATTTGCTATGCACACACTACGTGGCCGGAAATAGGCGCAATAGTGCTTGTGCCTTTTGTAGTGGGGCACCGGCCACGGAGCCATTATGATAATCACATATTCTGACGCTCGTTGGCCATGGACGCTTTTACCACACATTATTACTGCACTATTTTATGTTGCTTTGTGAAGCATGCATAAAGGACGCGTGTGTTTGTGAAGCATAAAAGCTTTACTTTCACTACAATTCCAAGCAGAGGATATTGTTTTTCGCCGTTCCGCTTGCCTCGCTAACAACCCGGGTTCCATCTCCACTTGAACCCAAACTACCCTGGTTCGGTTCCCACTCTGCTCCAGGATTATTTTACAAATTATTTTCTTTTATTTGCATCGTTCTCATTTTTTCGGTCACGCGTAAGCTGATGATTTTTCGCTCACAACCTACGACACTGACGCCGACGCCGGAATTTCTGTGATACGAGCTCTTTTCGCTATCGCGTTAAAAACCCCATAGCTGTTTGGGTCTCGCGAACGTGCAATGGCCTCGCCGCTATCTTCCTGGGGCCCCAAAACGATTGGGGCCTCTATTCGAAAATTGCCTTGTAACGAAGCGATCGCATGCGATATAAACATCCGTGGCACCACAAAGTTTTCGTTTCACCATGTTCGTGCTCCAACGTGGCTGTTTCAGCGACGTTAGTGCAAGTCATCTGTGCATCGACTTGAGCGTGCTTCTTAGAATACACGAACATTCGCTTATAGGGAATAGGCAGCAGTGGAAAGAATGGCTTGCCGATAGAGCCTACTGGCTCCTTCTGCGCACGCAGCAGTGGACTTCAGGAATGGCTAGGGCACCCAACCATATCGCGTCTTTATTTATGTTCAGTAAGGAGACAGCTTCGAAGCTAAACACACACACACACACACACACACACACACACACACACACACACACACACACACACACACACACACACACACACACACACACACCGTACCCTCTACAACGCATATCCGTTACAGAAAAGCGCGTTGGTTCCTGTTTCCGATCACCAAGCCGGGACAAAGCTTTCTAATAATAATATCTGGGTTTAACGTCCCAAAACTACGATGTGGTCAGACAAAATTTTTCACTGGGAAGATTTGCTTATGAGGAATCCTTGTGGGATTTCTCTGTAGCTTCCTTGAACGATTGGAGACCTTGCTATCCAGCCCTGCCCTACCGACTCAGCTTGCACTGACGGACAGGGGCCAAGAGCTGCTGGACACATACGGTTCCCGCAACCGCCCCGTCTGGTGCCTGCGCGCACTACCAACAGTGTTGGGCCCAATAAAAGTTGATTCATCATCATCCTAATAGTTTCAGCTGAATGAACATTTCACCATTTATGACAATGGCAGGGTCAGTTACTTCGCGATTCTTCGCCGAATTTGTACTGATGACAATAATAACTTTAAGAAAAAGCTCTCTCTTGGCGTCGCACAAAAATGTATAATTTACGGGCAATTCGACATGTGTGGTTCTTGTTTGGGTGTTAACATGCGTTACATGTGTTAGCGCCACCAGTTCCCATGCATAGTGAACTAAAGTTTAGCAACGCAAACTTATATACAGCGGATGTAGAGGCAGGACTCACATTTCCGCAGGAGAAGATGCCGTCGGAACGGAGAGTGCCGATTGCAACGCGCAAGGACAGAAGACGCGCGCTTTTATACCGGTGCTCCGTGCGCGAAGCACACGTCTCTGGATTTTAGGCGCAGACTTATCTCCGCTTGCACGCGCGGCTTAAGTAAGCGTTCCATCCGAAAAGCCAAGAATGAAACTTCGCCCGTTCAGTGCAGCGGTTCGTGCATTGTCACTTGACCGTGCCAGAAATACTCCCTTGTTTGCTGTGGCAGCCAGGAAAGGGATTATGGTTCGGCCCGTTGAGGCAAGCTTCTAAGAACCTCGGTTATTGACAGTGAGAATAGACGATGCGCAGAAGTTTCGTCGGAGCGCTATTTTGAGGCTTACCAAACACACTGCACAATGCGGCGGCTCGACGGCGATTCGGGATTTTCTTTTGACTTTTGTGGCGCTAAGCGGACACACTATAAAGAAACGCCTGGTCTCGGCACCACGAACTTGCAAGAAGATTGCACTACCTATAGGTTCCGATTCGCACTTGTTGCGCTTACAATGTTTGATGTATTAACTGTCTTCCGAGGCAAAAATAGTTATCGCAAGATTACTGTTTTTATGCGCTGTGTTGACTCGCTGAGTGTGATCATCTGCTTCCGAGATCTATGGCGTGGGTTCGATTCTCGGTCGTGTCGGCACAATTCGTGCGGGGAGAGTATGCAAGATCTCTTACTAATGCGTTCCGAGTGTACGTGCATTAATTAACTTGAGATGGCCGCTATATATAAAAGAACCTTGGTACTATGATGTTTCCAATAGTCCCTGGTTATTGAAATGGTTTAACCTAACAGTGTAACAAAACCGTTGGTACGTTTGCTTTAAATGACTAGTACGGTAGTTGGTGACTCGCTACCCTACCAGCAGCGGACGAATACGGTTTTTTTTCCCCTCTTCAGACACGCCCCCGTTGCAGCGCGGTGAATTTTGACGCGGCGCCGCGCCCTTTTCTTTATAGAGAGAGTGGGTGAGCAGCTTCCTGTAGTTACGTGCCCTCTCTGTGCTGCGCCGTGCTCCCTACGGGCTGTTACACGCGCTTCCCGCACAGCCGCAACGCACGTGCCGGGACCCTTACCCCACGCAAGCGAAGGACAAATGAGCCAATTGGCGACGCTGCGGAGGGTGAAAGAGCGTCGCCGATTGGCTTATTTGTCCCCCGCTTCCGGGGGGTAGGGGTCCCGGCACGTGCGTTGCGGCTGTGCGGGAAGCGCGTGTAACGGCCCTACCAAGCTGCAGAATTCAGGCGCCCTTCTTCCTCTTCTAACCACAACCACCACCACAGGGCGCGGCGCCGCGTCAGAAAGCCCCGCGCTGACACGTTGCAACGGGTGCGTGTGCGTGTGGTCAGGCCTTTACAGATTTGCTCTTCGCAGCTAGGACGATTTATTTGGTGGCTAGAATCGAGGTTGGACATTACGGCGAATTTTCAATGAAAATAGTTCGTCATATGATAAATTTCTTCGAGGACAATACTTCTTTCAGATCCTAAAAAAAAGTGAAGAACGTCGTCGATGATCTCCGGTTTATAGTTGTTTAGATAGTCAGTTCGTATCTTAGCAAGCGGCGACATATTCGTGGTGCATGAAGGAATCCGCTTTTTTCGGCCCCGTGTTACGCATTACTAAGCAGGCTTTCTCCTGGGTACTTAAAATATGTGGTGAAGCACGCTTTGCAGGCTCTAAAGGACACCGCACGTTGCACGCATGCTCACAAATCAGCGACGTTTCATATAAAGAAGGAAGCCTGGCATGACGGTACGATGTTCGCATTGCAAGTGAAAATCAGTAAACTTCTCATTCGGTTTGCTCTATTTGTCGTCCACCTGTCGGGGTTTTCTTTCTAAGAGGAGCTTTTTCTCAGGCACGCATACCGCGTGGTCAAACACGCTTTTCAGTCAACAATGAATCCGTTAGTACTGTGCTCACAAATCAGAGAAAGTGAATCAGGATCGTTAAGCGAGACGGTGACATTACAAACGAGACCGAAGAATATCTCTCTTCAACGACATGTCTTCTCAACACATATTAGTAATTATATGGACAAGCTCTCGGCTGAATTTCGCCGTCCACGTCAAGGACCACCGTCATTCGCCATATATATATATATATATATATATATATATATATATATATATATATATATATATATATATATATATATATATATATATATATATATATATATATATATATATATATATATATATATATATGAAACGAAAGAAACAAAAATATATTCCAGGACTCCGGCGTGCAGAATCGAGCGCGAGCGTACGACCTCTTGATTATGAGTGCGTGGCGTTAGCCACTGAGCCAGGAAGAAGCACCTCCTTAAACGTTGAAACGGCAAGCTATTTTTATCTACCACTTACCGCTGGCGATTCCCATCTCGGGGAAACTATCATGTTTTCCGCATTACCAGCGAGATGGCGCGATGAGCGCGCGCCTATCTCGCGGTGGGGAGAATCGTACGCCTTGGGCTTTCACCGGAACGATTTTGTTGTAGTTACCGGGCGCACAAAGGTTACTGCACTCGCTGCACAGTCTCCGTTTGCGTAAAGGGCGTGCTCAACAAGTGAGACACTTATTCGCGTTCATCTGTACCTGTAAGTTCGTGTGTCATTTGTGCGTGAACAATGCGGGGAACGTTTTGATCTCTTTTTTTTTTGTTGCTATCGCATTCATTGCTTTGCATTTGCGACAAAGCTGTGACTTTTTATCTACCCACACTTGTGGGTTTCTAAAAAAAAAAAAAATAACGCTTTTCCTGAAGCAGGTGCGTCACACGGTGAAGCACGCTTTACGATCTCCAATGCTCTGATTTTGCGTCGATAACGCAATCGTACGCATGCGCGTACGCGCGCGCGCACACACACACACACACACACACACACACACACACACACACACACACACACACACACACACACACACACACACACACACACAGAGCAAAGAGAGAGAGAGAGAGAGAGAGACAGGCAGGGGATGTATTCAAGTGGAAAGTTGGCAAAGATGGTGTTAATTTATGGTGAAAGACATGAGTTTATAAAAACGAGGGAGGGGTTGAGACAAAAAAAAAAAAAAAGAGACGTGTTTCTCAGCCCGTCCCTCGTGCAATGTCTTGAACCAAGAGAATGTGCGCCCGCCTCCGTGAACTTATGACGTTACAGGCTGCTGCTAATTTACCTCGCTCGATTTGCGTTCAGGTTGCCAGCAGATACATACGCACTCCGCCAGTATTCAATTAAGTGACCACATTCGTTACACCGCATGGCTTCGGGTTCTGTGTCGCGCCTGCCCCATCTGGTAGACTCATGCAGACTGTTCTTAGTGGGCCAAAAACCGGGATAAATATTTCTTTTCCGGATGACATGTTTAGCTGTATTTTTAACGAATGCAACAACAGTCTGCTTGGTTTTAGAATGCGTGGGAAAAGCAGGTTTTTCTTGAAGCTCTGGAAAGTATTGATGCGGTGAGCCTCTTATAATAAGCAGGGAGTCGAACCATAGCCCCGCAACGTTGAAGTCCCATCGAGCCGCTGCAGTCTGCACCAGAACTCTGCCAACTCTTCTTATGGCGTTCTTAAATAAATGCGTGTTACGCGCGTGTATTCGCGTTATTTACATATTTTATACACACTATGTAGCAATAGTTCAGCCCTGTTTGCAGCCACGCTGCATCTAGCCTTTGTAATGCTTCACTTTACAATTTCATCCACAGTTCACTGACAATTGAGCTCGACGTTCATGGCGCGCAAATTGGTCGTATTGAGCGGTCGTGTCTGTTAAGCACTGCTATTGCCGTGGAAGTAGTAGTCACGGTGGCAGGTACTCTTCAGTCTCGAAGGAACGACAAGCAGGAAAACGTAAAGCTTTATTTTGCGAACATTCCTCTACACATTTTCTTATCGGCAACGGGTATAACATGTTTTCACACTCTCTCTTTTACGGCGTGAAGCGCGTATGTCAAGCTCGTGCAGTCTGCCCAGCTCCAGGCACGAGTGAGGGGGTTGTACATGGTGCCGTGGATGAGTCGCACGTAGCAGCCACCTGCGGGCGAAAAGAGCGGACGCGACTGCAAGTTAACTCAGAAAGACGCTGAAGTGAAATAATGGCTAAGTTAAGACTGATAAATTATACTCTAAAAACTCTGCCATCGTTAATTTTACCACCACAGGTTTATTAATGGACGAGAAAATTGAGCTCAGTACTTCATTTTTGAATTTCGCGCCTGAACCTCCGATGATGATATCGCAGATTTCAGTGCGTTAATTTTCTACTTTGGTCAGATTGGCTCCACGAAATTTTCTGAAACTTGGTACGTCACGTTCCCGGCTTCCTCAGAGGGCGATACACTTCATCCTCTACCAAGTAGGAACAACGTCGACGCTAACAGACGCCGTCAAAACATGCGACGTCACGCTGATTGGTGCGGGAACTTCGGTGTTGTCGCCACCCACACCTTCTTTTTGCGCGTTTCTTCACTTACCAGGCGTCTTCCCGCACCTGGCGTGGTATTTTTGGTATCGCGAAAGAGTAACTTACTGATACGAGAAGGACCACTTATCTCTTTTAGAGTCCCTTTAACAAGGCAGCAGAGGCCCTTCCACATAACCGAAGCTCGGATTGTCAGGGTGACTACAAAAAAAAAAATCACGTTTTCGTGCCTCGTCTTTAGCGCAACGTAAAGAGATGAGGAAGGGGAACATAGTGCTTGTAATACCTTCACTTGAACTGGGTCCTTTAAAAATTATTTCGACAGTACATCTGTAGGAAGCACTTTACTCATTCCAAAACATTTCCGAAACATTGATAAAGCTTGTTCAGTGCCCCTCGAACACACTTTCGCTGCCCCTACTAATAACCAGGGATACTGGTTAATTACATTAATTCTCATAAGTTTTCTGAAGCAGATCATCACCTCAAGGACTGTAGTTCATGTTCCCATAAACTGTTCCATTTATATGCCTCTAATAAATAAAGCCTTTCATTTTTCTTTATTAAGTGAGCCTCGGCACCCAGCAAGACAGTCACTATAGCCATCTGTGCATGGATTATGATACTCATGGTCCTATGCTGAAGACCATGAACCATGCATCGCCTATGAGATCAGGTGGTGTGCATTGTACAACAAACAAAATGCAATTATGATACGAATTGTTTGCACTTAAACTGAAGTAATAAGTGCGAACAACTGTCCAAACATATGTAACTCGGTGGGTTGGAAAAGCTTCACGGTATACAGCACAAAACGCCAGAGAGGAAAAATAAGTGCTGTTGCTTCTTTCTTCATCCCATCCTTATGCACAGTAAACCACAGATCACTGTCTGCTTGCACGTGTATGCTCGCAATGGACACTCAAGCTCCAATGCACTGACCAAAATACAAATATATTCTCGAATGTAAATGTTAGACAGAAGTCTGCCTGGCTGGGCAGGTAAACTGAAAAAAAAAAAAACCTAAGTAAAGCATGTAAAAACACAACCATCCTAGAAAAGTGAGACTAACTGAAGGAGAACACCATTACTAGAGTCATGGCATATACAGCGAATGGCTCAAAACATCAACTGTTCCCTTAAAATCCTCCTCCCAGTGTATGCACATGGACCATGCTCCGCGTCATAACGTGAGGTCACCAGGTAAGTGCTCTCAAGACGCCACTTCAACGTTGCCACAGTGCCCCCTGAGGAAGGAACCAAGTCTGCTCTGAAACATAGGATTTTTACATGTTTTACTTTGGTTGGAGATAAAATAGTTCTTCTCAAATATCTTCCTACATGTTGCATCGTCACTACTTAGTGAGCTGTCAGCAAGATGTTCTCGCAACCATTCTAGGCAAAGGGCAAATACAGCAAGCAACAAAGCTTCCCAACTAGTTATTTGAGCACATAAAATGTATCCTGCCAATTTGCAGTTAGAACTTCGCAAATTGCATTACAATTCCTTCAGACTTCTATCGCAGCTGCTGTTTAGGCCCATTATGTTAGCGACAGTTGATAAAGAAACTATCACACTCTAATGCTGCCAGGTCTAATGTCATATGTCTCCTAAAAAATTAAGTATGCAAGAGAGAAAGCCCAAAGATAAACTATAGACAGAAAGAATACAATAGATGTGTATGGAATCAACAAAAAGATGAAAGAGCATTTAGCAAGTTGGCAACCTTTGAACTAGATACAAAAAAATATGTCATGCATAAATGAAATGGGAACTTGCATGATTCAAGGGCTTCTTCCATCTGCTCTGGTGGTACAAACATCTTCCAGTCATGGAGGCCAGGAGGCACAATTCGAAATATGTATTCTGCTGCAATCTTTGCTATTAAATATGATGGGACTGTACGATTGATGGTTGTGAAGAAGAGGGAACCACCATCCTGCCGTAAAGATAAACTACAATCATTTCTAGGTTTTTAAAGGTTTGCATGGCCCCCAAAGAAATTTATTCAGCGCTTTGATATTAGCTAAATATTCTATTTTATCATATGAAACCGATGCTATATTTTTTTTTTACCCAGAACATCACAGTTATGCTAAATTGGTAAAAATGTTTAACTTTGTTTGCTAATGTGCGCAACAGCACTACATATGGTAAAAAATAACAGTTATGCATAATACTAAATCAATAAAAATGTTTAACTTTGTTTGCTAATGTGCACAACAGCACTATATATGATGCAAGCAAGCAAAACACATTCTTTGTTAAAACTTATGAATAGTATCTTTAGCTTGACTATGGTAGTTGTCTACCAAGCATTCCGATATAACACACAAAAGCCAAATTAATGGGCACATATATGATAAGGAATACATATAATTTTAACAAAAGAACTGCCAGGCCTGCACGGAACGCGCAGCACCGTCACAGCGAAAGCTGGAAGAGCGGCTTTTCAGAGTCTTTCTTTAACACAACACACTTTGGGTAGCTGCTGTATTGACACTTGCGGGGTATCCACTACGCCATAAATAATTGTGCAGTAGGCAGGCATTCACTATGCCATCCTTCGTCATTCTTTGGAGGAGCGTGGTACCTGCTGCGCACTTGCAAGAAACTTTGTACAATTTTTATTTGTTGTGGCTGACGACGATGAAGAATTATGCCAGAAGCTTTTGTAATCCCCTCCACAGTGGGTATCGGCCACAGTTAATAGGTGAATAAAATGAAGCGTTTGTAAAGGCTTGGAGCAGTCGACAACCCACTCATTGCGCAATTCGCATTGTGTGACACCTGGTTGTTTCTTTGCTATTCTAAAATGCTTTTTCACTCATATTAACGCGATTTCTTTCTCGACATCAAGCCTGCCTCAGGCCAGTTTGCAAAAGAATCTCAATACCGGCATGGTTCAGTGGTATAATAATGAACTGGCACGCAGGGGACCTGGGCTCGAATCTTGCTGTGTCAAATCTCGCTGTGTTTTGATTTGCTAAGCTATTATTTTATTATTTCATGTGATAGTGGTTACGAAAACCGACTGCGGCGATGGACAACTAAGGCGCCACATGCGAGCCACGTTGTGATCTCATAGCAAGTTTTGCTGTAAAAAAAATGTGCAGAAATATGCAGGAATATGAAACCACATCCAGAGGTTAGATGCTGAACACAATTAATGCCCAATATTTTCGAGTAAAATGCCAGGAATAATAAGAGGGTGTACTAGTGAAAAAGCTAGCACATCTGTTACCTTACGGTGAAACAGTATGTGAAAAATTTTCATCTTTCAAGCAATGATCAACAAAGAGAAATAGGATGCCAAACTACAAGTTCAATAATTACACAGATTCACACATTCAGGGCATTGATATGAGTGATGTGGCCAAGAATTCTGGGCTAGAAATGTAGCGGAACTATCATAGAACAAAATATAATGAACATAAATAAAGTACATGGTGTTGGATACCAAGGGCATTCTGTCACATTGTAGTGTCGGTAATGCTCAGTACTACGTTCCTTATTTGGGCTTGTTTTATTTTGCATTGTGTTGGCTGCATTAAACATTATTTTATGAGGGTTGTTGAGTGCATGTAAGCAGAAGGCTGTAGTACTTGTTCAACACATTGGTGGACAAGTCAAACACAATATTTACAATGCTATTTCAAAATGGCAATTGATCTCAAAAAGAAGGGAATCAGCTTTATGCAATTATTTCAAACTGTGGTTGCCATATTGCAGCATGAACATGTACTTCATATGGTGTAAAGCCAAGTGGCCTGAGAATGAATTACACGTGTGCAATTCATTTTATAAAGCTGGAAACATTTGCTACAGTGCTCACTTTGGCTAATTTTCATTTCATTCAAATTTGGTGGCAGATGGCAGTTATCTTACCTCTGTCAACTCGACGCAGGACCTGATGAAGCTCGAGTAATTTTGAACATGTTCAACAACTTCGCTGGCTACAACTGCGTCGTATTTTATGCCACGTTGTAGGAGAGCATCGATTTCAGTCGCTTCATACGAAATGCTGTCTCTAATTTCAGGATCTCTGTCTGCATGTGCCTTGGCAACATCAATGCTTCCAGGTGTGGGATCGATTCCAGTCACTGTAGCACCTAGCCTGGCAAGCGGCTGTGACAGGCAAGAAAGAAAGAAAAAAAATGTGGAGACATTATACTGTGTTCAGATTACAGATTATGGCACTTCGCAGAAAGCACAATAATACCCAGCCTTGACGGATGCCTACACAGAAAAAGGAAGAAATTGTACAAACAAAAATCCAGCATGTGTTCGTGCTATTTCTTTGCACTGTACACACGTTCAAGGCAGGATGTTGACATTCCGTTATACTATGTACCAACAGGTAGACTCGTGAACTCTTAGCTGCTGAGTCACAAACTGAGTATGCAGTACAGACTATCAAGCACCATGTTGTTGTTTAACTTGCATGCCATACACTGTTAGGTGGAGCACCCAGCTAGTATTAAAGCAAATATAACTTCGATTTTTTTTGTTTTTATATTGTGTGTGGAAAAGTTCGGACTTGTGACACGCCAGGTAGATCTTTTGAGTTTCCTGACCTTGGTGTTGAATTTGGACTGCGACGAGAGCTTAATGAGGACTTCAACATTAGACAAATGTTTACATCCCATGGCAAGTACATTAAAAGCTTCAGTTTTTGCGAGTGAATTAAAATACAGGAAAAAACGAAATTTATATTGTCGGCACCTCAGAAAGCAGCCCGCCACCACAGCCAACGTCAAGGATCTTCAGCCCTAGAAGCGGTTTTGTTTTCGACGCAGGGAACGATGTTGCAGCCGAATTTCGGGTTTGCAAGAGACCGTCCCTGATCAAAGGAATGCGTAGCGCGTTCATTCTCGCCAACGCAGAGAATTCGCCTTCCGGATCCCACCACTGATGCACAAGAGCGTCGAATTTACTGCGGTTTTCTTCAAAGACCGTAGATTGGCGTGCCCCTTCGGAGCTTGCTGTTGAAGTACACCTGTGCCTGAAAAAAACAACAACAGGTAAGTGTCAGTATCGCTATCTAGTACAAGCTTTATGTTTGTAAACAAAACGTATCATGTTTGTTTACCTCGCTGGTTCGAAGTTAGTGCTTGAGCGGGCGGACAATATGCTGTCCGAAGTCGGGCCCACATGATGATCGCGAAGCCGACGTAACTACGACACTCGCGTTTTCGCGGCGTGCGGAGAATAAGCGATGTGTATTCCTGGTGTATTCGACACAAGCGAAAAGTTCGACCAAATTGGTCTGTCCAGTGCTGCGGAAAATAACGGAAGTGAAACTAGAGCACACGGATCAGCAGTGTTGCTTGTCGTGAAACCACAAAATGCGTACAATCAACTAACTACGGCGCAGTAGTAAAGCAGTTGCCCATAAAGGTGATGTCGCGTTTATATCTTCTTATGGCTTACTTATTTTGTTTTGAATTATGCGCTATCACAATACTGTGCACGCAAAAAAAATTACTTCTTTTTGTTTATCACTACTAGGTAGCAGTCAGCACCTTACCAATTTTTACCTCTTGTACGTCTAGTACTTTCACGTGATACCTCTAGGCACTCTAGGCGCGTTGTCAAATGATAGTGATAGGCACTGGTGATAGCTAATGATAATGAGCTTGTGACAGCTCCTGCTCTCGTGAGCTTGTTTGATGTGAACGTTTCTGTTGTACCGGCTGTTGACGAACGTAAGTCAAACTTTAGGACACGATGCAGTTGCACGAAGGTGTGGCAACAAACTTTAGTGCACCATCGTGGTCTGTGAGACTTGTGACATGATCCCGCGCGTTTTCTGGCGCTTGCAACTACTGCTGCAATCGCACAATTCGACAATTGATTGTCGCTAGCATTCTCAATTAAGCGCGAATAATTGGGTAATGCTGAGCACAATTATCTCGGTCCTCGTTTGAGCAGTGCACTTCTTGCGCGTTTAGGAACCGACGGCGTTCTCTAAGTTTGTTTGTAGCCATAGGCACGACTGTCACTGCATTCCCCCAGATGGCGGAAGATCGTGAAGTCTTACGAGAGGTTTGGGACGGGCGCCTTCCGGTGTGCTTCAAGCTCGCCGAAGAGGAAGTATACACAATGCAGCAGCCTGAACCTTACTACGTAAGTGCAGTAAATCGTTGCGCAGCGAAACTGAATCTGCAGGTGGCTTGCTGAGTGCCGCATTTGGATTTCTAATCGCAGCTGATGATTTCGAGGATAAGCTACTTTCCCTTAGTGGTTGACAAGGTCCATAAGCACTTCTCCAGGCACGTAGATGAACGATACCATGGAAATGAAATGTGGCTCGAATACAACGGTCAACCTTTGAAATGGTGAGTGCTTAGTGTCGCATGCCGATATTGCAGCGTAGCATGCGCGCATTCACACCAGTGTTTTAGTTATTTTTTTGTTGTTTGTTTTGCAGGCATTTACCAATTGGTGTACTTTATGACTATAATGCTAGTGACACCATTTTACCGTGGGGTATTACAGTCCACTTTCAGGTATATTTATTCTGGTGCCAGCGATACTGTGCTTGAATGTGTTTGAATGAACTGCATTTTGGTTTTGCTTAGGATTTTCCTGAGAAGCAAATACTACATTGTGGGAGTCGAGCCGTGGTTGAATCACACTTCATGTCTGCCATTAAGGAAGCAGACATGCTAAAGCATCGCAGCCAGGTGGTCAGCACAATGCAGAAGAAAGACCACAATCAGCTTTGGGTAGGACTACTTAACTCAAAGTTTGACCAGTTCTGGGCCATCAACAAGAAGTTCATGGAACGCATTGGTGGAGAGTGTTTCAAGCACATACCTTTTCGGCTGTATATGGTAAGCATTTGTAACCTCATCTCTGCTTGTGTGTGCCATCGTTGGTGATGTACTATTTCTTTATGTCTCTTGGAAGGTATTAAAATGAATAAATAAGATATAAGCTTAGTCCATAACTAATTGTTACTTAGTTCTGTGTTGAAAAATTCGTTAACACTGGTTGTGCTGAAGTGCATGTTTCAACAAGTGAGCTTGTCGAAATGTTGGCTCCGGTAGAACGTGTGTTTACGAAACTTTCATCACACGCTTTCATTTTCCTCTGTCTCTGGCTTCATTGCAGTGTAAATTATGGTGGAAGGTAGGAAACTTGTAGCACTGCGCCAGCCAAATGTACACACACACAAAAAATTCAGCAGATCCCATGTACCTTACGAATTGATGTTATCCGAAGCATGTGCATGGAAGGTGACTGTTGTAACATTGAGCAAAAAGGTTACAAAGTGGCACTACAGATATGTACAAATGCATGCTCAGTGATACGTTAAACATATGTAATGTTTATAAAATTCAACAGCCATAACTGCAACCACAACTGACGTTTCTCGAACATTAGGGTGTATGACCTGGCATGGCTCTGTGATAGAATAGTTAATTGCCGTGCGGCATGCTTGGGCTCAATTCCTGCTGGGACGCTGACATTTATTCTTTGCCTTCATCAGGTTAAGGCTGCCAATGTCGACTTTTTCTTAATGTTAACATTAACATTACTCATGTCTGTTCTCGCCGTTCCTGGGTAGATTATATATAAACTGTTAATCACCTGTGGCACATACCCATGGGCGGGTATGTGCCACACATCTGGCAGAAAGTGCTTGGTGACGTACGCGACGGAATTACGACATTATGCATGACCAGCGAGTCACAGTCATCAGACCATCTTACCCTGCCATACTCATTTTGGTTTACCCCCAGTTAGAAGGGTGGGCACCAGAGCACCCTGAGGTAGGCGGCAAGACAGACAAAAGGGCAGGCTATCTAGATAGATAGATGCTCAAAAATGTTCACAAAGCTAATGCTTTGCATTAAACATAGCATGCATACTGACCACGATGTGCTTTGTTTCTATTTCATTAGCCGGATGGCAGTCTTATCCAAAGGCTAGTCACGCCACTGACACCTTCTGGGGACAAAGCAACCCTAGAGACCTTACTACAGCAAGTGGCCCCTCAGGTTCTCGTAGAAGGTCAGTACCTTCATTGGGTGTTTATTAGTGGTTAATTTTTGCTGAATAATGATATCTAATCTTGCACGGCATAGCAGTGAATTGGAAGCGCTCATAGCAAAGAGTAACTTCAGCAAATAATATCGCTTTATTTCACTTCATTAAAAGCATGTGACGACATGTAATATTAACAGTTTAACTCTTCAGTGCATCTTGTGCCCAAAATGTAGACTCTCTGCTATAGCATTATAAAAGTGAATTGGATAAGAAAAACTAGTCAACTGATTGATACACTGAATCTGGCATTTAGCCACATGAGGAATTTGCCTGTTGTAAATTGTTAATGTTAAAATAGACAGAAAAAAAATTACATGACTACTACCTTGTGCATACTCTTTCTTCATTGTACATTGCAACAGGTGTTCAGTCCAAAGTGTCCTAAGACGAGTCTCCAAATATTCACGTTTTCGACTATCAAACTGATCAAATATGCGTGTATTGCTAAAGAGCTCCCAGAATAGAAGTAACAGTAAGAGCTCGTTAATTTGAGCTCGGTTCATTTGAACTTACAGTTTTCGAACTGATGCCCTGGCCCTGGTGCGGGCCAGTGTATTTCTACTGAGGGAAACTCCTGATAATTCGAACGCGTCAGTATTCACAACGGTTAATTTAAACTGGGATTCCCCGGTTTTCATCGCTTGTCGCAGAAGTCTGCCTTGAGTGATCACAATATGTTGCAGAACTAAGCCAAGGTAAATTTACTAGGGATGCAATGCAGCAGCATTGCTCAGCAGGTGAGGATTCAGAAGCTGTGCCGAAGCTCTTGAACATGACGCAAACAATGCTTATGGAGTCGCTACAGAAGAAACACATGCTAATGCAAATTACTGATTGATCTTAATTTGGCTTGAATTATCTCTGCCATGTAAACGAACGTGTTTTGGAGCATAAATAGCGTCATATATTTTGACAATTAAGGTTCACTGCTCACACGAGTGCATAGGTTCTTTTTTCTGGTGTATCACTGAATGGTCAATTGATTCCTGTTTGCTGTTACAGCTCCATGAACCTAATTTAAAATACTACCTGCCCTAAACATGTAGTAGGGCCTCATTTGCGATAACAAATAAGAAGTGGCTTCTACGCATTCTGCCTGTGCAGTGGAATAGATTTTCTATTCATTCTAGTGGCTGTCCACTAATTTGAACTATGCTTAATCCGAACAATTTCATTTCTGTGAATAAATAAATAAATTAGTCATCCTTGAGTTCAAATTGACGAGCTTGTACTCTATAGCTTCTGTTGCTTTTGTAAAGTAAATTGGTGAAGCTACATTGGACTGCATTAATGAAACTATAGGTGGCAGCACATTGAAGATACTTCTGGTAATTCACTCATTATAAATTATGCTGCAGAATAAACTTGGTGGGTGCTTAAGTTTTACCTTCAACTGTAGAACGTAATAGCATATTCGGGCCTCATTTGCATCACCTTCTCAAATGCTGCCCTGGCTGTGCTTCTCGATGAACACTTCAGCCGTGCCACAAAGAAAAGAACATTTGTGCCCATAACATTGGCCGTTTCAGCCTATCTTAGAATGCTCACTGCAACTACAGTTGCGGAGTGCCCAATGCACGATATAGAAAAGTACCAACTATGCATCCGTAAGGCAACACGAGCACTTGCGCAGCTGCACACATTGTTGTTGTGCCGTTGCTAATGTCGATCAATTATGCCTGTGTGCTTTGTGATTGTTGAGCCTTTAGCCAACCACTCATTGCATGTTTCACGCCTGGTGTTTCAACGCCTGGTGCGATTTTACGCTGTTGCCACACAATATTACGTGCAATTCGTAATTTCTCTGATGCAGTTTTAAGCACTGATAGGGCTTTGTGATCAAACCCCAGGTGATCGAACCCCAGGTGATCAAAATTTCCAGAGCCGTCCACTACGGTGTCTCTCACGATTATATGGTGGTTTTGAGACATTAAACCCCAGATATCAATCGATGGAGCTCTGTGGTAAAATATTTGCTTGCGACGTGAAGTCTTGGTTTAGATTCCCACTCGAACTGGAGGTTTTTATTATTTATTTGTTTACATCCACCTTGAATTTTTGCTCACAGACAATGCTGATTTTTCACTCACAACTAACGATGCCAATGCCGACGCTGGAATTTCTGCAAAACGAGCTCGGTAACAAGGCATCTGAAAGCGAGAAAGACTCTCTCTCTCTGGGAAGTACGGTGGCAGCATGCAATGTAAAGCTCGCATAAAGTCTTTTTTTTTTTCGTTTTCTTCAAGGAGTTAGACATTGTTTAGGTAACATTCTTCACGTTTGTCTTTGGTGTCTGTTTGTAGAATGTAAAAATACAACATATGCTGTATAAGAGTGCTGTGGAACGAAGCACAGTGAAAAAGAAACCACTTGTGTCATGTGTGCGTGCAAGAGATAAGGCTTAAATGAAGCATGAAGTTATTATGCGTGCTGGGCATTCCTCGGTGATTATAGTAAAACACCGCTAATTGCTGAGAACGCTGCATAACTATGCTCTGACCTGAAGTATGCAACAACCGCAAAATGCAAATTTCCACCTACTGACACGGGCCGACTTTAAAGAAACAAATACAGTAAATTAGTGGATGAGACTCGCTTACTCTTGAAGGCAGAGCTCAAGCGTCCTCCAACTTTTTCCAAATACTTTTTGTCTGTGTTTTTTGTCTGTGTTTTGTCTTTTTTGCACACGCATGCTCTGCATAGGTGAATTGGTAGGTTTTGTGACTTCTTCAGGTGGAGCCAAACACACCATCATCACGCACGGGATCCAGGTCCCTCTGGACACACCACTTCAGTGGATGAGTGAACACCTCAGTTACCCAGACAACTTTCTTCACTTGTGCGTCATGCTGTGCTCATAGTGAAAGCTTCGAGTGCACATAGTGATATTTCTCAAACTGTTCGGCTAGTCGGGGCGCTGGGGTAGGGGCGATTTATCGTGTGTGTGCATAAGGGGTTTATAACAGCTAATAGGCACCTTGTGTGAATTATTTTACTTGAATGCCTTGTTCTTTCCTCTAGACTGTGCAAACATTTTGTATGCATATAGTGCATCCTATCTGGTATAATTATGAGTTGGGCTGTTCAAAATATATAATTCTTATTGGTCAAGGTACATGCTTTTCTTGTGAGCGTTACAGGAATTTTCTTGTATTAGCAAGTTTGTCAGTTTGCTCAGAGCACACCAGAAGTTCTACAATGGGTGTATTAGGTACTAACAAAGGTTTATTCGAGCTCTTAATTTAGTTCAATGAGGCACACTCTTGTTGGGCTCTCATTCCCAAGTGCATATGCTTAAAATATTGCTTGATTCCTATCATACTCAGCCTTGTAGTGCCACCGAAGCATATTGAAACTAGTTAATAGTGTCGTTGTGCTTGTTGAAAGTCATTCATTGATCATGTAAGGCACTGCCACTAATGAAAGTAGGTGTGTCCTAACTTGATTTTGGTGAAATTTAGTCATGTCACTCATGTGCGTTATCACCGTGGTGTGATTTTGTCAAAAATGAGTTGTCTCCAACTTTCTTGTTGTTACGCTATGAGGTTGATGTCCCCCCACTGTGGCATGCCTCATGATCCTATCTTGGCTGTTGCACCTGTTTTGTGTGTGCGCTGTTAGGCCTACTTACTTTTACAGTGCAATGTCCCCAGCTATACCTGGTCAATTCTGTGCAGCTTTTGACAACCTCACTATTACAGGAATATGTTAGAGCACTATTCATACTCTTAAAGCATAGCTTAATTTTCTTTAAAGTGGTGTCTGCAGAATGTTGCAGTACAAGCTTGCAAGCATTCACTGCTAGAGGCAATAATATTTGGCTTCAAGGTAGTTATTGGATAGATATGCACAGCACAAGAATGCAGCTCTATTCATCATTGTTTTTGCAATGGCGCAAGAAATACTGTGCCATATGTAGTGCGTCGAAATACTCAGTTTACAGTGCTGAATGTGAAGCTTTTAGTGACCATCTAACAGCAAGGCTTGCGTTGATAACCTTTGACAAGTGCAATGGAACATCCTGCATGGAGTATGGACCCACACATAAATGAAGGGCAATTTTGGGGCCGCACAGATTTAATAGATTTATCCGCACATACCAAATAACTAATCTCATTTTAAATGCTTTGTTAAATTTTTGACCAATATAAAACGAGAAGTAAATTTGACGTGCCAACAGCCTGAACAAAGCCACATTCTATGTGGAATTTACGGTAAGGGCAGTGTTCAAGCACACACGTTTTTATTCATATGTGACCTTGTTTGTGTCTTTCTTCTGCTAGCTATGAAAAGTGACTGTTTAGTATGAACTATTATTTTAGATCATTACAAAAGTATGCAAGATAATTGATACAGTTATGGCCATATGGCAGTTTAATGATTTAATTAGAAATTCGTTTTAAGGAAGTTTTGTGTCACTTGTGCATACTTTTCCATAATTGTAATGTGTTCAGTTTCAAGATGACTACAATGTGTGTGTGTTTGTGTATACATGACTTTTAATAATTTATTAACATTGAAGAATTAGAAAAGAAAGGTTGTTCACAGTGCACATTGTGGTTGTAAAAATAATAAAAACAAAAAGGCTTGCACATTGGTATGAGCCAAATGAAGTGTTTCAACAGCAACTTCTCTGTTCTTTGCAGCTTAGCTGAGCTTTTCCATTAGCATTAGCTTTGTGAGTGCATACAAAGTCAGAAAGGTTGCTTCGAATCGCTTTCTAGCATGCAGTTATTGTTCAAAAGCTACAAGCAGGCAGCAAAGGCCAATTACGTGGTACTGTAATCACGATGAAGCGACGATGTTCCGCGCTTACAAAGGCCACAAAGTGGCTAATTGCACCAAAGAAGACTGGCTTCCTATTGTGTATACCAAATGCATATTTCTAAACTTTCCTACATTCCTTATAGAATGCATTAAATTACGTGTACTGCATTTTCACTACGTATGTTTGACTGGTAGACTTTTCCTAACATTCGTAAAGTAGCAGTAAATTAAATTACCAATACTAATTGAAATATATTTTACAATGCAATTAGTATGCAGCAGGTGCATAACAAGATGGATCAGCTGTAGAGAGGGTATTCACATTCAGGCAAATCTGAACACACCACGTCTATTTCCCATAAAGCTTACATGATTGTCATGGCTGTCTTAATAATAACAACACAAGTGTGTGCATGCTATACAACCTATTTTTTTAAAAGAATGCTGAAAAAAGAAATTGAAGCAGTCATGTGATACATTTGTGTTTGCATGTAAAGAAAAATAGTTTATCTGTGTTCTGTAAGATTGTGCCGGACCTCTAACCTTACAGTAAGTTGCTAAACTCTCGATTTAACCTCTCTTCATTCATTGTTTTGTGAACATATTGCTAAAAGTTAAAGCAGTTCACACTTTGCTGGCTATTCACTGTTCACTGCTCACAAGCACACACTTGAACAAGTCTTAAATATTTCAGCAGGTTATAGTCTATATTGTGGTGTTGCAAAAGTGTCTGTATTATCAAAATTTGGCTAACAGTTTCAGCAGATGATTTTAGAGACCTGGCAGAAAAATTGCGAGTGTGACTTTATTGTCACTAAGCTTAGCGATACCATAATTTTTTTTTTTTGCATAAAAAGAATCGTCAAGACTGCAGATGAAGAAATGCTACACTGCTATGTGTATGGCTATTTAGTAGTTAATGCTACACATGAATGTTTATAAGTCCGAACTTTGAATTGATCTTTATACATGCTATGGTGTTATATAAACATGAAGCCATGGTTTTATTCTTGGGAATGACAGTTGTATATTAATTGAGATGAAATATAAAACCGCTCGGGTAGTGTACATTGCATGGCAAGTGTATTTTGCATGGTGTGGCTGCACAACTTTAAAAACAGTGTGACAACACAAAATACGTTGATTTACTTTCTTTTACTTTTCCTATTTTTTAAAACTTTCCTGCTTCCTTTCAGACACTGCTCATCTAAACAGTTTATTCTATTCCCTCTTTCACCCTTTCCAAATCACCAATGGAAACTGCCATTCAATATACTTATCAGGCAGTGGGAAAATACTGACAATAAATCCTTGCATTAGCATATTGATGCAAGCTCTAACATGTAAACTCATGTAAAATTACCAATACTGTTATCACAACAAGGTAGACCTCAACTTGGGCAAGTTTATTCATTGTAATGAGGGAAAAAAAAAATGAGGCTTAACAGTCAAATAATCACATAGGGCAGGCAGTGAACAACCAGGAGTTCATTGGATGCATGCATGCGCCAAGTATAAAAAAAAAAAGCCTTACCTGCGTGCATAGCCCAACATTTAATATGTGTAGACTAAGTAATATGCAGGTTCACTTATTGTACAAAATGACATTATTGACAGAAATAAGTTGGTAGTCACTGTTTTTTTCGGTATGCAGTGGTCTTCTATCGTCTTTAATACTAATTTTTGTTTGTGCATATACAGCAATAACTCGATTTGAGAAGTCGGTGCTTGTTCCTTGCAATTATTTCCCACTTTATTGCTTCACCTATCGGATACCAGTCGTGGTGATGACACAACCATATTTGTGATGACCCAGTATTTATTTCTTGGTAAAATGTATTTCACTACTACTTGGTTTAGCAGCTAGATTTCACTGCTTTCAGAGTCAGCTAATTTTAGTCTGTTCATTTTAAATCTCATGTTTCGCAAAAAGTTCAGTTTGCAAGAATTACTTGCTTTCATAATAAAAGCATTTTGCTTTAGCACGTAACAAGTTTCTACAATGGCAAGTATAACAATAACACATATCGCTGCACAAATTGTGCCTTCAATATTAAGAGAATATCTTTAAAAGGCATATGCGGTGCTTCTTTTTAAGGCAACTTTGCAAATTGTAAAGGCATTTCAATAATGAAGACAGGTGGTACAAGAAATATTCTTCTGCAATCTTTTGGATTATCAGCACATAACTTCTCTGCTGCTATAATACAACAGCACTTTTCCCCCTCTATCACGTACTTGTGGGTGCCATTTGCGATATCGATGCAGAAGCAACTAAACCTGGCAACAGAGACCTGTAATAAGCTACTCCATAGAGTCATGTCTACTGTAGCTGCAGTGTAACAGTTGCATATAAACTGGCTGGGACATACACTGTAGAGAGCACACACGCAGTTTGCTGGAAGTGCACATATTGTATCTGGTAAATCCGGAAAAGGTTCATGAATGCTAGGCATTCACACCTGCTCCAACAAAAGTGAAAGATGTCCTTTAGGCAGATGATGATGTTATTCCTTATGCTCATCAACTGGTGCTTTGAAAAATCTTGAAAGTGCACTTAATATTTCCAAGCTTGTGACTTCTACAATGCACTTGTGGTAACAATTTGCTTTTATGAAAGCAACTTAAGCATTGCGTCGTCATGATAAGTCACTGCAACTGTTGTTATCTCTGCCTCTTCTAATTTGTGCAATGGCTTGTCAGGGGAACAAAAGGCAAGCACCGGACACAGATAGACGACGCCATACAGTGTGGGTCAGTACAGTTACAGATGCGTCAGTGTCAATGCAGAAACTAAGTCACTCTCTCAAAGCTTGCACAATATTCCGCAGGGCAGTGGTTGCTTCGGAAGGAGGGATTTGGTTGAGAACGGTAAGCGCTCTTGACGTGTAGGATTCCAGAAGTGCCTTTGTTTTCTCGATGCCGTCTCCATTCACAATAGCGTTGTGAACCTATGAAACACAAGGACACACCAACTTTTTAGACATAATGTTACTACATATTGTTCACTTTTAAGTTTGTAGCTGAAGTTACTGTAAAATTGTTTGCACAATGTGTCCTGAAGTTCGTTGTGTGAGTATTCTTAGTGTCTTTAATGAAAGCAGTAATATTGTGCTAGGTACTGCAAGTTATTTAGCGTTCCTTAAAGTGACAGATTTGTAGCACTGCAGAGGTGAGCACTGTACCATGCAACTCTTTTTTCAATTCCATATCTCGAGCATAGTTTGAGCTTCTCTCAAGCATCGGCATAGCCAGTGGGGTTGTTTCAGGGGCTTTCAACTGTCCTCTCCCACCCATGAAATATATTTCTGGCTACACCCTTGCCCTCAAGCAATCCACATTGGAAAACCTTCCTGGGAGATGAATAATTGCCCCTCTGCTATTTTGTACGCGCTCGCTTGACTTAAACCGTTGTCACTCAAGTGCACCCTTGAGGCAAGTGCTGATTTTGCAATGCTCTCACTTTTATTTTTGCCATTCCTCATCAGGGCGTGCCATGCTTTTCTTTCTTTTCTTTCTGTGGCAAACCATGTACAACATGGTTTGCCACAACTTCATGCTGTCTTCACAAACCTGCGTTGTATATGATTGATGTCTAGACAAGAATTGTATCATGCCCGATTTGGTGTCGACATCAGCACCATCGTTTCCTTGCTTTCCCTATTAGCCCAGGTGCATAACTGCTGTGTTGCACAACGTCAGGGCTACGACACAGTGCTTCTAACTGTAACACAGGCTGACTGAATCATGTAATTGGCCACCCAGTTCTCCACCCAAAAACTGCTTGGCACTGTAGTTTGAGTATTTTTCTGACAGAGGGCAATAACTAATTTCACAGCAGTAGAACATCTTTTGATGAACTGGAATACTCAGCGTGGGAAATTACAGTACCTTCAGGTAGTCCAGCTTCTCAACATTGTCCCTGTGGCTGCGAATCTCTTCAAGAAGGCTTGGGTCAGATTCCAGGTGCAAAACAACTGGTGCAGACGTCAGTACAAATGGCATGCCAGGAGGATGCCTGTACGTGTCGACAAATGGTTGCAGGTCGGAATGAACCTGCATAAATAAAGTTTCAGTCCATCAATGTCCAGAAGCTGCCCAGCTACATGCATGGAAAGCATAAATTTGTGCACGGAATATGAAGAGTGCTATAGTGGAGGCCCTGGATTTTCGTGGCTGAAATCTTGCTACACAGTAGACAAGTGAAACACAGGCCTAGCTGGTATATGTTTAACCGTGACTGTTTCATTGGAGTATAATTAAGCTCTTCTGACTGAAAACTTGACCAGTCAGATGGGCGAAATGCTATAGGCACTCAGTCACAGCAGCAGTTTCAAGCACATGCACCAGTGCTAGCAAGCTCTTAATAGAGGAACATTTGTCACTACCCGATTGCCTTTTGCTACCTTTCTTTCCGTAGTATATCTGTAGGTGGCTCTTAGTTGCAGCATGCAAAGCTGCTTCAAAAGACATGTGGTTTCCCCTGCAGAGAAGTGTTTTGGAGAAAGGGGCTCAAACATCTTCGTTCAGCTTTTCATATTGGCAGCGCTGATTATTTCATTTTGGAGTGTGTGTCTGCTAAACAAGGGCACTAATGCATCGAATTTGTTGATAGTGGCAGTACTTGAACAGTGTGCTACAAAGTTACATACGAGGGTCACTTAGACACTACACCATATAGGATGTAAATTTTATGCTTGAAAATTTTCATAAAGGAATGCGAGAATGTACCAAGGTGCCTCTGGGAATACTCGGAGATCCCAAGTTTTTTATGGCATTTCATGCGGTAGCACGCTACACTAAAGGCTTTTAGGGGCAAAGCTCCTTAGGCCGCGAGTCGTTGCCTCTTCCGTAGTAGTAGTATGTAGCCACATCTAGTTTTGAGTTGCTCAATGGATGTTGTGTGTATATCTCGGGAATAATATAACTAGATGGCATTAGTCATTTTCACAGCATATTCATGGAGTAAATGATTATTAGTGGGGCAAAGCGTCCCTCCGTCGGTCTGTCTGTCCATTCGTGCTTCCGTCTGTCCTTCTATTCGTGGGTTGTCTGTGCATCTGTCGGCCTGTCCGTGCTTCCGTTTGTGGTTCCATCACTCCGTCTGTACACCCGGACGGACAAATGCTTCACGCCACTAATCGTCATTCACTCCGTGGATATGCTGTGATCTTAACTGAAGCTGACCTGACTTATGAAAGCAAGTTCAGGTCTCCTTAGCTAAGTGTCGTTGATATATGTGTTGTTGCTCATCTGGTGCCACTTCAGGGGCACACGAAGATGTGGACACTACAGAGCTTGGTGATGCATCAAAGCTTGCAGCTATGTGCTATTGTGGAAATATCTAGCTTGCATTACGTTAATGACTGCTGTTCCTTTCAATATTTCAGTACAGACCACACTTTGTTGCTTATTTCACACAGTTGGATATCGCATGCAAAATGCTTCAAGTAAGGCAGAACAAAACAGTACAGTGAAATTTTTCATTATCATTGACATTCTTGAGGCACATATAACACAACGACGAAGACTTTGTAAAATAAGCTGTTGCGAGAAAAGGAAAGCTTGCATGAGATAGAATACAACTACTGTTGTACAAACTTGTACACCTTAAACACTTTTTGAGCATGGTCAGAAAACGCTGCCGATCGGTAGTCGAGGCTTCCGAGAACTTGCAAGCCAAATTTTATATCACAGCACGTGGCCCGAGTATTCGAAGGAAAAAAAAAAAGAGAGAAAATGTGCTCAAGGTCATTAGGCATGCGCGACGTTTTTCTTTACTCGGGCCATCTCTCCCCGACTAGCTTCCAGTGCTCAGACAAAGGAAGAGAGAATGCAAATGCAGCGTGCGACAATTCTTTGTAACTCCACTCGTACTGGACGAATTCTAAAAATTTTTGTGGCAGTAAATTCATGAAGCAATGAGCTCCTTTATTGAATCCATTCCATGGTTACTGGGAAAAAGTGTTGCAAGGCCCCTTTAAGAGACACACTGCACGCACAAAAGGTGGCAGTACAAGCTCAGTGGCACTGTCTGTACATATCCCCGACTTGGCATGATTTTTTTTACATGCGGAGTAGGCAGCATGTACTTATATTTTAGTGCACTAGTTCCAAAACTTGTAATGCTCACTATTTATACACTATTACAAGCATTACTGATGCAGCACCAGTTGGTGAAACTGTATGAAATACATGAACGTGGAAATTCGAAGTTACTATAGAGTGAATTTAACTGCGCCTCGTCCATTTGCAAACTAACCGACAAAAGATTAACGCTGTTCGCCATGACAGCTGCTACTGTCATCTGGCGGGGGTTGCAAAACTGGGCACCAACATCCTTCGAGCCACAACAGCTCTTGCGTCCAATCCAAGTCACAGAAGTGCTCCCCCCTCCCCTGTTGTGATGCAACATAAATTTGCACCCCTCAAGACAATATCCTGTTGAAGACTACGGCGCTTGTGATCAAAACGGTGCCAACCTGCCACGCAAGTCCGATGCTCTTGCCAAACTCGAAGCCAAGCTCTTGGAAGTCCTGTTCATGGCTTGCAAGTTCTAATGTGGCCTGGCAGCTGTTCGACATGAGTGAACCCGTGGAGAGGTAGTTCTTTTCCTCCCACTGGGCAATGCTCATGCTGGAGCTAGGAATAGGACTGCCTTGCAGATCGTGGTCTCCCAGAAACTCTGACTGCATGAAGTCGCCTATGGCTGTGGCCACCAAGTCCACCACCTGTGCAAACCAATCACAGTGACAAAATGGTAACCCTGTTTTGCATATTTGATATTGTTTCCAATAATACCAAGCTTCATTAACAAAGGGGTGGTTAAAGAAAATAGTGTCACTAAATGCCAACACTGACTAAGGATAGACTTGAGGAATGCGGTCATAAGATTTTTTAATGAAAAGTGAAGCTAAGCAAACGATAATAATTTTTCTATATTGAAATCGTTCTATAGCACTATTGATATCTATGCATGAAATTTCAGACCTTGTCGTACAATTTCTATTCTTGGTATGCAGTCGTGTTGTTAAGGTTGCCAACTTGCATTCTTATTTTCAAAGGATATGTAGTGTTGCACAAGGTATGGGGTAATGTCAGCATCAGTTGCATATCGTCGAAAACGGCCAAAGAAGGAATTCAAAGCTCGCAGTGTTTCATGCTTAATTCCTTACGAGTTTATGCCAACTACTGGTCTAATGAATCACCTTTCTGGTGCTTTAAAGCACATTTTGTCAGTTTAGATCACTATTGAGCATTTAGTCTATCTCAAGTGGTGCTGTATTGGGAATTAGTCAAGTTTATGGGGGTAGTTTATATCATAAGCAAGCTTGTAAAATGGAAAGATGTTGAAGCATGCCATCATTGAAATAGTCTCCCGAGCTTAGGCAGAGTCTGGCTTAGTGGACACAATGAAACTTTCTTAAAATCTGAGCTTCAATTCTGCTGCAATCAAGTAGAACTTGTAAGATATTGATTCCTTGTGTCAAGCATCCAAAGGCAGCTCCGGTGTTTAAAAACGGTGCCATAGCTGAGGATCCAAGATTGATTTACATGACTTGGGGATGTTTTATGCATATATACACCAGAATGCCTTAATATTTTCACATTTTGTTTCGTCAGAATGACTGCAATAGTGTTCCACTTCTATCAACCTGGAATGAAAACCTTGGGCTTGGCAGCGCTACACCATACAGAGGTACATAATGGGTTAAGATGCAAGAAATGATGTGAAACTAAACATTTAGCTAACAATTTGGCAGCATACCTTGCAGTTCTTCAGATCGGTCAGGGATTTGCTGGCATTGGCAATAAGGTAGTCCCCCGTCAAGACGGATATCTTGTTGCCAAATTGCAAGTCCTTGAGCGTTGTGGCATCGGGGAAAAGTTCATTTGACAAATTCAGCACACCTCGGTGAATCAGATGCGCTGTGTGGATCATTTCAGTGATTTCGGCCAGCGACCTTTGGCGTTGTGTGATGCCTGCCACACGCTCTTCCTCGAGACAGTCCTGCCGCGTACTTGGGTGTCCAGCTGCCTTTGACAGCAGCAGCACAATAAGGCCTCTTGTCTGAATATTGGTGCGTCCATTGTATATCAGTCGCCTGCAAACAGAAAGTCATTCATGTGAAAAGTGAACATGGTCAACATAGCATCATTATTTAATTTTGAAGAAGCATTGTGCTGAGACCGAAACTCACAGTGGTAAATTGAATGGGTCTAGCTTGTGAGCTTTTACTCTGCATGGCTAGATCGGCACCTGGGCCAACTTTATAAAATTAGAGGCTTGTGGGACGCGTAGAAAGTTTATTCCTGTGGGCATACTGCAGGCTAATGTATGTTTATTTAGTAATAACCCCAATCAGGTCAAAGGGAAATTGGGCTGTAAAGATAGCTACCAATCTTCGCATTTTCACTTTTTTTTTTGTTCGTGACTTGGTTAACAGGGGCCTACAGTAGTCACGCTAATGGTAAGCAATCTGGTCTGCAAGATTTTGGCATCAACACTGACAGGTGGGAGGAGTGCAGGGGTAACAAACTTGACTGTGAAAACGTTAGGCGTTATGATTTAGCTAAATTAACGTGATTATCACATCAGACGGCATGTTCCCATCTGTTTCCCGACCAGGGATGAGGAACCGAAAGCTCGGCAATCCGCAAAATAATAATAAAATAAATAAAGAAAAATTTTTAGAAACGTGCTTGTCCGCATTGAGTGTGGCCGAAACGCGTCTATATATATAGTATATGACCACGCTCTTTCATTTCAACCTCCCGCGCATTATTCGCTGCGCGGAATTTTAAGTATACGCATGGCGGGAAAGTAATAATAAATAATCGGCGTAAAAAAACTTTGTAACACTCGGCAGTGAATGTTTCCTTTCGATTACAGTAGGCGAAATTAGAAAAGAGCCGCGTGCAAACGCATATGCGAGCAGTTGCCATGGTGACGCTACCCCAGCGACGCGTTACACCGCTTCTGTGACCGCTTCAAGTTCATGGTTTCCTCGCCAGTCTAGACGGCAGAGGCGGCCTGAATGGAGGGCAACTGGCGCCTCCTCTCCGAATCTCGAGCAACACGCGACTTACATGCGCGTTCAAAGCCACTGGGTCATCCGGTCAAGGAAGTTCGTTCGCACGGTTTCCAGGGCGAATTCCCGACCACGTACGAAAACGGTGCTTCTAAACAATTCTCCCCCCCCCCCCCCCCTTCGCCTATTTTTCACTGCACTGTCCCGTTTACTTCGTCGCTTTCAATTGGGTTCATCACATTAGCTGTAGTACGCGCACATTTATAAACACGGTAGGCGAATAAAGACAATAAAGAGAGAGAGGGAAAGAGAAACATAACGTAATGCAGACGTGAATAACCACAAACGGTTTGGGCTCACACGAGTGAGTGCATTGCGATGCTTAGCGCACGGGGCCGTATTGTCAACACCTGGACGAACGTGCTGAAGATGCGCACTGTATGTATATGGAAGTTGCCATCGATTCACACATGTAGGTTAGGAATGCACGCAAGTCTCAGGGGATTGTAAACATAATCATGGTTTGTACTCACTTTGCTGTCTTCAGTACCGGGTGGTTGGTACCGATCAACTTGCGCACGTGGAATGCAATGTTGGATGTTTCGTCGTTGAGCAGACATCGTAAACTAAAGTACGACGTGGGGTAACCGACGATTTTCTCTGCGTTCGACACAGCACGATTCCAGTCTGTGGTTTTAGTTGAGGCCCACAAACCAGCTGATGCGAAAGTTCTGCTCGCGTACCACTGACCAGGGACGACAGCATCTCTCTGAGCGCACAGTGCGCGCAACAGCGCTCGGCTCATGTCGCGCGAACGACGAGTCACGTTACGGGCGCGATCAGAAAAGTTTTACTCGCCGCCGCGGCCGTAATACAAACTTGCTCAAACTTGCGCGAGCCATCCTGCTGCAAGCAGAACGAAACCGCTGTGTGCCCGGACTAGGCTTTCATAAAGTTGAATATTTTTGCTTACGTGAGGAGTAGCGCTAGTGAACGTACTGAACTGTGTGCAAAAAAAACATTCACAAATTTTTTTGGCAAATAAATTTATATTTTCTTTATAAAATAACTCAAATTGTAAAGTTTTGTAAAGAAATTTTGTTTAAACTTCTTGTGTGCGTTTATATACATTGTGTTCCCGATCTTGTTACTAGCGCCACGTAGTAACAACGTTTGAAATACCACTGAAGCTAGTTTCGGTTTCGGTGAATGGCTCTCGCGCTTTCTGTGTGGGCTAGCAGCAAGGTTACGCAATACAAGTTCGTTCGCCCCCTTTCAGACTAAGCCTTTCCTGCCGGGCATGCACCAAATTCACCGATCACAACCCTTACTCAAGAATAAACCTCACGTTCCGAAACAGTCGCCGTCGCTCCAGTGCGGCAGCGCGATCATTTGTCCCACACAGCGCTTCAACTATTTATGATTTTAAGGCGAACGCGTTAGAACGCCCCATAAAACGCGAAAATTGGCTGTCGGCGTCCCTCGTTGGCGGCGTCAATACGAGTGAGGCGAAAAATCACGTGTTAACGTGACGATAGTTATAGCGCGAGAACAAAACGACGACACAGAGACCAGAAGAAGGTCTCTGTGGCGTCGTTTTGTTCTCGCGCTATAAGTATCGTCATGCCATACCAACTAGCCCAAGCTGCCACACTTCTAAGTTAACGTGACAGATCGCAAAATTTGTGACGTTACCGCAAGTGCCCATGATGTCACATAACGTGGCGTCACATAATGACATCGTCACTTGGGTGACGGTGGGCAACCGCGGAGTCGGTGCATAATAAGGGGAGGCCCAGCAATATAAGCTGCTGCACCCCCCCCCCCCCCCCCAGAGGCACTGCGAATTGATTGAGAAGAAAAAGAAACTCGCTTTCCCGTTATAGTCGTTGTAGATGAATAAAAAAAACAAAAAAAATCTATGAGGGTGCTTTTTTTTCTGTATGGTCCTGTCCTGCAGCCTTCGTTTTTACCACGTTTTGTTTCGAGATTCGCGCATGTGTGCTCTGTCGGTTGTGACAAGTGACAACTAGAACTTTCCGCACGAGTCGTACGTCGCTCGCGCACTGCTGTCACGTGCACGTGCTTATAATTCATGCGCTTATTATTGAGAACTCTGTCGCGATGCGGCGCCAAACACACGTAACAAAGCTTATTTCAGTAGGTGACTGCATGTGTGGTAACAGGGCTGGAACTTATTACCGGACAGGTTCTTGTTAATTGCTGGTGAATGGTCTTAACTGAAAGAACTGAGGCATAAGTGGGAAGAGGGGAGATTTCATATTTTTTTACATTGTACTTCATATTTCTTTCGGGAACACAAAGGGTATTTTAAGAAATATGTCCAAAATCTTCAGAAGTCAGAAAATGCCATATTTTTTCGATGCCCTCACAGTCACTTTTCTGTTGCCACAGGCATTTTAAGATTCTTAATACATCATTCGGTATATAAATTAAGAAATTTAAATTATTAACTTTTTATTGTGAAGTTAGGTATTTAAGTCAAATGAGGGAGTTATTCATGTGAAGAAAGCATCACAGCTTCGAGATTTGGAAGAAGCGGCATCTAGTAATTATTGTAGCGCAATTAAATAAAAGGAAAATCAATGGCGAAGCTGAAACTGAAGCACCGATGAGCACAAGGAGCGGACGTGCAGAATAACACCACTGTTCAAAACAGCAATTACAGAGGTGTCATTCTTCGGTGTTCGTGAACTAATGTCTGTCATGCATGCTATAATTACAAGCGCAGCCAACACACTCTCACAACGAGGTTGGTTTAACGACGCTCAGTCATTCTGGATGTCTCAGAAGAATATCTCGGTATAGCGCTCTTTCGCGTTTCCGTTTCGTTCTCGTCGTTCAACTTGGGTGAGAAGTTGCATTTTCGAAATCTCACGACTGAAAGGGGTTTTTCTGACGGGGACTTCAATTCTGCCATTTCGCATTACTGCCGAACTAATTAAAAAGTTGACTAACTTAACTTTCTTAGTTAACACCCATAATTATTTATTCAACCTTCATTACAGGGGCCCTGCCACACATTTAGAGCATAGTCAGAAAACACTAGCGAACATTATTAGCCCAGACTCCTGAGAACACGTGAGTCAAATATAGCGTAGCACGCAGCCTGAAACTTACATTAAACTCTCAAAGTCAGCTTAACACCGCTTCGTGTTCTCTCGGAAAGTGTTGTAAACTCAAGGGTCATTGCGTCACAAGCCCAAATATCACGCATTGGCAGATTTGAGCGTGGCGCGCTAAGAGTTACTGCGGCCACCGCGGGAGGCCGCGACGTGTACGTGCGCGCGCGCGCGCGCGATTTGAAAGACGGAAAGCCGCGTGTTTGAAAGAAGGAAAAAAGAGAGAAAGAAAGTGTTCATGGCAGGTTCATGGCCACGAGGCGCGCGTGCCGTACCATGTTCCCCCGTGCCAGACTAACTGTTTACATGCAGTTACTCTATCCCTGCTTAGCTTCCAGCGCTTTCGTCGGGACGAGAGGAAGTGCAGCCTGCGACAAATCTTTGCAACTCCGCTCGTATACTGGACAGGTTCTGAAGATTTCTCTCATTACGTGAGGCGATGAGCTTCTTCACTGATTTCATTCCATCGTTACTTGGAAAATCGGAGAAGTAATTGTGAAGGCGTCGATTGAATATTGTATTTGTCTAATTTTTGAGAATTAATGACACATTTCTTGAAACACCCAGTATATTAGCTATAATATTATTTTCCATGCGCCCAGGAAAGAGAAATCCCTGCTTTTGTTCTTTTTTTCTTTTTTCTGAAACTTTTTTCTGAAACGTTTTTCGCCTGGAAGGACTTTTGAGAGGTTGTTCGAAAAGTAAGGACGACCATTAGTTAATTAATTAATTCGTTGAACTGACATGATTTGTCATAACACTGCATTGTCACTGTTGTCTAGCATTCTTTGGGTACATGTCGTTCACCACACCGTAGAATATCGAGAAGAAAAATAATTTTGCGTTATGTTGTAAAAGCACGAACTATTTAGCTTGATACATGTATTTGGTGTCGATATTTTTCAGCGCACATTGAATTATGCGGCACCATTAAGCCCAATGCTGAAGTTATCTGACTGATTCGGGAGTGTTAGTCAGTGCCTCTCATACTATAACGGCCAGTGTGAAACATTTTTTTTTAAAACTGCCGCCGTCATGTTGCATCTAACAAAGAAAAGCGAGTCATTAGAATTTCCTTTCTTTCCTTCATAGCAGACTTTGTCTTCTTGACTTCGAAAGCCATTTTGTAAAACAAACTGTCTGCTTGAGCTTTACGCTAAAGCGTCATTGTTTAGAGAATGAGCTAGTCTGTAACGGCTTCATCCAGGCTGTTTAGCACTTTCATTTTACCCCAGTATACTGTGTGCTTGTTTCTGTGTATGTCCGAAGAGCCAAGCAGGTCACTGCAAACCATCAGTCAAAAAGCATTCTTCCTAGTGACTCTTCGCAGTGTGCTGCTTCTTAATGCAGCAACTTTTAAAGTGCAGCTAGAGAGAATAATTAGTCGGAACATAACATTTTAATAATTGAGCTTACCTGACTGCCCAGCACAGCGCGAGTCACGGGGTGCTACGTGAAGTAACTTTTTCGGAGAACCCTTAAAAAAAATCGAACAATTAATTTTTACCATTAGGTGTCTGTCACCCATACATAATTTGGATAATTTAAAGTTTAAAAATATTTAGGCTGTTTATTATCGTGGCTTTGTGACGCGAAGTGGTGGAAAACACCCGTTTTACTTTCATTATGTCTGTTTGCAAAATCACTGTCACAAGTAATATTATACTCATTGCCGTCTGAAAGATTTTGACAGATTGTCGTCTTCACGAAGGAACGCCGTACTTGAACCACGGGTGACGCTTAAAAGCTGGCTGTATCAGTAAAACAAATTAATGAAGAATTTGGCACATTGCGTAATTTTGTAGCGTTTGCATACTACAGACGAAGCTATTTCTATCATGGGATCAGTTGTGTCTCGTGCAATATCGACGTCAGCTGATTTTTGCACAGAACAGCGGCAACGATCGAGTCTGTATGCCAATATATTTTAGAACAGACTCTACGTTTAGGGTACCGGAGCTTGTTTCTACCGGTAAATGAAAGCGATATGTTTAGTTGGGGCTTTCCTGGTTACGTTTGCGCAAAGCAGACCGCGATGTCTCAGGTTGTGTTCGAACATAAGAAGAAACCATGTCTCACATACTTTTTTACCTGTCGAACTAAACTGTTGCGTCACACGGTTCAATGTTTGAAACTTTCTATGTCTGACGGCGGAAAACTAGATATATAAAAAGGACACTAAAAAAGAGAAAAATTCAACCAGCTCCGCTTCGCGATGCTGGTGGCGTTCCCTTTGTCAGGCTAACATATATATGTCTCGGCAATTATTTCAGAAGATGCGTTCATTGCATCTCTTCTCTTCATTAAACACTCTCTGTGAAGCTTTAGGGGTGATGGTGAAGCTATTACCTGTAATAATCACAAACGTAGCACGTGACAGTGGTGGGACTTGGCGATGCGCACTACGAGCTAACTAATTACCTCCTTCCTTTTTAGTGAAAGTTGTGCGCAGAGGGACTTACCCAATTTCTGTGGCACAAACGCATGTATGATGATGATGGTGTGTTTTTTTCATATTCCGCACGGATTTCTGCGATACATACCCGTTTGTAGGGCTAATTGTTGCCTTGTTCATATTTAGTAGACCAGCGGTGAGTGATGGGACTTACCCAATGGCTGTAGCGCGCGCCCGGTCATGCTGCCCGCAAATTCCGGACATGAAAGGCCCGACCGAGAACAGATCATCATTTATTGGCACGCCGCTGAGCATTTTTTTTTTTTCAGGGTAAGCATGGACACGAGGTCATTTTTACCGGTTGACCGATAGAAAAAGGGAAAAGACAGTCGTATGCAGTTGCGAAAAAAGAAATGTTTATTTCGTAGAAGTATCCACTGCAAGGCTTTTTAAGAGTTCTACAGCACGTCTTGTACACAGGACAAAAGAAAAAAAAACACAACTGTCGTACATTACTATATTATATCATTATGTGAACATAATATAGACGAATAAAACAAATCTTACGCATCGCTTTATGCACATCTATGCTACAGTAACAACTATACCACACTGCGCTTGATGCAAGAGAGAGAGAGAGAGAGCAAAAAAGAAATGGAGGGGGCAAGCCGTGCGTACGGGGCAATCTTGTGACGATTTGTCAGCACATCACCCTCTTATTGGTGTACGAATAGTACATTGATCATTGCTGTAGTGCCTCAGAGTGATTTCAGATTTCGGACTCTTAAATTAGTTCTCAGTCGCACAATATGTAATTCCATGCCATACCATATACCATCATACATCGATCTATAAGTCGGATGCGTTATATCCGTACAACTTGCTTTCCCCATGCAATACGCATAAACATTGCGTATTTTAATAATCTTAACTTTAAACACACAATATGTGTGTAGGACATTTTTAGTTGTTATTGTTGAATCGGAACGCTAACAGACAATAAAGTAAAATGCGGGAATACAGCAACACATTACCACATGAAACAAAAAAAAAAGGAAGTATTATATGTACAAGACATGTGCATGTTTTACATTTGATGAGCGAGTTTGGTATATGCATATAGACTATCTACACTTAAAGCTATGAGCCTGGATATGAATGCGGACGGGAAATCGGGGGAAAACCCTAATAATGGCCGCGCACGAGCGTACGACTTGCTTACAGCAGGAAGAAAACATCATTAAATAGCGACAACGCGACAATGATTACTCATTACTGCACGAAACTTGCTTACGGCCGGTAACACGTCTTGCCTTTACTTCGACACGTAATTCCGTCCAAAGAAAGACCTCAGATAACCAAAAATTTGCTTTTAGGAACTGCCTTTTTTTTTGTACGTTCAACAGTTTATTCTTCCGATGTGGGCAGTGGTTTTGTACCAGCTCCAACAGCTAATAGTAAAGTCCTGGTATAAAAGTATAAAAGTATAAAAGTGGAAAACCACGCTTCATATGTCGGTCGTCTATTGCACACCTCAGCTGTTAGCCGACGTAGCCTTCTTTTTAATTGTATTGTATATTTTGTCATTGTGACCGTCACGTTGTATAGTATACGGTGTGGATGTGGATATATCTCATTGCTTGAGCATTTGGAGTGACGCACTTTAATTGAACTAAAATGCAAACGTTGCTGTTGAAGTCTAAGGGGGCCGTATACGAAATGCCGTGAAATACTAAAACACCAATAGCACAAGGTGCGAGGTGCCGTAAAAACTTAACAAAAGGTGTACTGACAACATTACCTCTCACACACGCTCATCACTCGTTCACCGGAAGCCCTTCAAGTGTAAAATTCTCAAAATGAATCTCAAACACTTTCCCAACACACAATCCAGTCTTTCCAGCACACGATAGAAATACAAGGTATTGCTTTTGGATTCAAGTTCCTTCTGAGATTTGGCACATTTGTTTTTTTTTCTCAGGGTTTTCAGGAATGGCGTACATTTCTCGCTTTTAGCAAGTGAGCCACACAGGGTGTAGATAAAAAGATTGCGACGTTTCTCGTAACACTGTAGATTAGATAACCTGATAACAGCAAGTTTGCAGTAGACACAGCAGGTTGGAAGGAACTCTGAACGCGTGATTTTCGCGTCTCCTTTCGCTATTGGTCCGCTGAACAGCCACCTTCAATTGGCGACCAAAGTACGACGTTCAGAATAAATCGAGCATATTTGTTTCGTTCAGCACCCACTTCACGTTGTCTTCCACAGCTGTTATTCAAGTGTTTTCGGTTTATTTAAGGGAATACTATACTATAGAACAATAAGTTCAGCTTTATTGGTAACCAACGTTGCTAAAATCCGAAAAAGCCACGTGCGAGTTTCAATGAATAATAAGGGAAAGAAAAAAAAAAAGAAAAGGCCGTAAGACGAATGGCAATGTCACATTGAAGTTACCGCAGCAAGTCTTTGTGACGTCATAAGACTTGACCAAGTCTGTCCAAGTCTAGATGATTATTAAGTGGTGAGAAAGGATTGAATTCTATTCAAGGAGCCAAAGGCTAGACGTGGCTAGTCTGGAGAACTTTTCACTGCGCTACTTAAACCTCAGATCAGCAAATAAACTTCAGAGTACTTGACGTCACATTCACGTGCCGCTGAAGTCAAAGCAAGTTCGAAACTCGTTTTACCTTCTATTAGAGAACCTCTCACGACAAAGTTGGTCGAAATCTACTTCTCGAGCCATACATTATCAGCGCAATCTTATTTCTTTTCGGTCTCTGCTTTAGGTTTGCTCACAACGACGGAATGCGGAACACTATAGAAACGCGGACTGTACAGCCCTGCACAAGCGCATTGAGTGTGCTGAAAAGGTAAGTCTTGCTAACGTTCACCAACTATGCGACCTATCTGACTGTATGCAGTTCACACAGGGCACGCACAAAACTGGCTTTAGTCGCGCCGCTCACAAACTCGACGAACACGTTCAGGACATTTAACAAATCAGCCAAACTGAGCTGCACTTTGGGAAGGACGCAGAAAATGGTAGCAATATTTGAAAGAAAGGCCCATGGCTGATGAAAGGATGCAAGCTCGGTTATTGGAGTCATTAAATACTCGTCACGATGGAGTAAAATGTGTCGAGGTGGAGAAAATGCAGTGACGTTACCTGAGTATTACTCGCACCAGCCAAAAGTGGCACGTCCGCAAATAAATAAAAAAAATCGCTTTATCGCATTAGTTACCAGACGCTTTTAGCGTTCAGTGCAGTCTTAAATAAGAAAGCGCATCATTTTTGAAATTGTTTTTTAGTATGAGCTAGAGGCCCCGCCGCGGTGGTCTAGTGGCCAAGGTACTCGGCTGCTGACCCGCAGGTCGCGGGATCAAATCCCGGCTGTGGCGGCTGCATTTCCGATGGAGGCGGAAATGTTGTATAGGCCCGTGTGCTCAGATTTGTGTGCACGTTAAAGAACCCCAGGTGGTCGAAACTTCCGGAGACCTGTACTACGGCGTCTCTCATAATCATATGATGGTTTTGGGACGTTAAAACCCACAAATCGATCAATCAATATGAACTAGAGACGAACATACCACGAAAACGTTAAGTTATATATATATATATATATATATATATATATATATATATATATATATATATATATATATATATATATATATATATATATATATATATATATATCAGAACTGTGACAGCCTTGCCGCTGATCGTTGTGCGTATCTACTCTGTTGATTGATATTTCTTTCTCATCTGTTTTGTTATGGCGTTGTAGTTGCGTGTCGTCAAAGCTGCCAATCATGACGCTGTAATTTTTAGGTGCAAGGATGGACAAAGCATGCACAACGGCATTTCGAACGTCGATCACGCAGTAAAATGCAATAATAACGATGTTTACTGCAAAAGGGCGATATACAGCAGATTTTGGTGTCGACGCTAGTTCTGTTTACATGTTAGGACGTTCAGTTTATAACTTCACTCGTTTCACGGCCATCTATGGCGGCGTGTTTGGATACTTCCTGCGACGAAATCGCGACCAGCTTTCTCTTCGTGACATGCTGGAGGAGAATATCATCGCTAATGATTGCTGTCAACATTTGTGATTGGCTCATTTGACAGCTCTGTGCGTTCTCTTATATCCTCGGAATCTTCGGCTCGCAGTTCAGATTTCGCAATCACAATATTTCACTTAGCAGCTGCGCTTTCTAAATAATTCAAAACACAATTTAATAGTTTCTGGACAGATATCTTTCGTGTTCCGATTTCGACTTCCGGACGTTCTGGACTTATAGGATGTCGCCCAGTCTGTAGGGCCTGTGCGTTTTTCACCACCACCACCACCACTCTTTTCTTTCGAAATCACCTATGCATGCATTTGACACTGTGCTGCTGATGTTACGCACACTTTTTCGTATGCTCAGGCCTTGAATTTGCCTGCCCTTACTTTCAAACTTCTGATCTCTTCAGCAGTTGCGTGATTCATTATGTGCCCCTCTCACACCACATGCTGTACCTCAGAAAATGGTTTTAAAGATTAAAAAAAAAAAGACTTTCAAGTTACGTCCAGAGTATACGAAGTGCACTAAAGTGCAGATGCACTTCGCCGTAGTCAGGGCTACTCCTCTAAGTCTAAGACAGGAAGGGCAAAACTAGGTGCGAGAAAGTTGTTGTGCTTCTCTGAGCAGTAAACGCCAGTCTCAAGAGCCGTTTCGCTAAGCACAACACAAAATATATTTAAAAAAAGGCCGACAAAAGCTAGTGAGGTAGGTAACAATTGACTGCATGCGATGTCCCTTGCTTGGGGACTTCCTAAATGCCTCTATACTAGCAATAGCTTTGTCGTCACTTGTGCCCGCATGTAAAAAAAACAAAACATAGATGGTGTTTTGAGAGTATGCCTAAGGAGTCTTGAAATATAAATACTCAAAGCAGTTCACTCGACCGTACCTTTCGCTGGCTTGACAGAGAAGCTAATTTAATGGCTACTCCTACAGAGTAAATGATTCAACTTCTATATTGAATACGCTGCTTATTGAAAAGTCAGCGAGCAAATATTCATATATTGAGGTATGATTTACATTAGGGGAGTCCTTGTAAAGTCTTGCGCGTGGCACGCTACTTCTATGCTGAGATAAAGTGACAGAGACTTTGGTTAGGAACGTGTTGATCGCCTGGAAGACGACATGATATACATTTTTTTTTCGTTGTATGAGAAAGAATGTGTTGGAAAAATGAGTGAAGGCAGCAAATGCATTTTTCAAAGACAGTGCTGCCTGTGATACAATGTTAATAAATAAGGTAAATAAAGAATAATAAAGACAATTGCGGAAGCGTCCGTAATTTTTTGTTGACATTTTAAAAAGGAAAAGAAAAGAAAAAAAAAGTGATGAGGCTTTTGCGGAAAATGAGCACAAAATAAATAATGTGAGGCTATTCCGTCAAATCATAGAAAACACTGGAGGTGCGTGAGCCGGGATAAGTGTGCTAGAGGTGATAAATATTTGCACCTATCACTGCTCATCGCACTGGTTCAAGCTTTAGCGGTGAACCTCGGCTCAACTGGGAATTTATAGACCACGTGTAAGCTATTCATTCACGAAGGCTACCAAGTGAGCGCTCAACGGCGTAGTTGGTTTCTACTCTCTACAGTGAACGGTATACATGTTTGAGCCTTGCTACAACTCTCACAAATATTTGCACAGTGCATTGAGAGCAAGCGTTTCCTCTCGTTTAACGTAAAGAAGCGAATAAAAAAGAAGACATTGGAGAAATGAAGGACGAGGCTTAGAGGATTGAATCCCCAAATCCTATCAACATACGATTTTTTTTTTTTTTTTTTTAGTCTTTCAGATCTTTTGAACTCTTGCTAGCGCCAGGGCTCCTGTATTTTACTAAGAAAGGAACAGAAATACGGGAAACAATCGAACGTGTACTTCATACGCAAACACACACGCTAAATAAAAAAAAAATCTGAACACCAGGAAGACCCACTTCAGACGCCACGTCGTGGTTTGCTTAAGTCCGTGTGTCTCTCAACTATATACAAAAAACACAACACAATTCTTAAAGCAGTTATTTATAGCTATGGCAGTACAAAACAGTAAAAATGCGCGGCTAGTAGCAGCTCGTTACGAATGCCTGCACTGAGACAGCCAGTTTAAGTGAGGCCGTGCACGTATACAAAGAAGTGGTCACGGACGACGAAGTGATATCAGCGGTAATACACTGCACGTGCCCCAGGCAGGACGTCCCATAATATCTGTGTGCGCGGCTGTCGCCTACAGAGGGCATTAATACCGAATTACACGAAGCACATAGGCGTGCGCACAGGGTAGAGGGGAAGGGGGTTTGAGTCTGCCCCATACCGTTAATCAGTCGGATCTGTCCCAGCCATTGTTTAAAGAGCACCCATGAAGAACCGTGTTTTTTCGGACTTGAACAATGGCGACGGAAGATTGGGGGGGGGGGTGCTGCGATAATCCCGCGCCCCCTCCCCTTTACATGTAATGGCGAAACCCTGAACACGCCTATGGCTACGAGGTAGCATAGGCGGACTTTGTGAATTTTACGTCATCCACCTCGTCCGACGTCACGTGAGGGCACACTTCTTCACCGGAAAATGTACAACTTCGCTTAGTCGGTGTTGCGAAGCTATAGCGTTATTATACACATCGCAAAACGCAGGGAGCGCATTGCATCGGCGCGTCGTCACAAATCCTCGAGTCACAGTACGGCGCTTGCGGAGACACCAGCTTCTTTCGTGGCTGCGAGCAGCCTTTTTGTGCCTCACAAAAAGACAAAAATAAACAAGAAAACATGCACGTACACGATACTGTAGTAACTCGAGATAGCACAGCCTTTGTCCGTTCCACAAGTGTGCATGTTGCACCCCCACTCTGCAATGGTCTCCAAGCGTCGCCAGAAAAGCACACGAAGTCCAGACGTCAACGTTGAATCCAGCGACACCAAACAATTGCGTGTGCCGGTACCATTGCATTCAGTCAACACTCCTAGAAGTGCAACCAGGCATGTAGCACACGCCAACAGAGACGTACACAAGTGTCGTACTAACATCGCAATGCATCTTCTTTTATACGAAGAACAAAACAAGTTACACATATGCTTTCGGGATGCTAACACAAGGTCGCCAAATGTTCTTGTATCAAAACTGGGCACACGACCTGTCGTCTCAAGATTTAGGAAATACTGCGAACATTCGTTGCCGTCTACCAACCGAACACAAATTTACGACGTAATGACAGTTACAGTATGCAGTTAGCCGTCGCTATTGTGGTTCAGTAGCGGACTATTGACAGAATTTTGTCCTTGGCAATGCAAGAAGACAGGGGTGAACCAAAACTACATTCATTCGGCCTATGCACACGAAGCAGCTTGGTAGAGACGTAAACGTCTATAGGAGTCACTTAATCGTACACAGGGCCTCACAGTGAACTTTTCTTCGTACTAGAACGAGAGCTGCCATAGTGGGTTCGCTTCTGCGTTCATCAACGATATTATCGCGCGCCGATAAGCGCACGGCGAGAGAACTATAAGTGGCGAAATGTGAAACGCACCACCGTAGTTCTTGTTCTAGCGAAACGAAGAAAGGAAATCTGCGGCAAAGAAAGCGTGTGGCCGCAGAAAAGTGCTGAAACGAGCACAGCCAGGGTCGGCACAAGACCCTGGAGCAAGACACGTCGGCCCGATGTGAGCGGACGAGTCGGGGCGACCTCTGGTGGAAGGCGGTCATGGAGCGGTGACCGTGCCGGTCACTGGTAACTGTGAAGCGGCACGGCATCGTCGAAATATGTCGTTGATCTCGGAGACTCGAACAACGGCACTGCAGCAGGATTAGTCCGGCGTGGCCGGTTTCTCACTTTGGTGCTGTCCCCGGCGATGCCGTGAGCCACCTGACACGGGGTAACAGTCGCACCGAATAGTCTCGCCATTAGCAGGGAGGCCTCGGGTTTTTTGTGTTGTTTTGTTGTTTGGGTGAAGAGAGAACGACGGTTAGTGATGTTCGGTACAGCGCAGGTCTTCGGGGCTCATGGCTTGAAGTCCTTGACGCTTCGGGGCAGGAAGTTGGTGCCTTTCTGTCGCGGCCTGCGGCCCCTCTTGACGTGTCCGTTCTTGCCGATGGACAGGTACCAGCGCCAGCGCTGTACCACGTGAGTAGCGCATGGACGAGTAAGTGGTGTACGAGTTGGGCAGCTCGTTCACTTGGAAGATGCACTTCTCCGAGCGTCGCTTCTGCAAAGGCAAAAGAAGAACGACAAGGAGTCAGCACAGTTCGCTCAGCACGTTATTTCTATGATAAAAAGGGCTTCGTTATTAGACTAGCTGTCTTTATAAGCATTAAAAACCATTGCACGTTACACGAAAGGCTAACACAAATGATGGGAGCTGTACCGAGTACAAAATAAAATGCTAGATGTTAAATACGCACTCAACAGCAAATGAAGGAAAATGAGAGAGTCACGCGAAAGTAAATGGAAAAATTCAGTAGAAAAACTCAGAAGCAGGTTATGCTCAGTGTAATCGATTGAAGCAGAACAATGACAGTTATCAGCACGGTAGCACAAAAACTACACGAACATATTAATAGCTCTGTTTAAGATATTATTCATGGCATAAAGGGTGACACAATTCATAAACCGATGTAAGTTGCGTGATGCGATTCACTAATGCCAAGACAACAATATTTGATAGACAGGTCGTAATGGGATGCATATATGTCACTGAAAAATTATTGGTATACCTTTGGTTAACGACAAGCCAGATAGATATATAAAGGGAGTTTAAAAAGATAATACTTCATAGTATCAAGGGCTACGAGAGGTAGTACATTCAAAAACACAATGATCAATAATGTCAGTTCGAATACCAGGCCCTTATAGCTCGTCCGCACAGACGCACGTAAACATGCGAGTAATTTCAGATTTCGAGATACTTGAAACAGCTGTTCGGGGGAACAGTTGTGTGGTTTGGAAGCTGCCGCCAACCAAACGTGCAGCATGTGAAGACAGCGGTGCCTTGATCACTCATCGTGTGTCAACAATAACATTGTAAAAAACTGAATCATGCGCTACGTCTCGACCACGTGAGGGCGGCACCGGTGCTAGTACCATTTTTTTTTTTGCTAGCTCCAGTTCACATTAGAAACGCAGCGCCGAAATGTCCAAGTCACCACCTTGGTTATGCGACGTGATTAGAGATCTGTCGTGTCAAATGTCGTGAAACCCCTGTGCGTAATACGTGCAGAGTCTCTAAGAACTCGCTCATTAAACTAGTTTTTGAATAATTTTACAATAGTTCTGAAAGCATCGAGCCGAAACGACATAAATTAATTGAAGGTTGCAAGTTTTGACTGATTTCAATGCTGTCGTAATGGTGGTGTTGATGTTACTTCCGGTGGCGTCAGCTTGGCGGACTTTGGCAGCCGAGTTTTCGGTCCTTGTCTGCGTAAGTAATTCAGTCAGGTATTTCGAAGCATTGCGAAATTGATGCGCGATAGTTACATGCGCACTATGCGTCGATCCAACCAGGAACACTGTCTGTTTCACAATTTCGTGAGGAAGCTTTCTTACCCCCACAGAGTTCTTCGGCCTGAAGAAGAGAAGCGCGGGCAGGATGACCACTTCACCGCATTTATTACAAGGCGGAGAAGCAGCACCGCTGCCTTTGGATTTTCAGGCGATTAATGCGATTAATACGATTATTGCGTGAGCTGTCTACTTGATTGTTACAAAATAAGAATTAAGAAATAAAATAGCACCCAGGCACACACACACACACACACACACTGTATATATATATATATATATATATATATATATATATATATATATATATATATATATATATATATATATATATATATATATATATATATATATATATATAGTGTACAACTATATATATATATGTATATAGTATAGTGTACAACATTTCCGATGGAGGCGGAAATGTTGTAGGCCCGTGTACTCAGATTTGGGTGCACGTTAAAGAACCCCAGGTGGTCGAAATTTCCGGAGCCCTCCACTACGGCGTCTCTCATAATCATATTGTGGTTTTGGGACGTTAAACCACACATATCAATCAATTAGTCCTACTACATCGATGAGTTTAAATTGGGCAGAACAAACACATAGTCGCGATGCACACTTTCAACCTAGTCCTGTTCTGTACTGGTCATAAATTCTTGTGTCTTCAAAAAGTGTTGCATAACCCAACAAGTAACCACCGAAGAAAGTTTGTCTCTATGGTTATTGAAACGAAGGTAGCGACGAATTGTCTTTTCGGGGAGTAGGTGATTCAATGTTGACCACGGCGACAGCGCTGCATCTCAGCATTTCTTTAGTTTTCATAGATAACGTCTGGGTGTCAAAGGCTGAAATAAATCTCTAGCTCAGTATTAAGTGGTTAATCGGGCTTCGTCATCTTGAGCACGCAATAATGCAAAACCAACAAAGACTGATGACGTCTTGCCCTCGCACCTAAAGATTCTCTACACAACAGCGTTACACAACGCGAGTGACGTCTGCCCACTCATTTTTACGTCGAATGTCCTTCAAGAAAGACTATCGTCTTTAAAAAACTATCGTCGTTAAAAGAGAAAGGTTGAGGTAGGAAGCAGTCTTTCTGAAAAAAGGCGCATTTGCAGACTATCTCGACGAACCCGACAGAGCGGGCGGTCCAGTACCTGACAAAGTGGGTGGTCGCAGAAAAATTCCTCACCAACCTTAAATACATTTCGATTGTTCGGGACACTTCTGTTTGTTTTTTGGAGTGCCGCTCTCTGAGTTGGAGCATGCAGAATGAAAGAAAGGAAGCAACCAAAACGGCTGCACGGGACTCGGGAGGGCTCGCAGCTTGTCTTCGCCAACGTATGCCCGCGTAGGCAGCCTGTTTACCTTCAGCGACTGCTGCCGCGTACACTGCAGCCGCCGGCGACTGTGTAGCTGCCAGTGCCACGCGGGGGGCCCTCCCCTGCGAGAGACGTAGACATCAATGTCCGCGAGCGACACACGTGCTCTGTCGCGACTCGGAGCCTAGCTCTTCCGCGTTCGTCCCCTCTTCCTCTTTTTTCAGTGCGCGGCGCCGAGACGCCACCCGAGTCGGCGGGAACGCGACGGCAAAGGGGTGAAGCCCCGAGGCGGGACAGGTGGTCAGAGTCGGCGCCGTGTACTTCAGTTCAGCACCTCGCCAGAAGAGATGGGCAAGTGTGGCAATGTCGATACGCCCCCCCCCCCCCCCCCTCCTTTTGCTTTACGTTCGTGTGTTCTTCAAATAAATCTTTTCAGTTCCGAGTCGGCGCTCCTACGCGTTATTTATGTTCTCTTCCGTTTTTACTCGTTCTCGCGCTGTATTCGAACATGCTATCGTACCGACTTTAATTACGATTTCTATTGTGGAAGGAAACGCTCTTGTTGCGACGGGCTGATTAATGAACTTTTCGTTGCTTGTTTGAGCCTCTGCATGCTGTACCCTTTCCATCGTACGTTCCTCTCTCCTGCGCCCCTAGTGCAAGGTGGCCGATTTGACTCGTTTTCGGTCTGCCTTGCTTTCACGCTACGCGGCTTCTCGCACTCTTTATCCTTTCGGGCTTGAGACACGAAGAAAAAAACAAACAACTTGTGATTGAATTGTTTCGACTATGGAGACGTGCAATCGAGAAAACAGCGGCGAATTTCAAGCGAAACCCCATTTACAACTTACAAGACCAATAATATGTGTTGCATACCACTAATTTTTTTCTCTCTCTCTCTCTCCCATTATGGTGGTAGCGTTATCGTTCAATTGAACACGGATTCACGGCGTGAATTAGACACCTTTAGAATAGTGTACACGGAATTATCATTGGTGAGCACGATATGATAGCGTTAAACAGGTCAGTGTATTACGCATGCGCAGTGCCGACAAGCGTTAATGCAAGGTGTTGTGTACGATATTCCTAAAAACAGCCCGTTAATTCACACGAGTACCCACACTCTTAAAAAAAGGCAGTGCTACTTACTAACTTTGAGGTAGTAAATTGTCACAACATTCACTACATAAGTAGTAACTGTAGGTAGTAGACCACAGGCATTTACTACCCCTGGTTGCTTCTAAGGTAGTGCACGTCTGTGGTATACTACCTGCAGTTACTACTTAGGTAGTGAATGTTGTGACAATAGTTTACTACCTCAAAGTTAGTAAGGAGCACTGCCTTTTTTTTTTAAGAGTGCAAGCGTTGAGTGTGGGCTCGAGCGACGCGAAGATCGTGACTGTGCCTTCGGGGAGGCAGCGTGGCAACGCTGTGAAGTCTAGTGGAGAAGCATCGCGATTAAGGTACGTGTTGCGTTTGTTTTGTTTGTTGCACAGCCACTACAGTGCTCGATGCCCGTTCGAATGAAACCTCGCTCTGACCGCAGCCCGAGGTTTGTCACAGCGTGGTCGGCACTGCGAACGTACAATCGGTACTGGCTTTTATAGCGAACTATCTGTATCAGTATAACTACTTCGGCTCTGCTGTAAGGCATGTTATGATGTGGGGAAGTTTGACAGAAGGATGAACGAATAAATAAATAAGTATTTATAGCTTATATATAGCAAGAGTAAGTGCTATTAGTGTACTAAGCGCACCACGGAATACGAAACACTATTCCACGTCAAGCCTCCCTGATTGGCCATATTGAAATACGTCAGGAACTGCCACAGAGGCAGCACCGGCGGCGCGAAGCGTGATGACACGGAGCAAATGGAATAGTGTCCCGTGGCATGGTAGGGGCCATGCACAAATTGAAACACCACAAGACTCGCGCCCCACTCCGGCGATAAGCTTGCTCTCAAAATTTTCGTTCGCCCGGTCACGCTTCAAAATCAAAACGAGCGCACAGTTGAGCAGATAAGGAAGATAGGTGACCACATTGCGTTGCACCGATTGCCGCATCGTCTGATAACGCGGTTGTGTTGGCTATACGTCAGGCTGTCCGCCGATCGCGTAACGTTCGGTGCGCACAAATCTCTTTGTGTTCTCTTCGCGAGTGGATGTGCGGTCGTTTTCGAGACGGCGCTAAAGTGAAGGAAATGACTGATGTGGTTGAGTAAACCGGAGACCCTCAAAACTACCAAAGCCTAAAGAACGAGGGCGCGTCGCAACCACTTTGGTACGTAGTAGATGCCTCTTTCTATTGCTATTTGAAATGCATCACTGTAGTTTTTGACTGACAGTTTGTTGGCTAAATGACTCAGTGAGCACGCATACGGCGGATGAAGTTAGAGCCACAAAAACATAAAAGATAGAGACCGTCATGTATGTGCGATGGAAAAAAAAAATCCAGATTTCTGAAATGGGGACTGCGCATTTCGCCTTCGCGAGGCGCGCCGGCTAGCGTTGGCCCAAATCACGACGAAAGGCAGGAATATAGTCCGGTCGGAAGGCTCGAATTGGTTTCATTTCCGCAAACAAAAGGAGGCACGCTGGTCATACTGAAGCCCGTATCATCGCAGGAAGCAGTCGTAACTATAACCATGCACATGCACGTACTGACGCATACCGGAACGGGAAAGTCATAAAAACTGGGCAGACGCAACGCCGGAACCTAAGCTAAACCCGGGCTAGACGAACATTCGTAAAGCGAACGTTGGAGTTGCTCCGTTCGGAAGACTGGAAACGAAAAAAACAACGGTAGAGAAAGGAACGCTAATGCCGCGGGCTTTACGAGCCACTTTGCCGCAGAAATATGGCCGCTGTAACGTTCCTAGCAGAGCACACTGGCCGTGCTGCCTAAATGGATGCCTCGTGTTTGGAACGTTGCCTCGGAACAGACAGTTTTTGCGAACACGTTTTCTCTTGGGGCGTAGATTTCTGGGCGCATACCATTCCGTCTGGTCCAGTAACTAGGCTTAGTCGAGTTTCCAGACGGTGCGGTGTGCTCCGCAAATAAAGTCGAGCAAATGTAGGATCACATGAGGGAGGTAATGCCAGTAGTGCGATGCGTGCGAAGTGCATTGCAGGCAAGCATCGATCCTGTCGAGGTCAACGTCCCCTAAGGCCGGAGAGTTACAACGTAATAGTTGTGGCGGTGCAAAGGAAAAAAACACGAAGCAGATTCCCCAGGACAGTGCAGTGGGAATATGAAAGAGAAAGCGTAGATCAACTGCCGGGGGTGGAAACCTCCTGGCGTGTATCGCCGCACCCGCTGCAATAGTAACCACTTCCATGTCTCTCCGAGACCTTTAGCTGCGTTTACAGAAGGAACGTTGGAGCTCTTAAATCGGCTTGCGGGCTCTTTGATAATGTTAGGTTTGCAGACGCAATGGTAATAAATATCAGCAGGAAGGCAGGAGTGCATACGGTACTATTCTGTACTCTTCTATTCGGTACTAAACCACATTTAGGTTTATCTAACCTAATTTTGACGAAGCAATGCAGACGACGAGTCGGGTGAAATAGACAAGACAATACCAAGACAATTTAATCATAGTTTTTCAGGTCGCGTCTTTGACGCAGCTTCCTAACGTGCCGGCACAATAACGTGGTAGCCAGGCCTATGACGTCAACACAGCCAATTCACTGCTGAGGGTAACCTGATTAAAAAAGAAAAGGCACGGCCGGAATGTTAGAGGCGTTTGTGGCCGAATAACGAAAGAACCAACGTGCGATGTGCCGATATCATTCACGTAACGTTGTTATTGCAACACTGCGGCTGCAGGGAAGTCAGTGCATTCTGCTCCTTCTGCCGTAGATACCTCAGAATAAAAATACCGCTTGAAAGTCAGCGCATTGTGTTGCTTGTATAGCCCTTCATGTCGTCTATGCTGCTTTGTCATAATCGACGTAAACCAATCAGCCAAGCTAAGAACGCTTGTTTATTTACGTTTTTATTTTAAATACGTGACGGCTGCAATAACAATAGGCGTCACCACTATAAATGTTACGCTTAGAAGTACTGGCATGTGGGCCTAGGTTCATTATAGAAAAAAAAAAAGCGAGACTATAGGACGAAGACAAGGCACCCACGGAATGGAATCTTTTTGTATCTAGAAATGCCAGTTTCAGTAACTGCCATTTAGGCACTTTGTCCTGTGCTCTTGATAGGGCTCCGTCGTAGTAGCGATTTTTTCCGTCGCAGAAGCTGCGACTCCCGTTAGTGAACGCGAGTGGGAATAAGCACGTGGATCCTTCGACAAGTGCTATTTTGCGCGCCCGCCTCCGTAACAAAGGTAAGATTACGGCTATACTTCGCCGAGGAGAAGTAAAAAGACAGCCCGCTCTTCGCCACATAAAGTATAACGAGTGAAGTGAAAGGAGTTCATTTGAACCAGCCTGCACGCGCACGCCAACGAAAGGGAACGCCGATGACGATGACGAAGATGACAAATCTGCAGCGCATGCATCATAGCGATTCTTCTTTTGGGCGACTCGTCTGGGGCGTTGTCGGGCATTCGAGGCGGGTTCCTTTCGTTAGCGTTGTGTCTTATTATGTTTTCGCAACCCTTTGAAGGCGCCGCTGCTCGGATGCGCAATCAATAAAACAAGACGCGGTTACATATTTGCACCGTAGACATTCCCGCCGCGTACGACTTTCGCCGCCGGGTAAGTCTTGGCATTCCCTTTGATGCAACAGGTGGAGTTTCTTGATTGGCGTCCCGTTGAGTTTGCCGTGCCACACGCGCTACGCCACGCCGCGGGTGTAGGGCGCCTCACCCACGTGTGTATCTCACGTGGATATACTTTTATATGTGCATATATTTTGCCGAGCTGACGAAAAAAAAAAAAAGAGCGCGTCTCTGTGTCGCAAATGCAACCAGTTTCGTTCGTGTCTCTCGTCATATCTGGGCGGATTCCGGTGTCAGTGTGTCGCCCTCATTCGACCGACACGGCTGTCACTTGCGTTTACGCTAAGCGTGTATACACCTCGTGGTGTCTCGTGTCAGTGATCACAATCATGTGCGGCGACCTTGCCTTTGACGCCATCTTTGACGTTACTCACTTTGCTCGTCACGAATGACAGGGCCGCACATCTGGCAGACCCAGCTCGCGTGCACAATACACGTGCGGGTTGCGTCAATCTGACGAGTCAACCTTCTTTTTGTTGCCGTGCTGTACGCTTCGTTTTACTCAGTCTGTCCATGAAAGTCGAGGTTGAGGGCGAGGAAAAGCGCGAAAGACACTGCATCTCACTCACTCACTCACTCACGCACTCACTCACTCCCGTAACTTGGTGATAGTACAAACAGAAGACGTAATCACCTGTCCAGAGAGCTGTCCCTTGCGGTTCATGCAGAGGTAGCGTTTGCTGACCACTCCACGAATACTGTACAGCTTCACCGCCACCGCGTTCATCTCCAGGACGGCTGCAAGAATAAGCCGAAAGAACGGGTTCACACACAAGCTCATGAGTTGCCTTTCTATTTTGGCGGCAGTATACAGTAAAACAAGCACACCATCATCGAGATGCTATTAGTCAAAGGTATTTTGATGGCCCCGCCGCGGCGGTCTAGTGGCTAGGGTACTCGGCTGCTGACCCGCAGGTCGCGGGTTCAAATCCCGGCTGCGGCGGCTGCATTTCCGATGGAGGCGGAAATGTCGTAGGCCCGTGGGCTCAGATTTGGGTGCACGTTAAAGAACCCCAGGTGGTCAAAATTTCCGAAGTCCTCCACTACGGCGTCTCTCATAATCATATGGTGGTTTTGGGACGTTAAACCTCACAAATCAATCAATCAATCAATCAAAGGTATTTTGATGAATCATGGTTTACGGAAAGTCTACTGGGCGTCAGTGAACTGTTATAAATGTGTCAGTCAGGAAGAAATCTCTTCCTCTTGTAGACCCTTCCTAAAGAAAAATAGCGAGCCACAAGTCACATTACCCATAAGTGGCCGACTTTTTCGAGAAACTTATTGGCGGAATATCGCGGCTCGGAACAGACGAGCGTCGCAATTAATGGTGCGTCAAACGCTTGCTCACCCGTAGACACTAGCGCTAATTATATAAACTGCGTCGAACGCGCAAAGAACGAATCACGATGGAACGTCGATAAAAATAATTGGCGTCACCATAAATCACTTATGGTGCACCGAAAACAGGGGCATGGTTTTGTAGGCACGCGTTCACCCTATGACCTGCATTAAACCTCGTTAGACGAGCCAAGTCGAACTTTCACGAGACACGACGGTTCCCTCGAAACTACAGGTGCGCCCTAAGCGGAGCTCGGTTTTTCTATTTTGCAAGCCCTTCCCACCGAAGAAAGCCGAGTAAGGAGTCGAGTAACGATGGACGTTCGCAGTGCTGCATCTTTCCCACCACCCCAGTTTCTTTGGACAAGAGTGCAGCAAGGAGAAAGGGCAGTGTTTCATTAAAGCTCACTGAGCCCCCAGCGTTCGAAGCCCGGGAATTTTTGCATCCTTGTTTCGCATGCTCGCACGTCTGGACGCCCAGCCGACTCACTTCTATCCGCTTTGAGCTGAGCCGGTCATTTGTCACGCTGCGCCCGGATAGAGTTCGCCACGAGCGAGGAGGTGCAGTGTATACCCTCCGCCGCGGCGGCGGAGGCCTACGTCGTGTGTAATTAAATGCCACCGTGGCCCCCGCCACCAAAGCGCCGCGGAAGAGAACGATTACGCCGTCGAGATTGTAGGTTGCGCGGAAGCAGGCATGCATGTGGGCACGGGACCCTTGAGTACGCAGCCAGCTCCCCTCCCCTAGTGGGCGCTGACGTCTTCATCAAATAAACGGACCTTTATCATGGCTGGGTGGGGCGCACGATACGATGCTCCGTGCGCGGAGGAGATGCGCGCGTTTCGAAGCGCGGCGAAAGAGTTCAGTGAGGGAGGTGATTGCACGCGCCCCGAGCTATACGGCAGACACTTGGGAGGCACGATGGTGCTCGTCCATTCCACGCCTTCCTTCTGGCGTTCCTGCTGCGCCGCAGATGTCTTCCCAAAGTGGCATGACAAAACGGGTTGAACGAACCCTTCTCATCGCTCCGTACATTATCTATATCTCGCGCACTACCTTTTCGCATTATGTAACAATGACAATGACAAAACTGATGCCGGAATTGTAACGACCCTTCGGTTCGCGAGATGATCTGTCATTGCGCAGCGTCGTCGAACTTCACATCTCATTCGCCGCTGCAATTGGTCCGCTCTCATTGCTGCGAATGCTTCTTCCTCGAGAACCATTGAACCACGAATTGTATCTACAGCATCTCGTCATTGAGTGAGCATTAGCAGCGTGTCCGCATCGCCTACCTGGCATTGCCATTTCCTCAGGCAACACATAAAAGAGCAACGTCTGTGGGTGGTTCTTTAGACTAAGAATGTAATCATGATGCGACTTTTTTCTTCTCCGCATGACGGCTACATCCCGTGAGCAACGTGGATGATTTCCTTCGGCCAGCTTTGCGTTCATACGATTGCTTCCACGGTATGGTCATGCATAAGGAAGCTGCCTTTCTACGCTCTCAGAATGTTGCATCGCCGCGGGCTGACGTGAGCAAAGTATAGCTGACCGCATTTTAGATGAGAGCGGCGTACTATAGACGACACGCCTGTTTATGCAAGCGCGCCGTCATCGTCGGGACACATTAAACGCTCGTTACGGCGACGAAAAATGGCCGCGAGCGCCGATCATCGCTTCTGGCGGACGTCTATCCTGTCGCAATTATGCGTCTTTGAGATGAGCCTCAACCGCGAGCCTCAGCGTGCGCGGCGAATGCATGCATGCATGCATGAACGTGGGTGTCGTGATTAAGCTTGGACGGCCCGCCTTCCGTGCGAAGCCGCCGACAACTTGCTGTATACGATCGTCGCGAACTGGCGTGACTAACGAGTTAGCGCTTGGGACGAGAATAATTAGCGCCAGATCAAACCGTGCGTGAGGTGATGAAAACGAGCGGAAGGCGTCGGGCGAGATGGACGGTGCACCACGGACTGCCTGCTGAGACCGCAGATGCCGCGCGTTAACGGCTCAAACGGATCGTTTGGCACAATGTTTTGACATATCTGATTTCCGAATAGCCTTGCGATATTTCAGGTGCGTTAGCGAGGTAATATATCGACGTTTTCTATACGTTATTTTTCTACGAATGGGGGATCCTCCGTTATAACTTCGACGTGGAGGCCCACTGAGTAGTGCCACTGAGCACAAGGTTGCGGGTTCGATTGCCGGCGGCTGATGCATTTTTTGTCGGGGATACAGTGTTCAGAAATTCTTTAACGCTTTGAATTCATGATAATGAATTGCATGGCATACTGCAATTGGGGCCTTCCACTAAGCGTAATCAGGTCGCCTTGTTGCTTTCAACCAATCGAACAATCAATCAGTCAATCGAACAATCAATCAATCAATCAATCAATCAATCAATTGTTTTTATCTACCACTATGAAACTGTCTTCGGAGACGGCGAAGAGACAAGGATAATAAGTATGTAGTTGATGAGTTACGTTGAGTAATAGATTAACAAGGGCAATATAGGCGTGATTAAGCTTTGTCTGTGGCATATCCTCTACAGTATACAGATAGGGTAAAATAATTAAATATCTGCTCGTATTGCGTGGCATCATTGTGACATTACTTGATACAATAATGGTATATATCGTCAAATGTCACAGACTCAGTTCAGCTTTCGTGCTTCCATTTGCACGTGCATAGGCAGGTGCCTTTTTTAACCCCATTTAGACTTACAGCTCGTTTATACTGTGCCCTGGGCGCTGTCCCTTACATCATCTCGTAATAATGCGTAGCAAGAATAATGGCTGATCACACCCAGGATTCGCAGCAATAATAATGCGTTCATAACCTAACGTTGTACGTACGTAGTGGCCTCGCCATAATAGTTAATAAAATGGGCTTATTACCCAGTTTCATTATAGTTACGCTCTTTTAATCAACAGAGCCATAGAGAGAACCGAATGAAATCATCCAGTGCCACAGCGTATACGGCGGGTAAGGGAACGCCCAACCGTTTAAGCCACGCCGAAGCGTTGCAGTATGATCATGCCGGCTTGCTTCACGTGGCTGCTATGCGGTCATCAATAAGCCATGTTGGCCACACGCGTGTGATACAGCCTTTCCGAGAACCAGCGCCCGACACCTCCCACCCGCTTCTCGCGTAATCAATTACACACTGCAATATCGCGGGGATATGTACGGTGTGGGCGCGTGATTAGCGATGCGTAGCCGCATGTCCGAATGACCCCATGCTGTGAGCGGGAGAGAAAGCGCTAATTAAAAAACGTGGCTCTCCATTTGGAGGTATATGCTGCGTGCCCTTTTTGCGGAGCGAAGTGATCTATGCCAAAGCAAACGCAATTACCCGGGTGACCGCTTCGCTTGACCCCTTCTTGGGTACGCGTATAGAGATCATGTGCATTCTCTGTCAACTCGCTCGTTCGTCGAGTACACAGTCGAAAAGGAAAGCCAGAGAAACGATCAGAGAAGGTTGCTCCTGAGAACTCGTTGGCTGCAATGGCGCGACGTTGGCCGAGCATCAGCCTCGTGGAGGACAGAAGCAGGGAGCTCGATTCACAATGGATGCGAATGGAGAAGCCGAGGAGATTGTGGCGGAGGGGGGGTTCAGCGATGGTTCTGGCGTCTTTATCGAATGGGTGGCGGAGGTCGTTACGGAGGCGGAGGCGCTCACTAACCCACCACTGCTGCAGCGGCGTCTCATTATTGCCCCCATGATGAGTGACCGCCGCTGCGCCGCCAGTCACGGAATGGCAGTAAATTTGCCCGCCCATTATTGCTGCGAGAGGAGGTTATACACGCCGAGAAACCCGATCGTTCCGTGAGCGTATAATAGACGCCCGAGCATGCGCCCCAAGTACGACTCATGTTGCGTCCACTCCACTGTGGCTGCGTCGTTTCTGCGATACGCAGAAGCCGAGGTGCGTTCTCGCTTAACCATTGAAGAGGGGGCAGCGGGTCAACGCTGATTCTATGCATCCGATTGCCGGAATCGGATACGTTATCACGTATAGTATAACTTGTAGGGTCACGTAACGACTGTATGATTACATCCCGCATATCTGTTTACTCGATGAAGTGTTTAACGAAACCATATGGTTAAGTCAGAACGCTGCAAGCATAAAGAGTCAAGACAAAAAAAAAAAAGAAAGGATGCTATTTAGATGTAATCGCATTCTTGAAAAGGCACGCTACGCAGCGTACTTCATGAGAACCGCGAAACATTTGCTAGCTGTTACGTGCACAATTAGGGCTACGAAAATAATCTGGCTAACTCCATGCAGCGTATACTTGTGTTCGCTATATACGCCTGCGAAAATAGGGCATCGTTTTTGTTTGCACGTTTTTTCTTTTCATCTCAGTCATTTTTAACGGAATCAAC